ATAGGTAAAATTTAAGGATGGAGAGTATAAAGTAGTTTAGAATTATTGGGAAGGTCATGTTAACTTTATGCCACAATAATATCTGCTATTTTGATACAACATGGCTAAGCTGCAATAATATAGAATAGAACCTGCACCAAACAGTCAACTAAATTAATGGTAGGAGCAGGATTGGAAAGCTACTTACTATTCACTCAGAAAGTATCCATTATTTACCCTGGATAAAGCTTGTAGCAAGATGGCCATTAACAGCTTTTCACACCAGATGTACACAACACTAAGTCCTGACTGACACAAATGGGAATTATGACAGAGCACAGTTCTGGAAGAAATTGCAATGCAGATAATGCCGATGGGTTGTGCCTTCCTCTGTTGCATTTTACCTACTCAGCCATATAGCTCCTACTGCTATAATTTTTTATTTTTTTAAAAAGCATTTTCTGCTCATTGTCACCGTTTCCAAAAACCATAACACATAAAAAGCATTGTATCACCCTCCTCTATATACAACAAAATGCTGGTTCTATTAAAAAGGTCACTAAGCAAGACTTTTCCTAAACATAAAATCCAAAGGGAACTTAGCCACAGCATGCTCAACTCTCTCCCTGGATTAAAGCTTGCGATTTCACTTTGTCCCTACCATTCCCACCACTGCTTCCAAGGTCATCTCACAACTGAAATAGGTGATCCCTTTAAGACAGTTGCTTAGGACAAATGTTCTGTCATTTACTTCATTCTTTTAAAATAAAGTTAATCATTACGATTTCTTTCTTTTTTGAGGGGATATTTTTTTTTAAAAAAGCAAATACTTACGATCATGTCCTCATGAGAAGTGTCCACTGTATTAATTACAGACACCTAGTAGGAAAATATACAGCAAGACATTTTAAAATAAATAATAGAGTCCGACCCTAGAGTTCCACTCAATGATTAAAACATGCCATCATCTTTTGCTTCACATTTTTATGTAAGGTTTGACTGCATTGTTTAATGGGTGTCCAAAAAGTTGAAATTGATTTAACCCTCAGGTGACTTTGCGGCATCCCCATGCGTACAATCACTTTCTGAACTCAGCAACCTGTGGAACTTCATTGACATCATACTGAGATCAGTAGAGGTAGAATGTGACATAGCAAGTTAAAACTTGCACTTCTGAAAGCTTCCTGCTGCACTGTAAATATATATATATATATAACAACATAAGATGAACCCCGCTAGATCAGTCTAAAGGCCTATCTAATCCAGCTTTCAGTTCTTGCAGTGGCCCGTGAGACATCTATGCTGTAATATTCCCACAAGGAGGACATGAGCTCAATTGAATTTCCACCAAGATTCTCTGCAACCAATTCAGAGACAAATTGTCTCCGATACTAGAGATTAAATAACTGCCATGACTAGTAAACCCTAATAGCTTTATCCACCACATATTTATAGCACTGGGCTCCATTCACCCCAGCACTACCAACTTTATTTTTTCTTCTTTTTGCAGCCAGGGGTGGGGGGCAGAAAATTGGAGGGGAGAGCTGGATCAGGCCCCACACTTGGGGTAAGTCTCCTGACTTAGATTATTTAAAGGGGAATTAGGCAAAAGCATGGACCATAGATCCTTTAGCAGCTATTGAATATGGCAGTTAAATGGAACCTCCAGGAAATACGTCTGTTAATGTGGGAGCAGGGGTGCGCGCTAAGCACTACTGCCTTCATGTCCTGGCTGTGGGCTTCCTGTTAGAGACAAGATACCAGACCCTTTGGAGCTGACCCAGACCTTGGGTAGGCTTTGTTCTTAACAGGCACCTTATGCTTTTAAAGCGGTGCAGCTACTGCGAAAATAAACACACGCAAACAAGAAAAGCCAATCCTTCGCCGACGTAAAACCGTGTCTCTGTGTGTGTGTGTGTGTGTGTTTATGTGTCATGCTCACTGACCCCCCCCTCCTATGGGAAAACAGGGGTGTAACAAGTACATGAGGGTGTCCCTGTTGGGTAATAGGTGGCCTGCTCAGGAGATGGGGCTCAGCCCGCGAGTGGGCGACGACGCTTTCCCCCGAGCCTGCCCCCCCAATCAATAATAATAATAATAATAATATTTTATACCCTGCCCATCTGGCTGGGTTTCCCTAGCCACTCTGGGCGGCTCCCAGCAAAAATATTAAAATACAATAATTCATCAAGTATTAAAAGCTTTCCTAAAAGCCATGTGTGGTGGGCACCCTTCGCAGGCTTGACATCCCTTGGGAAAAGGCGTGCGAGGAGACCCCGTTACTAGGGGCAACCCCACGTCCAGTACCAGGGAAGCGCGTCCTCCCCACCCCCGCCCAGGGCACCCCCACCCCCTGGGCAAGCCGCGCCGGGGGCTAGCAAGGCCGGGCCCGAAGGGCTCAGCGCGGGAAGCGGGCTACGGCCCCTCTTTATCCCTCTCGGAGCGCCCCCTCACCATGGTGACGGCCGGGGCGGAGGGGAGTCTACAGCTGCACCAGCCGCTCTCTCGCTCTCAGCCGCTCTCAGACGTGGCAAACCGCCGCCGAGACGCGCGTCCCACGACGAAGGCCTCCCGGCCGGGGAAAAAGCGGTCTTCCTGCTGAGCGTGCAAAGGTTCCGCTTGCCGCTCGTTCCGCCCTCCTTCCCCATCGGCTCCTCACGGGCGGAGGCCGCTCTCCGTTGGCGCCGCCCCTGGCCCTTGGCACTCCGTTCTCTCCGTTAATTCAGCCACTGGCACCTGCGGGTGCTATGCTCATGGCGAGTCTTTGGGGAGCCCCGAGTTCAAATTCCACCTCAGCCCCCCCCCATGCTGCTTCAGGTTGTTCTCGCTCAGCTCCCGTTCCAACTTTTGTAAAATTAAGAATTGTTTCCTCGTGCTCTCACGCCGCCTTTTCCCCCACAAAGGAAATTACACTGGCATTGTTCCTCTCTCCCACCCAACTCCCTGCGATTTCCCTACGAGGTAGGGCAAGGGTGACTTACTCAAAGTGAGCACAGTGGCTGGAAACAACATTTGAGCCTCCCACCTATAAATACACTTCCCTGGCTCCCAAGGGCAATCGTGACTTGCCTCCTAACTGCTGCTAAGAAGCTAAAAATGGGCTATGCATTTGTATATTGGAGTGAATGTATGCAAGAGAAGCTGAAATTGCTTTCTTCTTCACAGCAGAAGATGTAGGATAAAACCTCTGTGCCTGAATGAACTTATTCAAGAATGAGAAACTGAGGCAAATAGCACTGCAAGAATTTTAGGACTTTTTGGCAATAGAAAAACTCTCAGATCTCTGGGTCTGGATGGCATCCACTGGAGAGAACTCAACAGTCAGATTGCTGATCTTTCTGCCAGAAAATATATATAAAATTTGTCAGCCCCACACCTGCGGACTGGAAAGCAGGGAGATTTGAGATGATCAGTCAATTAGCTTAATACTGTATATGTTGTGAGAAAACTGGTGGAGAGTATCGTTAAAGATGTAACTACCAAGCATAAAAGAACAAGTGCTGCAGAAGTAGAATCCGCATGGGTTCTGCAAGGGTAAGTCCTGCCTCACAAAACTTTCAGAAAGTTGTTTGGCAGTGTCAACAAGCATATAGATAGAGATGATCCTATCAACATGGTGTACTTACTTTCAAAAAGCTTTTGATAAAGTACCTCACCAAAGACTCTTCAGAATAAGAGAACTTGTGTTCAGATGACTGTCTGTAAACAGTCTTTTCATATTTTTTCCAAATTCATATTATATATTGCTTCCCATAGAAATGTAAATTTATTCCTACAAAATACTAAACTTATACTGAACAGTTTTGTGTACTGTAAGCTGTATCGTATGCAGAAAGTTGAGCCCACAAATCAGCAAACAAGTAGCAGTTACTTAATGTTCATTTCAAAGAGTAGAGTGGTTTACAGTATTTGTTTGCAATCATTAAATATTTTCAGGTATGTACAGTATTTGACGCCAGGTAAGTAGATTCTAGATCCAAGTTAAATCAGTCACAGAGCTAGTGTAAGCTGCCACTAGAAAATCAGTTTGCGGCTATTGGTCTTACATGCACTTACTTGTGAGTAAGTCCCATTGCACTCAGAGAGACTTCTGAGTATATACACACATAGGATTGTGCTAAGGTACTTCCTCTGCCATGGATGCATTATGTGGCCTTGGGAAATTCACTGTTCCTCATCTGTACAACAGAAATAAAAATGGCTTACCAAGAAAGGTTATGGGGGAGGGCAAGAGGACCCAGCTATACTTTCCCATTGAAATCCCTGTTGGCAATCTGGTCCTATGCAGAGTTCTGCTACAAAAGCTAGTTTGTTTCAGTAGGTTTAGCTATGCCAAATTTTTCAGGGGATTGGTTTGTAAGTAATTTATAAATAAACTGCTTCCATAGGAACATAGGAAGCTGCCATACACCGAGTCAGGCCATTAGTTCATCTGGATTAGTATTGTTGACATTGCCTGGAAGCGACTCTTCAGGGTTTCAGGTAGGAAACATATCCAGCCCTACCTGAAGATGCTGAGGACTTGGGACCTCCTGCATGCCAAAGCAGATGCCCTATCATGAAGCTGCAACCCTTCTCCTTTTCCATACTATTTCACTTAAATAATTTTATATTTATTCCTTCAGAGATCTCAGCTTGCATGTAGCTGGGTTTTTTTTAAACAATATTGCATATTATTTCTTCTTCAATTTAGAAAGCGCTGTGCAGACAATGAGTAGTTGTGCCTATTCTTCCATTTGGGGGAACAGTTGATTAATTTCTAGAGAGAAGTTGATACTCAAGACAAGCCCACCCCCATGTCAGCTATTAATTTCAGCTGACCCCACCATGCACCCAGCACGGAGGGGGTGATTTATCGCTGGTGCTTCTTTCATTGCAAGAAGATGCAGGATGTTAGCAAACACCTGCAGTCCCACTGCAGCAATATAGCAGAGCATCCTCTGGAATGGGGTGAAAAGACGCGCAGCAGCTGCTGCCTTCTCTTCCCCCCTCTCCTGTAACTTGAGAGGCTGCGGATATCTGCCAGTAGGTGGCGTCCTCGGCCCAGCCGTATCCCCGACTATAGGCTATATATATCCTATGATAACAGTGCAGGGGCTCAGCTTTTCCAGCGACTTCTAACCAGGGGAGGGGGTAGGAGAGGGAGGAAAAAGAGAGAGAGAGAGGAAAAACACTACCCCCGTCTCACGGTGTCCCTCCTGTCGCCATATTCTCCATGCAGATCGCCAGCAGAAGGAACCCCTTCTTAGGGCAGCAAGAAACTTCAACTCCTTCCTGAACACCTATATAATATTTTAAAACAGACTGCACAGAAGAGATCGTCTTCCAAGGCCAGCTGTCCAAGATGACTAACATATCCTATCACATCTCCAACCTTTTGGAGAAGATGACATCCACCGACAAAGATTTTAGGTAGGACCCGAGCTTTGGTAACATTTGGTGCATATAATGTTATGCGTGGGTGCATGTTGTAAAGTCATGTTTTGAGGTTTCGTATGTTGTTGGCTTTTGGATTGCACACACGTGTGTGTGTGTGTTTGCGTGTTTCCTTGCAAGCCTTTTAGAGGGAGGGGGTTGTGGAAGAGAGGGAGGCTTTTTAAAAATACCTACGCCTGAAAAAGGACACCCTTCTAAAGGGGATGATGTGAAGTAAGGAGGCTCACTGGCTGTAGTCAGTGCAATATCGCCCCTCCCCCCTATACCATGGGGCCTTTAGTGTGTGCTGTATCTATAGACAGGGCTAAGACGGATATGAAACGTACTGCAGGCTTCCAGGGTTGAGAAGGAGAATACTACCGTCCTAAAATTTCTCACTGGGTAGCTGATGTTATGATAACCTTTTATGTTCCTCCTCCTAGACCGAGGTAGAGATGCACTGCTGCTAGACAGCTGCAGTGGGCCATGGTGGGAGTGGGTGGGGAATCTTCCTAATCAGCTGTTACCATTTGGGAGAGGATTGGTCGCCTTCAGTGCATTTTTAAAGAAAAACAAATCTGAGCTCGCAAAGCTAGGGAATAATAGCCAACTAAGCCCTGGTGTTTGGAGGAAACCAAACTGAAGTTCAGTTGTAACTGGAAGAAGACGCATTCAAGTCTTGCAAGCAGCAGCTGAAAACGGGCTGTAGGTTACGGCTGCATAGGATGTATATTTGAAGGATTCACTATACAGTATGACTAAGTAAGAGGAGTGGGTGGGAAATCAGCCACCAAATGTGTAAAAGAGGATTTGTAGCTCTGCTCTCCAGAGTATGGTGCTAATAGAGTTGCACATTCCCAAGAGGGAAGGAAGGAAGGAAATCCCTTTGATTTCCATGGAATGTATGGTCTAAATTGGTCTAAATCTAAGCACTAGGATTCTGGTTAGGGTTCCCTGTACTTGAGGAATGCAAAAAAAATATGTTCTGTGTTCAAAATTGTGAGGAGGAATCAGGGTATCTATCGTGTGCTTGATGTGCCAACGGTATTGGGCTGGTATGGTGTCTCATCACCTTCTAATACCAGTGTGATTTATACTTGACTACTGTACTCATGAATAGAATTTGATTACAGTGGTACCTCAGGTTAAGTACTTAATTCGTTCTGGAGGTCTGTTCTTAACCTGAAACTGTTCTTAACCTGAAGCACCACTTTAGTTAATGGGGCCTCCCGCTGCCGCCGTGCCGCTGGAGCCCAATTTCTGTTCTTATCCTGAAGCAAAGTTCTTAACCCAAGGTACTATTTCTGGGTTAGCGGAGTCTGTAACCTGAAGCGTCTGTAACCTGAAGCGTATGTAACCCGAGGTACCACTGTATATTTGGGGGAATGATATTGAAATATGTTTACATTTCAGTGTGGTGATGGCCTGGTGAATAAACATAATTGTTTATACAGTACACTATTTTACTGTGTGTATAATATGTGTTGAAAATAAAGTATTCCTGTAAACACTTACATGGGAGGAAGCTCTATTGAATCCACTGGGGCTGACTTCTGAGACAGCATGCCTCCAATTGCACTGTGAATTTATTAAAGGCCCTGAACCAGTTTTACTCATTTTTCAGTGTCTCAATTATATACCTGAGTTGTGTATTTTGAAAGCTTACTATTTTAACCTTATTTCCGGTGGTTACTTATAACTGAGAGTTCAGCTCTTTTGAGATTCCAGTTTTAAGCAGAAGTCCTTTTTAAAAAAAGTCTTCAGAAGGAATACTGTAGTTATTAAATATTTTAGATAAAACCTTAATGGGATAATTAACTCCAAACAAGTTTTTTAAAAAGTTATTATATTCTGATCTTAAATTAATATATTCTGAACAAAGCCCAACTGATTTCAGTGGAACTTGCTTCCGAGTAGGTGTGTCTAGGTGGCAGCTTTAAGGCATAAACTTGTGAGGTTCTGTGATTAGTCCATGTGTGATGAGACTTCTACTCAGACTTCTACTCTGATAGAACATCCCACTCTGAGGCATTAGGAGCAGGCCAAGGGCATCACATTGGCACAGCAGTGAGTGTTGGGTGATCTCATTAATGCCACATGTGGAGTCACTATACTCAAGTGAGGTGTGGGCCTAGGTATACCTATAAGGTTTGCAGCAACCACAAAAAACAGGTATATTGATGCTGACCTACAGCACAATCCTAACTATGTCTATTCAGAAGTAAATCCTATTGAATTCAATGGAATGTACTCCCTGGTAAGAGTATATAAAATTTCAGCCTTATATACCTAATTTTTGAAGATCCTACCTGTGTGGCTTGCAGCTAACACAGTGGATAATATCGTGGTTGGTGGCTAGTTTCATAATGGTGGTGGTGAGGCAGCTGCAGGACTAATGTTGGAGCAATAGGCCAAATGCATTTATGTTTCTACATACTGCATACTTCTTTGGCTCTGTCTGCCCTTTCCAGGAAGTATGTGTGGGAAGAGCTCCTCTTATTTCCTCTTCTCTTTCCCCACTTCCCTGTTCATGTTTTTGCAACAGCAACAAAGGGGGAAAGAGCTAGGTAGGAGAGGTTGATTGGGGCTTTGTATATTTTCATATACAGTACATTTCAAATAACTCTAGGTTCATAAGGAAGCCTTTCATTTCCATTTATTCCATCTCTTCTCCCCAAAGTGGATTTAGACAGTGCTACTTTTCTAGAAAAAGAAGTGCTGGAACTGAACTCCTGTGAACTCTGGCTGGGGAAAAAAGCCCTGGATATAGATATGGAAGAGAGTAAAAAATGCAGAGAAGGCAATAGAGAGAAGTTTAGATTGTGGCACAGATCAGCTGTGAGGAATTCACAAGTCAGGCTTGGCCTATGAATGGTGATAACGCCTTACCTGTAACACCACAGGTTTTTAGTAAACACCTTGTGGGTGCCATTGAAATGGTCAGCTCTTTGGTGTGCCTAGGTCTGCTTCCTGTACGCTACTTGTTCACTTTTATATATGGAGCATTTGCAAATAATGCCTTTCTGTGAGTTTTCACCCTATCCCCAAATATGTAGAAAATCCTGTCCCAATTCTCAAGGCTAATCCCTCACTGAAAGCTTTGGAGTCCTTTGCATCTGATTTTGCCAAATATTAACAGCTTCCCCTGCCCTGTCCAAATTATGTGCTAATGATTCTCAAGCAAAGATAAATGGTACATTAAGAATGGCTGTTTAGGGCTAGAGATTAAGCATCATTGGGAGCTGCACTTTGTACATGATCCCGGAGAAACGATGTTTTGCAATAGGTATTAGTATCTCTAGGGAAGTGCCAATATTAAACACTGAGGTGTGGACCAAGTTTTGTTTCTGTGTAGCACTGCCTCTTCCAGCACCCGTTGATAAAGTGCTGGCTTTGTGTCTGGCATAGCACTTTGGTATAAGCTAGCACCCGTAGCATTCTGTTAATGAAGGAGAATACTTAACATTCTCTAATTGTAAACCATGCATTTGAGAATAGATGGGAAGATAAATATAACTATTTCAGCTAGTGAAGGCTCACAGAGCTGCTTCCACTTTTGTGCAACAGATGGAACATGCCATTGTCCCATTGGTGTTTTGCTGCTGTAAATACTTAAATCATGCACATCTCTTCAGTCATGTCGTATGTGCAGAATTAAGTGTGGTTGTGTTGGGAAGATTGAGGTTTTTTAAAATAAAAAAATGGTTTAAGCTAAGTAAATACTTTGCTTCCATATGCCTGGTTATCTTTAGTTAAGGGGATTCTGTATATTGATTTAACTAGTAGGCAATCTATGGATTGGTTACTGTTGGTAAAGGTTTGTTCTTCCTTTCACTCCAGCTCTATGGATTTTAATCTTTCATTCCTTTTAAATTGGAACTGCTTCTGCCAATCAGCACAACCTATTGCTGATGTGTGTGTCGCCCCTCCCACCCCAGGTTTATGGCTACCAATGACCTGATGATGGAACTGCAGAAAGATTCCATAAAGCTAGACGAAGACAGTGAGAAAAAAGTTGTGAAAATGCTTCTAAAATTACTTGAAGACAAAAACGGGGAGGTGCAAAACCTGGCTGTCAAATGGTAAGACCCCTCTACATCAGCTACAGCAGTACTTGGGTTTTTTACGTAAAACTGCTAAGTAATCCTAAGGAGGCTTGGACAGGTTTTGCGTGGGCTATGTTGTCTTGTATTTTGCTTTTCACCCTGTATGAAAACTTGCTGTTTCACACAATGTAGGTTCAGTTTCTTTGCCTGCTGATCCTGTCCACAGAGACAACCCTTGAGGGGATTATGGATGATCCTACAGCATATGTGTGTGCATATTTGCTTGCAACAGAAAGCTGTACTTTTTTTTGTTTGACTTGCCATCTCCCAGTGTTGCCTGGTGATAGATGCCGCTGGTATAAGGCAAGTTCCTATGTTTGCTCCCATGAGCACAGTATTTCCTTTATAGATGTCATCTTCCAAGCCTTGTCTGCAGAAGATTTATATTGGGAACAACTTCATTTCATGTGTGATACCTCTTATCTCTTTCTTCCTTGCCACCCCCTCACCCTGGCATTGCAGTTTGGGCCCTTTGGTAAGCAAAGTAAAAGAATATCAGGTGGAAACAATTGTTGATACACTGTGTACAAACATGTTATCGGATAAGGAACAGCTCCGGGACATCTCCAGTATTGGGCTGAAGACGGTCATTTCTGAGTTGCCTCCTCCATCTACAGGTAAAATGCACAAAACCAAAACCCGAACTCTCCTATTTGAAGTTTTGTAAAATTCCTTTTCCAAATCCTAGAAGCTATTAAACAGAAATGCATTCATGTCCTGAGTGGAAAGGGTTTATTTTACTTTTAAAGCTAGAAATGAAATGGTTGAAAATTACACTAGGACTTAATGCAAATCTCACCACTCTGACTAAAAAATTGTCGTAGTCGAAGGAAGATAATCTACATTTGAAGCATTGCCAGATATATTTCCTTGTTCTTTTTCAAACCCCTTAATTCCCCTCTTTTGTTGACCATTCCGGGTCGCCCAACCACTGCCACAGTGTCATTTCTCCTGGCAGATCAAGAGGAGAAGATGACTGCAAAGGTTGTCAGGTTTCTAGCTGGGGCAATCAGAATAAGGTCTACTATTTGACTGCTGATTCAGGAACCTAAACTGTGTTTTATAGAATTTACTTTTTATTTTGTTCTGTGTATATCACATTGTTTTTTTGTTGCTATGGCCGATGGCTGATGCAAATAAAGTTTCATTCATTCACCCCTTAATTCTGGTTTTCTCCCCACCCTAATAGGTTCCACTATGACAGCCAACGTATGCAAAAAAATCACAGCCCAGCTTACTGGAGCCATTGGAAAGCAAGAAGATGTCTCTGTGCAGCTTGAAGCTCTTGACATCTTGTCAGATATTTTGAGCAGGTATAAAGAAAATGTTTCAAACAGTTGTGTAGTAGGATGCATCTGCAGCAGCTTTCTAGAGATGAAGAGCACAGAAGCATTATTACGCTTTACTAAGTGTGTTATTTCCTGGCACCAAGCGAATGACACGTTAGAGAAAAATCAATTCAGGCAGTATTCATAACTCGGTTTTAATGAACTTGTTCTTAAAAACTGTGTTGATAGGAAAATATGTGAATTCTGTTCCTCATTTTGTTGTAGAAAGGTGTAGAGAAGTGCCAGCAAGTTGTTTCTTCGTGGTGTTTATGTGGCCGCTATTTGGCGAGGAGTTATGCTGACACGAGTCTCCTGTGTCTCTTGCCCATGGCTGCAGGTTAGGGGGAACTCTGTATTCCTTCCATTCCTCAATCCTGAACTGCCTCCTTCCTCAGCTGACAAGTCCCAGGTTGGCCGTGCGCAAAAGGGCCATCATTGCCCTTGGCCACTTGGTTTTGACTTGCAATGGGAACATCTTTGCAGAGCTTATGGAGCACCTCTTAGCAGAGCTGAAGAGAAACAACTCCACGTCTACCACCAGAACATACATCCAGTGTATTGCTGGAATCAGCAGGCAGGCTGGGCACCGCATAGGTAAGTCTTCTTTTGCGAAGGCTTTGCCACTTGTGACTGCTGTTACCCAAGTGGATTTCTATGCCTATATTTCCCCCTTAGCTCTTGGTTTCATTCTTCTAGTGAGGTGGGATTTTTACCTGAGCCTATTTTGAACTCCTGAATGAATATCTTGGGGATCTAGTTGTACTACCATAACATCTTTTCCTGCTGTAGCAACTTTGAGTATGTTACGGCGTAAGCAGGAGCCAAAGGCAGTTTTTATTGCTTGGGTAAGCTAAGAACCTTTTATACTAGGATCAATGGGGCTGGAAGAAGCCCAGGTGTATGAGAGCCCAGCTTTCTGGCCTAAGATTCTAACAGGCCACTAGCAAAGAATAGGAGTGAAGAAAGTGTCAAAGATATATACAGAACAGATCAGTTCAGATGGCTCCAGCAAATGAGCTGGCAAATTGCTCCATATGGATAATTGTAAGCAATAAAAAAAACTTCAGCGGGTGATTTAAATTGAGGATGAAGGAGATATTCTCACTGTGGCTGCTACTATTTTCTTGGATTTATGTGGTCCCAGATCTATTGATTTCTAACATGCAAACTGCCATCGCACTGCTGTAACTGGATAAGGGCTCCCTTTCACGTTGTAGAGATAGTTATGCATTATGATATGTCTGAAAAACTGATGATATTTCAGATTTTACTTCCAGCACTATCGGGAGTCCCCTGACTACTCACTAGGCCTGGGAAAATTTATGTTTAATGGTTCACTCCTTCGCTGTCTTCTAGGAGACTATCTGGAAAAGATGATCCCCTTAATCGTTCAGTACTGCAACGTTGAGGATGATGAGCTGAGGGAATATTGCTTCCAAGCCTTTGAGTCTTTTGTGAGAAGGTTTGTGTATGTTTATCATGGTCTGCTTTTCCGTGACATGCAAAGTTCAGCATGCCGTGTTGCTTTGTGTATTTTTTTTTTGGGGGGGGGTGTGGTTGTGAAGGGTCTGCTTTTCAATAAGCTGCTATCCAGAAATCTGTGCTATCTGATCTGATTTTATTCTGGTTAAGGGAATTGTGTCTCAGGAGCCCTCCAGTGATGTTTGTCTGGCCCCTTTGCATGCCTGTGTAATGACTTCCTTATGTTATATAACCACACCTGCTGGAAAGGGACTTACCACTGAATGGAGACCTATCAAGCAGGACACATCTGGTGGATCTGGAAATTTTGTAGTGAAGAGTCGCAGTTCTAAAATAATTGAAACTTGAGTCATGTTTCTGCAGCTGAAATCCCCAGTAGTTTGTTTTCAGGGAAGAGTATAACTTCCTTTTCCTCATTGTTCTAAAGCTTAAATAAAATGAAGAAAAGGGCTTATGTCATTTAAAAAAGACAGGAATAGAGTGAGATTGAATCGGGCATTATGAAAAGAGATCGTGTGCTTTGTATAACTGTTAAGGGAAATTTTGACACACTGAACCTCTCCTGTGATCCTGCCTAGAGTGGTCCAGTTGTGGAATTGTATCTGGTCCAGATAATGATTTTATGCAAATATCAGTTTCCAGATTGATTTCAGTAGAACCCCGATTGCATACATATTCCTTTGTGCACATGAATCTGGCCTTTTTGTTGAAATGAATAGGCAGCGCTTCGAGAGGGTCATGTGTGCATTTGAGACCTCATAGTTGCAATCAATCACAATTAAGAAGTATGGTGATGTTTCTGAAGCTGATGTAAGGTGTTTCAAGCCTTGGGGGTGACAGAGACTGTTATTAATTGGTTGTATGGAGAATACTATTTATTGAATTAGGTATTTTATTCCATTTTCATCTGAGCTTTTCTTGCTATTTTCAAAGGTGTCCAAAAGAAATTGGCCCTCACCTTCCTAGCGTGACAGCATTGTGCCTCAAATATATCACTTATGACCCAAACTATAACTATGACAACGAGGAGGAGGATGAAGAAGAAATGATGGAAACTGAAAATGGGGAGGATGAGGAACAAGGTACGGCATGCTTAGGAATCTGATGGTGATATATTCAGAGAATCCTGGGCTGCCCCATCAGTATCCTGAACAGTCCTTTCAAACCTCTCTGTCTCTTTCCTGAGCCATCCAGCCCAGAGGCTGGCATGAAGAGACTCATCTTTCCTTTTCTTTTTTTTTATAAGATATTTATTAAGCTTTTTTAAAGTATTACAATAAAAATGAAAAAATAACAAAAATACAAAATAAAAATAATTAAAAACACACAGATTTTCCATTACTTGTTTTCCTTTAGCTTGTTTCCCGGACCTCCTCATACCTCCCTTTTTTGTATTCCAGTTCAATTTGTTGGTTCAGCAAATCCTTACCCTCTTTATTTATCCTAATCTTTAGTCTTAAAATAGTAATGTTAAATTTTTACCTATTAACAACCCATTTTTCATAATCCCTTAAAGCATTACTGCTGGAAACCACTTAATTTCTATCCAACATCATTCTAACATTCATTAATTTTACAATAATTCTGTAGATAGTCTTTGAATTTCTTTCAATCTTCTTCCACCGACTCTTCTCCCTGGTCTCGGATTCTGCCAATCATTTCTGCCAGTTCCATATAGTCCATCAGCTTCATCTGCCATTCTTCCAGAGTGGGTAGATCTTGCGTCTTCCAATACTTTGCAATGAGTATTCTTGCTGCTGTTGTGGCATACATAAAAAAGGTTCTATCCTTCTTTGGCACCAATTGGCGGACTATGCCCAGGAGAAAGGCCTCTGGTTTCTTCAAGAAGGTATATTTAAATACCTTTTTCAGTTCATTATATATCATTTCCCAGAAAGCCTTAATCCTTGGGCACGTCCACCAAAGGTGAAAGAATGTACCTTCAGTTTCTTTACATTTCCAACATTTGTTATCGGGCAAGTGATAAATTTTTGCAAGCTTGACTGGGGTCATGTACCACCTGTATATCATTTTCATAATATTCTCTCTTAAAGCATTACATGCCGTAAACGTCATACCTGTGGTCCACAACTGTTCCCAGTCAGCAAACATAATGTTATGTCCAAAATCTTGTGCCCATTTAATCATAGCAGATTTCACCGTTTCATCCTGAGTATTCCATTTCAACAGCAAGTTATACATCTTTGACAAAATCTTAGTTTTGGGTTCTAACAGTTCTGTTTCTAATTTTGATTTTTCCACCTGGAAGCCAATTTTCTTGTCCAAATTATATGCCTCCATTATCTGATAATAATGAAGCCAGTCTCGCACTTTATTTTTAGTTTCTCAAAACTCTGCAGTTTCAGTCTATCTCCATCTTGTTCCAAAATTTCCCAATATTTCGGCCAATTGGCCTCCATATTGAGCCTTTTCAGAGCTTTCGCTTCCATCGGTGACAGCCACCTTGGGGTTTTGTTTTCCAATAAATCCTTGTATCTTATCCAAACATTAAACAATGCTTTCCTGACAATATGGTTTTTAAATGCTTTATGCGCTTTGACCTTGTCATACCACAGATATGCATGCCATCAAAATACGTTGTTAAAACCTTCTAGGTCCAAAATGTCTGTGTTTTCAAGAAGTAGCCATTCTTTCAACCAGCAAAAAGCTGCTGATTCATAGTAAAGTTTAAAGTCTGGCAGGGCAAATCCACCTCTTTCCTTTGCATCAGTTAATATCTTAAATTTTATTCTGGGCTTCTTGCCCTGCCAGACAAATCTAGAAATATCTCTCTGCCACTTCTTGAAACAATCCATCTTGTCCACAATTTGCAATGTTTGAAACAAAAACAGCATTCTAGGCAATACATTCATTTTTATCACAGCAATACGACCCAACAGTGAAAGCTTCAAATTTGACCAAATTTCTAAATCTTTTTCACTTCCGTCCAACATTTTTCATAATTATCTTTAAATAAGTTCCCATTTTTGGCTGTCATATTAATCCCCAGGTATTTCACTTTCTTAACCACAGTCAAACCTGTCTCATTCTGAAACCTCTCTCTTTCAATCGGTGTTAAATTTTTCTCTAAAACCTTAGTTTTTAACTTGTTCAGTTTAAATCCTGCCACTTGACCAAATTCTTGAATTAGTTCTAAAACCCTTTTAGTACTAGATTCTGGCTCCTGTAACGTCAATACTAAGTCATCTGCAAATGCTCTCAGTTTGTACTGTTTGGCTCCGACCTGTATGCCTTTAACCGACCGGTCCCTTCTAATCATATTCAGCAGAACCTCCAGGACCGATATAAAAAGCAGTGGGGAGATTGGGCACCCCTGTCGTGTCCCTTTTTCTATCTTAAATTCTTCCGTCACCACATTATTTACAATTAATTTAGCCGAAGAGACTCATCTTTCCATGGTCAGCAGAACATGAAAACAACGTGTTCATCGCTTTTGAAGTAACCGTAAATTCACTCTCCAAAAACATGTCCAAGTTGATTTTGGAGCACCTGCAAGATGGGTTTAAATAGATCAGCTGAAATGAATTATTTTCATTTTTAAGCAGGAGAGGCAGTGAGGCCTGGCTTACCTATAATCAAGGGCCACTTGGCTCCTGTTTCTCAGATAGGTCCTCCAGTGCCTACTTTTCATAGAATCATAGAATCATAGAGTTGGAATAGACCACAAGGGCCATCGAGTCCCACCCCCTGCCCTGCAGTTGTTTGAATGAGAGGGAGAGATAGCAAGCTTCTTCCCATTGTGTTGACTGAGACTGGCTATTTCTCAACTCTGTTCCTCCATAGCAGGATCCACTGAGAGGCCAGTCTATCCAGCAGCTAGCAGAAGGAAAGAGAGTGATTCTCCTTCTCTTGTTCTTGCTGGGACATGCAACCAACTTGACCTTTTTCCTTTTACGTTTCTTTTCTGTACTGAAGTATGTCCAACACGGCCCTCTGTCCCTTTTCCTTGTAATTCTAACTGGACGGAAAACTATATCAAAATCCTATTGTACTGCAGTCTTACGGGAAGATTTGAAGCAATGGTTTATTGTCCCATTGTTCGCCTTGTGTTTCTTTGTTTGAAAAAGAGAAATAAGATGTAGACCTGTTCCACCCTAAAGTAGTCAAGACCTACTTTCCCACTTTCCTAATGCTTGGTTTTCCACTTTTCCTCCTTAGAAAGTGACGATGAGTACAGTGACGATGATGACATTAGCTGGAAAGTTCGCAGGTCTGCGGCGAAGTGCCTTGAGGCTATTGTCAGCACCAGGCACGACCTCCTGCAGGATTTCTACAAAACACTCTCACCGGCTTTAATAAGCAGGTTCAAGGAAAGGGAGGAGAATGTTAAAGCAGACATCTTCTGTGCTTATATATCTTTGTTGAAGCAAACGCTGCCCATTCAGAGTTGGTTGCATGCTTCAGATGAGGCAAGCAAGGAGGATATACCTCTCACCATGCTCCAGAACCAGGTGAGTGATGGAGCAGGGAGCCAGGGGCCTGAAGAGATGACCCTGCCTCGCACAGAGATGGGGAACCTGCGACCCTCCAGATTTTGCTGAACTTCTACTCCCATCATTTCTGACCACTGACCTTGCTGGCTGGGGCTGATGGGAGCTGGAAGGCCAAAGATTCCATATCCCTGGCTTAACAAGGTGGTTTCAAAACGACGAACTTACATTAGACTCACTGGCTTGGTTCAAATGGAACTCTGTTGGTTCAAATGGAGATCTGTTGCCCTTAAGACAACTGATGATGAACAAGCTTGCTCTGATATGATGATCTGGTTCCATAAGTAGATAGACAGCAGCAACAGGAAGATGCAGCCTACTATTTTGTGGAGGAGCCCTTCCTCTCTGCAGACGCCTTGGAGGAAAGGTGCACTGGTTTAGCATGGCGGGGAGGTCATGGCAGCCGTGGTCCAGGTGCAATTTTTATGGGGGGGGGGAGTGACCAGGCACCTCCACAGCAGGCACCTTCATTGGAGCTTGGCTCTGTGTGCTAAGAAGCTGTGCCTGGCTGTAGCTCTGGTCTGGGGTCAGGTCTCACCTGGGAGTGGGGGGGAGCAGGAGAGTTGGTGGCAAGGCTCCAGCCCACCCTCCTTGGCTGTGGCATGCCTTGAGCCTGGCTGAAGCAGCTCCGCTCCTGGGTCAGGTGTGACCCAGGGGTGGAGAGCAGGAAGAGAGTCAGTGGCAGTTTCGCCGCCCCTCTCCTCTCCTGAACTGTGGTATGTGGGAGGTAGGCTCTGCCCCCCCGCCTCCCTCGGGGATTGCACCCCATGCGCCCACCCCAGGCGGTGTGGGCATACGCTCTGCCACTTGAACATTCACGTAATTGGGTCTTCTGCCAGCTTATGAAAATGTGGTGTGCTGTGAAAATGAAATAAGAAAATAACTCGTCATCAGCACCCACTGCATTGTTTTCAAAACAATATGATTTCTCTAGCAGCTGTAGCAAAGCAGCTACTATTCTGAAGTGAGCAAAATGTCAGCTGCCATTTAAAAGTTGTGTTTCACTTTCTGAATCCATATCTCAGCTTGATAGCAATGGGGTCTGTGGCTATTGAGTGCCTGCAGAGATAGGGCATGCATTGATTTGAAAGGTACTTGATTGGAATGATCCTACTTCATGGATCTTGGGGGAACATTTTGGTGGATCTGAAGTTTTAAAAATGGCTCCTGTCCAAACGTTTGGACACACAGTACACTTGCTATTGTTGTTTAAAAAACATCCCTTTGGAAGAATAGTTCATGTGAAAATCTTTATCTGAAAAGAATTGGATCCCCTATGTGTTTGCTTCCTGCCCCCCTCTGAGAAGCTCACCCATGTCCACATAGATGAATATTATGAAGAAACAATCCACAACTATAACCTTTCCTGCATAACAGAAACCATTTGCAAATTGGCTCCCCTTCCCATTCCATACTAAATGATTAATGCCCAGTCTTAGACTTGGATCACTTGCTTCTTTAGCTTCGTGTTGGGTTACTAATGAGTTTCTTTCTAACCTTACAGGTTCCAAACATCGTCAAGGCCTTGCACAAGCAGCTCAAAGAGAAGAGTGTCAAGTCAAGACAGGGGTGCTTCACTCTCCTGACAGAACTGGCTAATGTTCTTCCTGGTTGCCTTGCAGATCACATACCTGCACTAGTACCTGGTAAAACTTGTCAGGAGGGAGGGGACGTAGCAAGGCAAAAGGTTTTCAGTATAGAATATTTTTCATTCTCAAATGTGATGCACCTAAACCATATGACAGTGGCTTCTTTTACATACATAGCTAACCTTCTGCTCCTTCAGAACAAGTCGGTGGATATTTTACCATTGGCTTTGCAGAAGCCAAGAGTTGGTACTATCTAGTCCTTTAAAAATCCATTTGAACTTCATGGGTTGGGGGTAGATTGCCTTTCTTATCTTAAATTCTCATACAAAGTGGAGGCACACATCACTTCAAGCCAGAGTGTTTGCTCAGAGCTGTCACTGGCATAGACATGGCAGGTGACCAGTTCTGAGGTGAGCTTGTTCCAGCACACCTTTGCTTTAGATAGAATTGGAGTGTGGCGAGAGAGCAGAGTTACCTGCCCTCTGAGGAGCTATATAGTAGGGGAATGACTTCTGTAAGCTATTATAAAGCATCCAAAGGGATTTGTACATGAAACAAATTGTGCGGAAGGTGCCAATTATTAAAGAATGCAAATTTATCTGTGACTAAATCCCCACCCTGCCAGTTCTCTTTTGTATGAGTTTAATTCTGTCTGAAGCTAACTTTGTATTCTAAAAATAGAACCAAGCTGACGAATACTTTCTCCAAACAGGCATTGTCTTCTCCCTGACTGATAAATCCAGCTCCTCCAACATGAAGATTGATACGCTGTCTTTCCTTCACGTCGTCCTTTGCAACCACTCCCGGGATGTGTTCCACCCACATGTTAAGGCCCTGTTGCCCCCCGTCGTGATTTGCATAGGGGATCCCTTTTACAAGATAACTTCGGAAGCTCTGCTGGTTACGCAGCAGCTGGTGAAAATCATCCGGCCCCTGGATGTGCCTTGTACGTTTGATGCCAAGCCCTATGTGAGAGACCTCTTCTCTGCTACTCTGAAGAGGTTGAAAGCTGCTGACATTGACCAGGAGGTGAAAGAACGGGCCATCTCTTGCATGGGGCAGATTGTTTGCAACCTTGGAGACTACCTAAGCAGTGATCTCCAGCCAACCTTGAAGATTTTCCTGGAGAGGCTGAAAAATGAAATAACCCGACTGACCACAGTCAAAGCGCTAACTTTAATTGCCAGCTCCCCGCTCAGAATAGACTTGAGGCCCATTCTTGCAGAAGGATTCCCCATTTTGGCTTCCTTCTTGCGAAAGAATCAGCGTGCCTTGAAACTGAGTACCTTGACGGCTCTCGACATCTTGATCAAGAACTACAGCGACAGCCTCAAGCCGGCCATGATTGAATGTGTTCTAGTAGAGCTCCCTGATTTAATCAGTGAGAACGACATGCACGTTTCTCAGGTGGCTATCGTGTTCCTTACAACCTTAGCTAAGGTTTATCCTTCGTCCCTGTCCAAGATCAGTGGTACAGTTCTCTCGGGACTCTTTCAGCTTGTTTACTCGCCTCTGATGCAAGGCGGGGCCCTGAAAGCCATTGTGGACTTCTTCCAAGCGTTGGTTGTAACTAAGACAGTCAACATGAGTTATGCAGAACTGATGAAGCAGCTGACTAGCCCTATATACTCTTCGAGCCCTGGTGGGGCATCTGCAAATTTACATAAGCAGGCCTATCACTCTGTTGCAAAGTGCGTGGCAGCCCTTTCTTTCGTGTGCCCCAAAGAAGCACCCGGGGTGGTCAACCAGTTCATTCAGGATGTGAAGAATCCCAAGTCCAGTGCTGCTGTCAAAATGTTGGCCTTCCTTTCCCTGGCCGAAATAGGACGCACCACAAACCTCAGTGCTCAGAAGGAGCTCAAAGCCGTGATATTGGATGCGTTCGCTTCGCCCAGCGAAGAGGTGAAATCGGCAGCTTCCTACGCTCTGGGCAACATCAGTGCGGGCAGCCTGAAAGAGTACCTTCCCTTCATGCTCAAAGAGATTGGAGGCCAGCCTAAACGGCAATACTTGCTGCTCCACTCCTTGAAGGAAGTCATCAGCTCCTCTCCGGGAGAGAGCCTGAAACCCTACGTGGAGGACATCTGGGCCCTGCTCTTCAAACACTGCGAATGCACCGAGGAAGGGACCCGCAATGTAGTCGCCGAGTGCCTGGGGAAACTGACCGTGGTGAATCCTTCTCAGCTGCTGCCCAGGTTGAAAAAACAGCTGTCGTCAGGTAACAACGAGGCCAAGCCCAACTGTAGCACTATTGAGATGCTGTTGGCACTAAGGCCCCCTGTGCCTTTCATGACTCCTGTCATTGAGCCAGTGCTGTGGAAGCAAGGGCAGCCCGCTTATGAAGTCAAGTGAAGCAACCGCCTCAGGTGGTAGAAGCTCCCGAGGTGGTGTCTCCATGGGCAAGCCTTAAAGCTGGAACTAGTGGCAAGGCCTCCCTCTCCAGTAGATAAAAGTGATTTTGGTTGGCGTATTTTAGTTAGAGGGATTTATAGATGGCTTAATCAAAGAGCTCTCTGTGCATAATAACTTTGGACATAAAAACAGCTAAAACTCACAAAACTTACTAAAAACTATGCATTTACATTCATATTCATAATATTAGTGGTTGCTAGATGCTGCAGCAAATTATAATAATTTGTTGGTTGGCTCTTCTGTATATTGATGCGTGTGTAGCTTCGGAGGAGAAAAGGCAAGAGAGATATTCCAGCTAGGAGAACAAAATGGGAACAAAAAAGGGTGGTGGGGACTATTCTGGTATTTAGATGACTCTATGAAGAAAAAACTACAGTATTTGTTTTTAAGAGAAAAAAACCCTTAGGTTTTTATTTAAAAGGGCAAACACTCGTTCTCTTCTACATTTGTACGTTCCTAATGAAACCATATTCTGTAGGGTATTAACAAAGTAGGTTTTCTTCAGATGTCTTAACATTTGCCTAACAGAGGGGTGTCAAATATAATGGGCAGTTCTGGGTTAACCACTAGGCCAAGTCACCTTAAAAATTATCTGTAATCCCCCCCCCAAAAGTATGTTTATCAGTGTATGCTGCCTTGCTATTTTGTGATACATTATAGAAATACTTCTATACAGTGGTACCTCTGTTTATGAACAGTCCTGTGAACAAACCATTTGGTATACGAACTTCACAAAACCAGAAGTAGTGTTCTGGTTTGCGAACTTTACCTCAGTCTATGAATGGAAGCCGAACGATAGAAAAGCACCGGTGGTGGAAAGCCTCATTAGGGAAAGCATTCCTTGGTTTAAGAACGTATTTGGTTTAAGAACAGACTTTAGGAACGGATTAAGTTCGTAAACCCAAGGTACCACTGTATATAAAATAAGCATACTATGGAAGAGGGCTCCAATTTCATTTGGGCTTGCTTTTGTGACAGAATTGTCTGAGTGCAGCTCTGTGGATGACTATCTTTATATAATGGGGGAGCAATTGGCTATATTCCCCATTTCAAGGGGCTTCATCTGGGAAGAAAATTTCTGCATTGCAGAAAATGGGTGTAGGCTCTTATTGCTGTGACTAATGCAGAGGGAGAAATTAAGGAGTCATCACAGAGGTGTGGGCTTCCAGAATGAAATTAAACGGAGATTTTCTTTTCTTTAAACCAGTGTTGATGTTTGGGAATAAAGCACTGGGAAAGGTTTTTAAAATCCCATTTTAAACAATACAGTATTACTTTGCCAGGCTAAATGTTCCCAGTAAAATTCTGCTCATACTATTAAGCATTTTTGTTTGTCACTTTACCCTACCCTTTGTCTGACAGTGTGCAGCTGCTGCCAGGCTGCATAAAAATTTTATTTCATTAGACCATTAGATGACCACCCTGCTTAAACTGCAGCTGTCTGCCAAGTGGCTTAAGCAGGGCGATGAATGTAAAGTTAGTTATAGTTTTAGACCTCCAGCTGGTAACATCACTTGAGTACCAAAAAAGGTATGCCATGCACACTTAATATTCCTGTTTGCTGGCTTAGCTTGGATTTCTTTCTCTCTCTCTCTGAGTGTGTGTGTGTGTGTCTTTTGGAGTGGCGGAATCTGAATAGCAATCTTAATAAAATGTTGTTATCTGATCTCTATGCTCCTTCTTAAGACGATTCTTTCCTCTGTTTTGATTGCAGGTTCACCATATGCTCGAAGCACAGTAGTAACTGCAATCAAATTCACCATTTCAGATCATCCACAGCCCATTGATCCCCTTCTTAAAGGATGCATAGGTAAATCTTTGTTTCATACAGAAACCTCCCTGGGTGATCAGAATACCAGGCATTGTTTTGTTACGATAAACCAATACACAGTGGCTGTGCAAGAGGTTTGCTTTAACTGCCTGCAATTCCCATTTACCGGTACTCAAAAATAAATAATCTAGGGGAGTTGTTCTTTAACCACAATCAGTGGAACTGCAAGGCTGAATGCATGTTTTAGAAAGCCTCTTCAATATATTAGCCATTATGCTTTAGAGCAGAGAAAGGCATACTGGGATTGAGTTTACGCCTGGTTCCTCCTCGCCTCCTCCCTGATTTAATGGGGGACTTGAAGAGCACTGATTACATTGCAGGTAGCACACACATGGTGCCAGAGCACAACTCAAAACAACCCTGAAGATAGTAGTCCTTTGGTGCTTGTTATGTCATGGAAATGCTCCTTGTGCAGGAACTTGTTTGTTTCTATACATGGCTTGGTTATTTCTACAGTAATCTATCCACAGATTAAGGATGGGTGAATTTAGTAGTTTTTTGGAGCCACCTCATAGGTGAAGAATTAAGAGAGAAATTTTTATAAATCATGGATGGAATCAAAGGTTGTACAAGACGGCTTTTGCTCATACAACAGGACCTTGGCTTTCTCTGCACAGCCCTAAAATCGGCTCTGGAGAGTCCCTTAACTCCTGCAGATCAGACTTTGGAGGGCCCACGAGAAGAGAAAGGCAAAGTCCTGTGGTTCCAGCCATGCACAGATGTTGCTTTGGACAAAACTTCTCATCTGCAGTTCAGTTTATGTGGAGGCTGCTAATTTCAATACTGCATGATCAGGTTTGTCAAAAGGAAATTGCTTCCTGCTATATATTCTGACATTTCGAATACATTTGAGTTCTGTTTCCAGTTTTAGTTTTCAGAGAATGAAGGGAAAAGGGAATGGTGTTAATAACAGATGCAGCTAGTCTAGTCACTGCAGGCCTCCTCAACCTTGTGCCCTCCCAATGTTTTTGGATTAGCTGCATGTTGGCTAGGGCTAGTTGTAGTCCAAAACATCCGGAGGGCATCAGGGTCAGAAGTATAGAAAAGAGGGTTTAAGGTGGCTTGTTTCTACAATGCAGACACCTTGTTTTCACAGTTTCTGTAGGTGTGACTCAGTTGATGGGGTATTGTGTCTGTCTTTTATGGAGTAAGACTGTCATTTCATAGTGACGTTCCCATGCTGATCAAAGGTGACCATGCTGGATCTTGTGAGAATATTTTCTTCCACATCTGCGACAAGGTGACCAGTTGCTGTTTCCCAGCTAGTTTTGAAGTAAAAGCTGCTTTTTGTACTATTACTATGCAGGTGACTTCTTAAAAACACTTCAGGATCCCGACTTGAATGTTCGACGTGTTGCTTTAGCTATGTTTAATTCTGCTGCTCACAACAAGCCTACTCTGATCAGAGACCAGCTCAGCACAGTACTGCCCCACCTGTATAATGAAACCAAGATTAGAAGGGAATTGATACGGGAGGTATGGACCAATGTAGATAATATTATCCATTTCAGTTTCATATTGTGATTTGGCTTTTTCCTGCAAAGTGTGTGGATTTATCTGGTTTAACTCCATAGGTTCTGTTTGCCTAAAGTCTGCATATATTGCATAAACAGAATACATAGATTGACATTTGGTTTAGCAATTTCACTGTAAAAAAAGGAAAATACGGTTTGGCTTCTAGTTTCATGGACCCTATAGCATTTTAATGCCCTTACGAGTAGCATGAAGTAGCATATGTTTTTCTGACAACTGAAACAGTTCAAACCCCAGCTTACACACACATTAAAAATGCTTTGCTGATAATGTCTTTGCTTTAATGTCAAAAGTAATTACCAACGTAAATAGGCAATAATCAGGATAAGGATAAATGGGCTTTAATATTTTGTATAGCAGGAGAGTGCAGACATTTGTGATTATTATTGGTTGGATGGAAAAGTCTAATAGCACATGTAAACTTTAGCAGAAGTTAGATCTGTTCATTTCATCATATATAAATTTTGGCATCCCTTCCAATGATTTATAAAATTCAAGAAATTGTGTTCTCCCCACGTAGTACAACTTGTGTTAAGCTTTACAGTGCAATCCTATGCACTTAAGTTTCAGTGTTAAACTGAACTTTCTTCCTGGTGTTTTTAGGATTGTAGCCTCAGGGCAACTACCGTATTTTTCGCTCTATAACACGCACCCGACCATAACACGCACGTAGTTTTTAGAGGAGGAAAAGCCGTAGGCATGCCAACCGTAGGCATTCCCTCCGTAACACGCACAGACATTTCCCCTTACTTTTTAGGAGGAAAAAAGTGAGTGTTATGGTGCAAAAAATACGGTATGTGGTATAGTTCACTGTTCAGGATAGGGACTGTGTGTTTTCTGGGGACTATTTGAGGCAGCAGCGGATATATAAGAGAGGATTTAAATGTTGTTGACACTGGTGTCATGCAGATATTGCCTACTGGAAAGCTCTTCTCTCTTTGAATGACCAGGTATAATAGCATTTCCCCTTTTTCTTTTTTTAGGTAGAAATGGGCCCATTCAAACACACAGTAGATGATGGCCTTGATGTAAGGAAAGCTGCTTTTGAGTGCATGTACACACTTTTGGAAAGCTGCCTTGACCGACTAGACATTTACGAGTACTTGAATCACGTGGAGGATGGCTTGAAAGATCATTATGACATCAGGGTAACTACCTCCTTTTCATTATCAGCAGAGCTTATTTCATCTGTTACTACTTCACTAAGGGCTGTTTGGAGGTTGCTCACCTCCCACGCCATGTAGAGAACAAGGCTGTTTTCTTCCTCCCTGTGCACAAGTGAATGCCTAAACTTGGGTGTTGTTTGAACATGAGCTCTTCTATATATTCCTAAATACTGAAACCCTTTTTAGTGGTTTTGAAACTCAGGAGATCAATGTTTGGACATCACTTCTACATAGGAAACGGAGAGTAGGGAGGGAAGTGTTGCTGGCCTACAACTCACTGCCATTCTTGTGGAGTTTTTAGGAGTAGGGAAACAGCCGAACAATGCAGTTCTGTCATTTGCTTCCCTGGTTTATCATAGAAAGATCCATCATTTTAAAATACAATGGGAACTTTGGTGCAGTGATCCATTTGAGGCTGATGATGGTTGCTTGAACCTGTTGTGTGAAAGTGATCGTATGTTACTGGAAATTGTAGCAGTGAAAATCTTCAGGGGGGAATAGTTCATGTAGCCTTTTCCTTTTTCTCCCCCATATTTATTTTTTTTAGATGCTGACTTTCATTATGCTGGCTCGCCTTTCAACACTCTGTCCTAATGCAGTCCTACAAAGATTAGAACGACTAGTTGAACCCTTGCGAGCAACTTGCTCTACAAAGGTAATACACTAGGAAAGCTCAAATATTTCATTTCCTTGAGCAGTTTGCTTCCAGGTCTGTTTGATCCCCTGTCCTCCATTCTCAGGCTAGACAGAATACCTACCTTTCAGTGCTGTAAGCCAGGGATAGCTAACCTTTGGCCCTCCAGAGGTTGCTGGAATACAATTCCTGTATTCCCTGACCTCTAGACCTGCTGGGATTTGGGAGCCCAACATCTGGAGGGTAATCCTGTATGTAAGCCAGTTGTTTTAAACCAGAGTGCTGTGGCACCCTGGGGTGCCTTGAATGATGATCTGGGTGCCACAGGCAACACTGGCCTCTGTCCCTCTTCCCTTCCGTCCCTCAGATGCCCCATCTCATCTCTGCCTCCCAAATGCTTGCACAGCTGTTTGTTGCTGCAGCCCTGGCTAATAAGCTCCACAAGCAAATGGTGCCTCTGGGAGGCACCTCTCTTTGGAGTGGGGTGGGGGGGGTGGGGGAATTCAGAGACCAGTGGCGACAGTAGCAGCTGGCCAGAAGACACCAAGGAGAGAGGCTGAGGGAACACTCCACAAGGAGGGTGTTTGAAAAAGGGTGAGAGGCTGCCAGCTCTGCAAGCAAGTAGTGATGTAATTGGGCTCCTGGGCCCCACAGTGCTGCTGCAGAACGAATGCAGTTGGCCAAAAGAGTTGTGGACTCAAAAAGGTTGAAAATCTCTGCTATAAGCCATTGTAAGATCTCTGTGTTTTATTCAGTGCTGCTGTTCCTCTCACACAAAGACTTCTGCTCGCTCAATGCAATTTCTCCAGTTACAGGATTGGTAGTCAGTTTGATTTTTTTATTAGCGTATTTTTGTTCTGCCTGAAGTTCATTTTTAAAATGTCTTATTTTTCTTAGGTAAAAGCCGGCTCTGTCAAACAAGAATTTGAGAAGCAAGATGAACTGAAACGCTCGGCAATGAGGGCAGTAGCTGCCTTATTGACCATCCCTGATGTAGATAAAAGCCCTGTGATGGCAGAATTTTACTCTCAGATCAGAGCAAATCCAGAAATGTCTTCACTTTTTGAAAGCATTCAAAAGGATTCTACTTCATTGTCTGCTGCAGAATTAATGGACTTGAGCTAGAACTCCCAAAGTTCTCCTCCTCCTTACACTCCACTATGCTGAGGGTGGACAATCATATTCTAGAGCTGATTTTAGATGCAGATGTCATTTTAAAAATGACAACTTCCTATATAAACAGGCATGATTTTAGAAACATAAAAATGACAGTAAGGCCTGTTGATATCAATAGGGTAACACCACTTTTAAGGTCACTTATTCTTTAGCTCAAATACACAATCATGATTTTTTGCCAAAAGTTGTGCATTGACAATTATATCTCAAATCACTGATGTGGTGGCACTGTCATGGAATTTTATAAAACAGTGATGATAAATGAAGTTATGCTATAAAGATCTCATAATTGCCTCAGTTAGTGACTTTTATGTGTGCTAATTTTACACTGACTTGAGTGACTTTCATAGTAGCAGGTGAACTGAAGTGCTAAACTATGAAAGTAACCCAACTATCTTCCATGATGGAATGCCTTATGCTTAATATTCGTCTGTTACCACATACCTCTTAAATGCAGCAGCTGGGTATTTACTATTCTTCCCCCCCCATGAGAGCTTGATACCAAAGCATTTATTTTAAAATACAAAAAGTTAGCATGTCACTCCCAAGAACCATTGATCTTTCTGGTATGAAGTATTTAATAATGAAATGGCACCAACTGGTTATAAAAATGCTAACACCAACATACTGCTGTTTAAATCTCACAGTACAGCAGAGAAAATGTTAATTTCTTGCAGCCGTGGATTATTAAGCTTCACTTATAGGATTTTTTTCCCCATTTGAGTCAGTCTGTGAATCACTTAAGTGCTCTATTTATAAAACAGGGTGTCACCTTTTTTGTTCTACATGAAACACATCCAATGAAAATAAAGATCATAAATGCATCAGCAGTATTGATTCAATTGCAGCTTTCTGTTTTTGTTTTTTTTTGCAAGTTGATTTCTGTAAGGAGTTCAAGTTAGTTGCTACAAAAATACTGCTTGTTACTAGTCATACCTCAGGTTAAATACGCTTCAGGTTGAGCGTTTTCAGGTTGTGTTCCGTGGCGACCCGGAAGTAACAGAGGCGACCCGGAAGTAACGGAATGGGTTACTTCCGGGGTCCGCCGCTCAAAATGTCACATGCATGTGCAGAAGCGGTGACCCGTGCACATGCGGGTTGCGTTCTGCTCAGGATGCGAACAGGGCTCCCATTCGAATCCAGAGGAACCACTGTATGCAGATATGGAAGTTCCAAGATACCCAATATTCTACCCATCCAGCAGCGACTAAGCTTGTGCGCTCAACTTGGATAAAACAGAATGTAGGGTTGTACAGGATTTGAGGTTATATTCTAAATTTTAAGCAGCATCTGCTTTCTTCAAGTGAGGAAGCAGGAAAGATCACAACACATAGACAAAGAATAAACAGGTATGCTGCCTTGTAGCAAGTCATTTGGTCCATCCTAGTTCCTATTGTCCACCGTGCCATGTAGCAGGCAGGATTCCCTCCCAGCCCCTACCGACAGATGCCAAGGATTGAACCTGGCATCTTCTGCATGCTAGTCAGGAGCTCCACCACTGAGCTATGGCCCTTCCCCAACTTCTCAGAGCAGAACACCTTAGTAATTACCATTTCACATACAATGCATATGCAAATGAGCTTTCATTGAAGCTGGTTCCAAAGGAGGTATACCTGTTTGGCACAGTCACTCTTTTTAAGATGTACGTTTTAAAGCAAGCTGTGAAGTTACCTTGAGCAGATACAGCTTAGTGACTTAAGAACTCCTGCTTTTTTCTCACTGCTAATGTACACCTCTTCCGTGATAGTAAATTGTAATTGTGTGGGTTTGCAAATACAGTATCTGTTAGCAGAAGACAGTAGTTTATAAAATATTACTACCTTTCTAACAACTGATCTTCATATGAAGTTACAAAAATTGCTTTTATATACCCTCACAGCAGGAACATCAGTTTTCCGACACTTTTTTGTTTTGTTTTACTTTTTATTAAATACAGTTGTACAAGAACAACTATTTATTCATTTTCCTCACTGCGCAGTCTGGCATTTGGATTGGTGACTTTGATAGCAAGCTGAGCTGCTCTTTCCACAATTACCTTCCGATTCTTGGATGAAACATTGTGAGCAATCTCTGCACAATAGGACCTGATAAAAGATAATGGCATTGTGTCACGAACAGTTCATTACCATTTTAAATCTAATTCTAGGAAAGGCTGAGTGAGAATCTAAGATGCTGGAGGTCCGTGAAGTAGTCAAGTATGTATTGAGGAAATTAGAGGGGTAATTACATATTAAGGAAAATTGCACAACAGTCCTAATGTAAATGTTCCACCTGCAAGTGGGACATTATGTTGAACTACTACTGTACTATTATGTCAAAAACAACATGTCTTTGTTAAAGTCTATGTGCAGGAGAAATGGCCTTTGCATTCAAATGTCACTTTCCACAGGCAGGATGCTTTTGACATAGGGGTTGGAGGCATTTAGATATGTGGAAGCAGTATGCTTCCAAAAGGAGTGCCTAGTTTTTTTCTGTTCTAAATGCAACTTGAAGACTCCAGAAAGGATAAGGGAGTCATTTGTTACAATACCACACACAGGCTTAAACGAACTGGAAGACTGAAGGAAATAATGTGTAAGGAGCTTCCAGATCAAGGTAGACCATGGGATCCTTAGCTCCCAAGGACATTGTTCTCCAAGGACAGTCCAGATGGAGGATTATTGTGCAGCAGGTGCTGCTCAGGTTTCCATAGCATCCATGCAACGTCATCAAAATCCCAGCATACCATTTTAGATTTAATCTTATTTTGTCTTGCCACAGAAAATTCATTATGTGAAAACAACACATTATACAACTGCCGTCATCAGTGCTGTGCAAGTTTCGAAGTACTTTTTTTGGTGGCCAGTTTGTAATGGGTGTGATGTTTCTGTGGGTGGTCTTTATTGCTACACCCGAGTTGTTCTTTTCAATGGTCCAAACAATGAGTGTGTGCCTATTTCCACTGCTTGCTGAAGGCACACTGAAATTCCAACAACCCAGCTCAGAGGAACTACGTTCTCAAGATCGCAACATTGTAAGACAAAATCCAGGTACATCTACTGTAGTTAAACGTTTTTAACTGAGATTTTGCACAAAAACTATACAAAAAAATTAATAGCCTTGATTGGGCCCACAGGTACAGAAATACCCACTCATATACTCAGACTGAGGAAAGATAGGAGTAATTTGAAGGGAGGGACCACAACACCAAAGATTACCCGCTGGTGTGAATGGAAAACAGCAGTATAGTTATGCACATTTTGATTGGGTCCAGTAAGAAAACCTGCCCGAGCTGTGCTGTTCCCCATTTGACTGAGCTGAATAGATATTGGGGAATCAATAGGACATTATAACCTTCCTCAAAGAGCTCTGTGTGGCATTTTAGCCTACTAGCACTGTGGTAGAGTTTACAGAGAACCTGTCCCAGGCTGCCTAACAGGAATCTGAACCAGGATTTCCCTACATCAAATTTCAACCATCCCCAAACCTCTACAGAATTATCTTTGAGGCAGATACCTAAATGGTACCAACTGATACTCTGCTGTACTTTGAACACTATAATGGATGCAATGACCTTCCCAAGCGCGAAGACAATCTTCCTCCCCTCAGCATTATGACATTAAAGAAATATTAATATTGTAATATACAAGGAGATTTTCTAGTGGTAAAGCTTCCAGCAGTGACAGATTGAGTTCTAATCCTACACAGGAAAAGCGGAAGATCCAAAAGGAAAAAGGAAAGAAACGGATGGGGAAGAGATGGCTAGTAGCAGTATCCCATTAAAGAAAAGAAAAACAGGTGCGTGAGAGATGAGCTAGATCCCACAACTCCCAAAATCTTTTTGCATTCAGTGACTACTACTCCTGCAACCAAGCCAGAAATCTTCAAACACAACATGGCATCCCTGAATCCCTTTTCCAACTCACTTGTTGCTCATCATCAGCACCTCCAGCTCTTTGACGTTGTGGACAAGGAACTTTCTGAATCCTGAAGGCAACATGTGCTTTGTCTTCTTACTGCTACCATACCCAATGTTGGGCATCAAGATTTGGCCCTTGAACCTTCTGCGGACTCTGTTGTCAATACCTCTGGGCTTCCTCCAGTTACGCTATAGAAATCCAGGGAGAAAGAATATCAAAACCTCAACATCTGCACCATCTTTTCAGAGATCTAATATATTACCATGTCAGTGCTGCAAAACCAAAACACAAGCTGGCACTCTTGAGTATTTTAATATCTGGTGATTCATCAAAAGGACACCTTACCTTAATTTTGACATAGCGATCAGATTGATGGCGGATGAACTTCTTGGTCCTCTTCTTGACGATCTTAGGCTTGATGAGGGGTCTGAGGGCTGGCATCGTGTCTAACAAAAACAGAGCACACCTAAGGAATCAACACACTATAGGAAATAATTACCCTAAAAAACAAAACAAAAACCACCCTGTAGCAGCGCATCTTTTCTCCCTACCATGTCCAAAGCTGGAAGAGCATGAAAAGCTCTCCAGTCCTGGGAGGTAATCAAATTAAGAGCTGAACCTCTGAATTATTTTCTCCCACATCTATTTAGTGCAGAGAAACCTTTAAAAAATGCCAGTAATGTCCTAGGCCTAAAATACATATTATTAATGGGCTTTGTGTAACATATGCTGTAAGTAAACCCATTACTAGTAAAATGAGCTGCAAGATTTCACAGAAATTATCCTCTTGCTATTATCTTTCCATGTTAAGTTTTCCATTTTAAAAAATATTTCATAAAATCAGTAACATTAACCAGATATAATACAAGCGGACTGGGCTGATTCAAAATGGTAACTAACTGTAGACTTGTTCTCATGATGTTTTATTTGCGTATTCCATCACTTGGGAGTTGTGGCTGATGGCAAAGCTCCTCAACTGTGCCTACAATTGTACAGTCATACCTCGGGTTACAGAAGCTTCAGGCTGCGCGTTTTTGGGTTGCGCACCGCGCCAAACCTGGAAGTACCAGAATGGGTTACTTCTGGGTTTCGGCGCACGCACATGCGCTAAATCGTTTTGTGCATGCACATAAGTAACGAATTGCGACCCGTGCGCGCGCTGTGGGTTGCGAAACGTGCCTCCCGCACAGATAACATTCGCAACCCAAGTGTCCACTGTACCCAAATAGAATCCTCACACCTTCCACCAAATATATAGAGGTTGAGCGAGGGACAGTACAGTAATTTAAATCCCACTTCACATGCTGATTGAAGGTGGATGGTACACAAATGTTCACACCTATGAAATATTTATGGGTTGCATCCAACCAAATTGTACTCAGCAGGGCCCCCGAAATGAATGAACCCAAGTTACTCGTGTCTATTAACAAATATACATTGATCTGCTACACCTTTATGAATTTTCCCGATAAAACTGACTTCCGAATAAGTATCACTGTCAAAGATTATGCCAAAGGTGCTGCATTTTGCACGTGCGCGCACACTCACAAAAATCCAGCCGAGGTAAATCAGGGCCAGAACCTTATGCACACTTAAGCCTCAGGAGAAGGCGATGGGGTTTACTTCGGCCTAAATGCACATTATGACTGTGCTAAACGCTGTGTTGCAAAGGTCGATTTAGAAAGCTGAATTATCCGCGGCGAAAAAGCTCAGTTTGTGAGCAACTTCTTTATTTGAAGCCAAGCCTTCCACCTTCGATAAAGATTTACTCGTCGGAAAAGCTCAAACCCTATTAGGAGTTCTGTCCAGTTTCCCCTCCATGGACCACCACGGAGGACCCATGGTGCTACTCTGGCGAGCGAGGGCTAAGCCTTCAGGCCCTTGTGCTTGTCTGCTTTGCCCTCGCCTGCCGCCCTCTCCATGCCAAGTTAGCTCAGCAAAGGGAAACCGAGCTTCGCCCCAAGAGCGCCCCCAAACTCCCCGCCCCCCCCAGCGCGCCTGGAAATAGCGACCGGCCCCGACAGAGAAGGCCTCAAGCTGCCCCTGGAAGCGGCAAAGTTCTCCCAGGAGCCTCTCCCGGCAAGGATGACAACGGATCTCCCGGACTTACCTGCTGAAGAATGGCGGCACCCGCGCAGGGAGCGAGCGCGGAGAGAAAGAGCGAAGGCGGAAGGCGCAAGGGTTGATGGGACGCCGCTGTAGGGTCCTGGCAGATCGGGTGAGAGCCACACCGAGAGCACAGAAGGACATAAAGGCGGAGTCACTCAAGCCTCTGCTCCTCCTAAACAGAACCCTAACGTGTATTTTATCATCGAAAAACGTCCTGGCTGAATATTTCAGACTTTAATTGTTATATTAGCTTCTGTGAGGTTAGCTAGCTAGGGATATTAAGGACCTGGAAACGTCACTTCCGGCAAGCTGTAGCAGAGGGGCAGGAGCTCAGAAATAAGAATCATAGAATCATAGAGTTGGAAGAGACCACAAGGGCCATCGAGTCCAACCCCCTGAAAAGAAAGTTGTAGAGAAACCTGGGCAGGGAAATTTCGGGTTCGCATGAAAGCTTTTTTTAATGCTTCCCACCTCAAAAAGGGTGCCCATAGTTAGCAACGAAGGAATTGAAGATTTTGGCACGGATTGGACAGCTTCATGTTAGGCATTAATAAAAAGTAGAATCAGAAGTTATGGCGTGGTGGTGGTGCGGCTTAGAGAATCGGAAGTGAAATCCCGTGTATCAGTCTCACTTTAAAGTCTAGGAGCTGAGTGGTGGGGAGCTTGGAGGCGCTTGAGCAGGGGCTGCTGCTACAGGGACACCTGGTGGTCTTACATGGGTAGCGCAGGCGCAATCTCCATGCCGTAGCTTCTGCGGTTGGTTCTGACCGCCTCGTGGAGTTGCTCGCAAGTTTCGCCCGCTCTCGCGTTAAAAAATAACCCCGTTTCTTCTACGGCAGTTTTCTGCTAAATAAAACGCTCGTCTTCCAAAGGGACCACTTTTATAAGTTTAAAAACAGACTATTACACAGACCATTGTACATCTGCAGTGTGCAATCCTGGACAAGTCTCCTCAGAAGCAAATCCCACCAAGGTCAATGGGATTTGCTGTCAGGTTCATACAGGGAACAGGTTCTTAGTTATGATCATCATCTCTTAAAGACATGCTTGTTGATGATTCAGAATTTCCTGCTTATCCCTGTGTCTGGGTTTCATATTAAAAGAGATGTGCTTAAAACTTTGCAGCACGGGGGTTTGGCAAGGCAGGTTCTCGTGAAGTTCACATAGATAGTCTACATGAAATTAATTGGCATTCATTAGTTCCCACGGTACTATGTGGAGGACAAGCAAATTGCCTTGAAAACCCTCTAGGGAAATGGTGCAGTTTTAGATAATAGATGCAAAACGTGCCTTTGAAAATATAAGGAGCTTCGTGGATGCTGGAATTTCCCACCCCAAATACATACCAAAACATTTTTTATGCATAGCCACTGGCAACCTTATCTGAAATTTTATTTGCAAATAATTAATCCAACCTTCAGTATTAGAAGTCATCAAGTATATATTTTTCTAACTGATATTTCACGTTCCCTTGCATTCTACACACCTTGAAGCACTCTGAAGGTGCTGGGATATTGACAGTAGTTTACTGTATTTTTCCGTGTATAACACACACACACCCCACCCCATGTATAACACGACCCCTATTTTTTGGGACTCCAAATAAATCCCCCATACGTACTATCTGTGTATAAGACAACCCCCCAATTTTAAACTTGAAAAAAGAGGGGGGAAATAGTCTTATACACAGAAAAATATGGTAATTGTTTATTGTGCAATCTAGCAGTAAAGAGCAACCCCTTCTTACAGCTCTTCTAGACGATCAGGCTATGGATATAATTTATTAACTCAGTAAATAAACCATTTGTTTTAAGGGGTGCCAAGCATTTTATTGTGGGATACTGTGTTTCGTTAACACTCTACTGCAGTAAAAATTTGCGGGGGGGGGAGGGATGTATTTCTTTATGCAGGAAGAGTTGCCATTACTACTGGAACGTCCAGAAAAGGAATACCTATTGGACAGTGTCTGGCAGAGCGATTAGCATTTGACTGTGTACATACTATGGCTTTGAACCACATTCGAGGCATTTTCTTTCTCTCAAAGAATTCTTGGGACTGAAGTTTGTTAAAGGTTTCTGGGAACTGTAACTCTGTGTGCCCAGAATTGCTTGAGACGGGAAAATGTGAATCAAATTTGCTTTAAAGGCATGCAGACTGTGAATAATTACAAACAGAGTTCCTGATGCTGAACAGGCAACAAACTGGTAAAGGAGATTCAGTATAAGTAAGTAGAAAGAGGTGCACAACAGTGCACCCCCCCAATTTCATAATGTGAATAGCATGAACTAGCAAATGTGTGGGATTGTGGTTGCTGCAGTCCTCCCTGCGTCCTCGCGCCGCCAAGGTTTGGCTTAGTGTTACATCTATACCTGGGCTGTTTTGTCTTGCTTGACCTGTAGTCAAGCTTTGTTCATGGCTTATTGTTTGTGTTATTTTCCAGGGGAGATTGCGGCTTAGCTCTGGGTGTCATGGCAGCAGAAGCTAAGCAGCTGTGAGTACTGCTGTCCATCTCCACACGCTTGTAAATGCATAGCCAGTGTTTGGCTGAATGTCATGGGCCACCATAGCCAATATATGCTTATAGGATCTAAACTGACCATTAGAAACTAGGAGAGAGATCTTGTCGTTATGGTGGATAGTTAAGTGAAAGATCAACAGAGTGTGGCTGCGTGTTTGGAAAAAAGACAAATTCAGTGCCAGAGATTATTAGGAAAGAGACTGAAAAAACCTGCCGGGATTATAATACCTTTATATAGATCTATAATGTGACTGGATTTTGAATACTATATACTCTTCTGATTGCCCATCTCAAAAAAGGAATATATTGATTGCCCATCTTAAAAAGGAATAGATATATTGCATTACATTTCCCCCCCATTCCCCTCTTCAAGGACACCCAAAGTAGCTTACAAAATAATAATAAATAATAATGATGATGATGAAACCATAACAATACAATCAGGAAACAAAGAGCAACAAACTTCTAAAGAAAAGAGTGAAACCAATACAAGCAGACTTAAAACTCCACACAAAGGCCTGGGAAAATAAATGGGGGTTATCTGGCACAAAAAAGATAATATGATGTTAGAAAAACAGCAGGGATAGAATTTTAAAGATAGGAAGCCACCACACAGAAGGAAGGCAGATCTTAAGCTGATTGCTCATTCATGGGGTGATCCTTAAGGAAGAAGTGCGAAGAAGGAAAATGATGATCTGCTGGTGGACCTCTGGATGATTTGCAAATGTTTCTGGCTCCCAACTCTTTTAGCTATAGCAACAATTAAGACCCCCCCCCCCAAAAAATTATGTGCTAAAATAAAGATTATGGAAGAATCAGGTGTTTTTGTATTAAAGGATTGTGAGCTTAGCTCGGGGGCAAATTCCTGGGCTGAGCATGTGCTCAGGGGCATTCTACTAAGTTTTACTCAGAGTAAACTGGTTGAAATGAATGGAAGTAACTCAGTTATGCTCGTTAATTTCAATGTCTCCCCCGTCCCCCCCATCTACTATTTCACCCTCTAGTTTGTGAAATATAAAGACCTGTCTTATACTGAGCCAGACCATTGGTCCATTTAGCTGTTGCCTACATGGATGCTAGTGCCTCTCCAGGGTTAAAGGCACAAGTCTTTCTTGGTCCTTTCTGGAGATGGCATGGGTGGCACCTGGCACTTTTGGCATGCAGAGCATGTGCTCTACCATGGAACTACAGCTCTTCCCCAAAACAGATCCTGCATGCCTGACGTCTGCTGACTACCCAAGTTTAAGGCCCTTGGATTCTGAGCCATTTAGGACGTTACAGTTAATACCAGCACACTGCATCATGCTTGGAAGCAAGGCATGAGCCCACTCTAGGACTCCAAAGTGCTGGAAGAGGTGTAGAAAGAGGATTTCAATGACCAATTAGTCAGATCACTTTCCCTATGAGAAAAGGCTTTGGAGCTTTTCAATTTGCCAGGGTGCTGGGAGGTGACAAGAGAGGACCTTGACTGTGATGTATAAAATTATGCTGGCTGGAGCTGATGGACTTGGGAGCCAAACTACACCTGGAAGGCCCCAGGGTGCCTATCCCTACGCTAGAACCTGCCTTCTGTACCTGTAGTCTCTCCATACATTTAAGAACCCTGATTCTCCATAGATACATAAACACTCCTGGTGTTTCCCAAAATTGGGTCGCCCCCCGTTTTTGGACTACAATTCCCATCACCCCTAGCTAGCAGGACCCATGGGCAGGAATGATGGGACTTGTAGTCCAAAAAACAGGTGGAGACCCAAGTTTGGGAAATACTGAGACAATACAAGGGTGACAAAATCAGCAATGGGGCCTGGGGGACCTAGCAAGCATGCCCCCGAAACCCATGCATTTACTTGTCGGAATGCCTAAAGTCAGAAAATGCAGTTGGGGCACATGACTTTTAGAAAATATCTGAAGGCAGCCCTGTTTAGGGAAGTTTTTAATGTTTGATGTTTTATCACTTTTTAATTATTATTATTATTACTAATATTATGTTGGGAGCCACCCAGAGTAGCTGGGGAAACCCAGCCACCAGATGGGCAGGGTATATTATTATTAGTAGTAGTAGTAGTAGTAGTAGTAGTAGTAGTAGTATTAAGTTTACTGACAGCCTTGAAAAACCCCTTTAACCAAACAAGACTGTTGCCATCCATCTTTCACTGCAATCTTCTTACCATGTTCTTGTTTCGCTTAGGATATTGGCTTTGCACAGCAGATCCGCCGGAGTAGTCATGTGCTCATGAAATGTCAGGAACATTTTGAAACACTGTCAAATATAATAATTATGCTTTTGGGATTCTGGATCTCCGTACGACACGTATCCCTGGTCATTGACTGGCCAGCTGCGGTCAGGATTGTATCTAGCAGGATAGGCTGGGGACGTGCGAGGGACGTGGCTGAATATAGCATTCCCGTTGTCGCGGGCTTCCAGGGGTAGAAAGAGACGCAGCTGGCTAAGAAGATGTCCTGGCCAGAAATTATTTGGGTCAGTCTTGGGATTCAGGTGGGCAAACATCTTCCTTAGCTCACTGAAATCAAAATGCAAGGAAAGAAATACTGTTAGCGTGAAATACAAACCAACATACAACCACAATATGCAGGCTTTGTGACATGGAGATTTCATGAAAACATGGTTCGTCGTTCTTGCAAGCTCAATATGAAAATGCACAGGTCTACGTAAAATGGAAAGGAGGCCTAGCTTTGGAGTAGGGTAGCGTTAGAAACTCAGATATATACCATATTTTTCGCACCATAGGACGCACCGGACAATAGGACGCACTTTGTTTTTGAGGGGGGAGAACAAGAAAAAAATTTTTTTCCCCTCTCTGCCCAGTGCCCCTTCAGTGAAGCAGCAGGAGGCGCTGCACAGAGAGGGGGAGAACTTTCCCCCTCTTGTTTTCCCGCTCTAAAACAAGGTGCTGTTTAAGGTGCGTTCAGGCGGCTACCTTGGAAGCCTGGAGAGCAAGAGGGGTCGGTGTGCACTGACCCCTCTCGCTCTCCAGGCTTCAGGTTCCTTTCAACCTGCTCTTTGGGGCTGGCGGGGGGAAGCCCACCACCAGCCCCAAAGAGCAGGTCAGGGAGCAGCGGAAAGGCGCAGCGGAGAGGCTCCTGCCATAGCCGCGCGTCACCTCTCCAGCCGGGAGAGGGTCGCAGGGCTATGGCATCTTCGCTCCATAGGACGCACACACATTTCCCCTTCATTTTTGAAGGGGAAAAAGTGCGTCCTATAGAGCGAAAAATACGGTAAGCTAGGCACTGAATGACTCCTTCAACCAAGGTTACGGTCACCAAAATTGAATGTCTAGTTGCCTTTTTGGGGCAAGGTGGCTCTAAAGTCTTATTTTTCAAATGGTGGACTGACTGTGATTGATTCTCATGTAAACATCTGGCTCCTTCAGATGACAGCCTTGAGCTAGGTTAAGAGCTTTGTGAACTTAAGGAAGAAAAGTCACTTGATCCAGGGACAGACTCTCTCTCTCTCTCTCTCTCTCTCTCTCTCTGCCTATTCCAATATATGCCTATCCCAACCTTTTTCTTAACGGTGACTGCTCCTGCTCTGGCTGCACAGAAAAAGCACTTTGGCTCCTGAAATTCATTATGATTGTGCAGATTAAATATAACTGATAGAATTCTACAGGGTGTGGTTTTAGTGTGTGAAAACAATCTCGATCCAAGGATCCCCAGATGATGGAGATGTCAGGCACCATCCTGACACATCTGCACTAGACATTTAAAGCACTATGACACCACTTTAACAGTCATGCCTCCCCCTACAGAATCCTGGGGACTGCCATTTGTTAAGGGTGCTGAGTGGTTAGGAGACCCCTATTCCTCTCACAGAGCTACAATTCTCAGAGTGGTTGAACCATCAACTCCAATTTGCAGGTGACTCTGAAAACTGTTGTTCTGTGAAGGGAACAACTCTCAGCACCATTAGCTACCACAGTTCTCAGGATTCTTTGACTGTTTATACCACATTACTTTAAAAGCATGGTGTGGACACAGCCTTAAATAAAGATGGGATGGGGAGTTTGAGGGAATGCACACAAGCAGGGAGAGAATAAAAGAATGAAGCAGAGTTAAAGACTATTATCGTTAAACCTGGGAATGGGAAGAAACCAAACCAAAGTGGGAAAAAGGTGAGGAGAGGGAGGGAGGAGGCCAACCAAACCTTTAATCAAAAGCTTGCCTGAGGAAATTCCTTCAGGTACGAGACTATAAATTGTTTTAAAACTCTTCTAAAAGAAAAGAAGAAACATTGTGTGCCATACCTTTCCACGTATTGTTCCACAAGTATGCCCATTGATTCAGCTAAGGCAAAGTTATAAGCAGTGAAAAAATTATCTGGAGGAAGCACTCTTTTTGAGTGAGGCCTGCAAAAAGAAATGCACCGTAAGCTTAGAGGTGGCCAAGCTGGAAAGGAGAAATCTGGTGAACAGTCAACTGACAGGATAGAGGAGCCCCAGACCCAACACCTATTTCTACCCAAACAGTATATCTGAAATATTTCAGCCTGATTTCAGATCTAATCCCTGGAAGCAAGCGTAGCCTAACTTCTATGTAACACACGTGGAAATATTACACACTCATTTACACCAACTGAAGCATGCTCACTGAATGCAGTGGCTGAATTCAAAGAAAATGGCAGTAGCAACCGATTCTGCCAGCACTGATCACCTGACAAGTCCCTGACTTATTTTGCACACTCGCCCTGCGAACACTCTTGCCCGTGTTTGCACTGGTGGTGGGAAGCAGCACCTCAGCCTCCAGAATAGAGGGAGCAGCCGGCAGGCTGGCTTTGGCTGATGCAAAGCAGGAGTGGGGAGCTTTCTTTTAGCCCAAAGACCAGATGGCGAACTGGGCCTCCTTCCATCAAGCACCTGACGCCATCACCTGAGGCCACTTCGAAGGGGCTTGCTGCCTGTGCCAATCAGCTGACTGACAGCGAAGCCCCTCTTGGTCAGTTTGCAGGTGTGTTTTGGATTCAAACCACGCCTGTACGTGGATATATTTCCTCTGCAGACCAGCAAAACTGCCTGCAAAGCTGCTCTGCAGAGGAAAAAACATCCGTTTGCGAAGCAGTGGAACCACAAACCGAACCTGCGAACAGGCAACCGCAGAGGGGCCTGCTGTCCGTGTGCCCCGCTCACCAAGGAATGTCCAGCCTGTGGGCCTGCTTAGGCACAGCGGGAAACCTCATTTGGCTCACAAGGCTGTTTTCCAAACTATGCCTGCTTGTCCCACATCAAATGTCCTAAGTGACATCAGGTGTGAGGGCAGGTAAGGGCACGGCTGCAGAGCAGCAACCGGACGCTTACAGTGCTCTCCGTGTCCTCAGCGGCACAAGAATGCCTTCCATCAGCTTCAGCTGGTGGCCCAGCTGTGCTCTTATTTAGACAGGGACAACCTATCTACTGTTGTTTGTGCTTTGGTAGCTTCTAGGTTAGATTACTGCAGCACGTTACCCATAGGGCTGCCTCTGAAGACGGTTAGGAAACTTCAGCTAGTGCAGATTTCAGGGGCCAGGTTGCTCACTGGGGCAAGATGGTTTGAAAATATTACACCGATACTGGCCAGACTGCCAATTAGTTTCCGGGCCCTATTAAAGTGCTGGTTTTGATCTATAAAGCCTTAAATGGCTCAGGGCCACAATAACTCAGGGACTGCCTCTCCCCATATAAACTGACCTGGACTCTGCAATCATCACCTGCAGCCCTTCTTCATGGGCTTCCTCTGTGTGAGGACTGGAGGGTGGCAACACAAGAACAGGCCTTCTCTGCAGTGGCTCCCCGTTTGTGGAATGCTCTCCCCAGGGAGGTTTGTCAGGTGCTTTGTTCATACACCTTTAGGTGCCAGGCAAAAACATTCCTCTTTAACCAGGCCTTCAGCTGATGGACATCTAATACCCTTTTAAATGTGTTGTGCAAGTGGGATTATTGGGTTGCGTTTGTTTTTATTAATATATTGTGTTTTATTAATATAATGTAATTTTATGTTGTGAACCACCTTGAGATGTGTGATAATAAGGTGGTATACAAATTTAATAAACAAAAAAGAGGCAGCCTGTATGGGAGAGGTTTTTTTTAAAAAAATAATAATTATATACTGGTCTCAGGGCACTTCACAGAATAAAATCAAAATATGAAACCACAAAATACATAATCAAAATAAAAACCCAATAACCCCGCCTCTACTTTAATGTGAGGTAAACATTTGTCCCATGTGGTTTAGAGATAGAGGCCCCATCACTAAGACAAGACACCAATCAGCTTTTGCAGAGTGACCAGGTCAACTTCAATAGGAAGGGTCAGTAAGGCTGTGAAAGAATAAGGCTGCAATCCTCGCCACACTTACCTGGGGGTATACCCCCTTGCTTCTGAGTAGACATGGGTAGGATGGCAGCCTGAGGGGGCCAAACTCAATGGCACAGCTCTATATTACAAGCACTGATAAAAATCTAGGATAACACCCAGCAGATTGAACACATACTTCATTAGTTTCCAAAACTCTCTGTATGACTTCCAGCGGGTGTTAAGGGTCTTGTCTGTTTTTTGGACCTCTGGCTTCTTAACCTCTGCCTTCTTCTTTCTAGGGGAGAAGGAAAAACAATTTGTTTAGAGACACCAAGAGGGGAATAGAAGGAGAAGACAAGAAAACACTCAGAACGGCGTTTGTCCGCAAGCCTCCTAATATTTTTGCAGCAGCAAAAACGCTGTTGTTCAAATGTTGCTGAGGAAATGATTTTAAGCCAGTGACCCAGTATGGGAGCCCGTAAGCAGCCCATAATGGCTGTGCTCTGAAGCAGGGGCATGGATGTGGTATAGAAATCCTAAGACCTTCCAGTCCAGCGTTCTGGACTTTGCATCCTATAGTGCCTTTGCTTTTGCTTATGCCAGGTTGAGGCATCCAATGCTCAAAGTCCGCCCCCTCACTTACTTTAAGCCTCGGTGCTGTTCAAGCCTCAGGAACATTTCCCACAGTTCTTGGGGCTGCATTAAGGTATGGTACGTCAGTCAAAACCAGGCGCCCTAACCTTATGCAGCTAACAGCCTATATTCCATGTGAAAGTTGCCCAGAACACCCATGGACAATTAAGCCAGGGAGCTGTGGACTGAAAGTGCCCAATCGATTCAAAATGCCCAGTTGACTGGCTTTGGTTGTAGCAAGGAAATTCCAGCATGAGAATTTGCAAAGACTTCTCTGCTGCTTGTACAGGAACTGTAATAGGATATTATCTTCAAACCAAACCAAACCAAACCAAACCAAACCAAACCAAACCAAACCAATTTGTGTATTGTCTTGATTTTTTAAAAAACCCAAAAAACAAACAAACCCTTTTTTGTCTCCCGAAGTGCTTATGGGTTGTGCTGATGGCAATCTTGGTTGGTATCCAGATTGGTCATAATAACCTCCAGGTTGTCTCATCTTGCGGAAATGGTTCCCCTCTCTTACAATTCTGTCCGGTGGGTAGAGCAAAGCTGATGGTACAGAAAATGAAAATTTTAGAAGAAAGAAAGAACTGTGGCATTACAGTCAACCCACATACAGCAAAATTTCTACCTTAGCTATACAGTGGTACCTCGGGTTAAGTACTTAATTCGTTCCAGAGGTCCGTACTTAACCTGAAACTGTTCTTAACCTGAAGCATCACTTTAGCTAATGGGGCCTCCTGCTGCCGCCACGCTGCCGCAAGATTTCTGTTCTCATCCTGAAGCAAAGTTCTTAGCCTGAGGTACTATTTCTGGGTTGGCGGAGTCTGTAACCTGAAGCGTGTGTAACCCGAGGTACCACTGTACAAAGAATCTTGGGTAGGTTCAAGCAACTTGTGGATTTCCCCATGACTCACTTGAGTGGTGGCCCGCTAGAGCAGACAGCTTTTCTGAAGGAGCCCAACATGAGCCGGTGCATCTGAGTTAACTGGGCGTTGCTGGCGTAACTCTGCACCAGCCAATCTCCCTCCTCCCTTTCCCTAGCTTACGGAACTTGGATGGGCATTGCCCGTGCTCTAAAGCCTACCTTCATAAGGGCTAGAAACGCAGCCAAGTTGGTGTGCTTGTGGAGCACTTGTACGGAATCGCAGGATACCGACAGGCTGTGTGTTAAGTTCCGCAGCGCAACCCTACACATCTTTACTCGGAAATAAGTCTGCTAGAACATAACTCCCGAAGCAAGTGGGTTTAGGGTTGTAACCTGAGTCGACTGTATTCTTTGTTATACCAGACCCACCACCCATCAGACCTGAACAACTACGTAACAGTGTTATTCTGCCTAGGTTTTGTTTTGTTTTTTTTGTGGGGGATTAGCAGGCGACTTTGACCCTGAGCCAGTGTAAACACCACCCTGCTTTGATGATATATACAGCATTCCCTCCAGTCCCCTTGTTTCACCATACCCCTTTTCAGCATCTTCTCGGTAAGCGGGACGCCGTATTTTTCACACAGCTTGAGACACTGAGTGTAGACCAGGTAGCAAGCCAGACGGTGTTGGTCCACCAGCTCTCCCATTTCACCCTGGATGGTGCTCGGAAAGCAGTGGCCGTCCACAACCGCGTCTCCGGATTTCACAAGCTTACACTGTTCTGCATATTCTAAGGGGTTCGTCTTTCTCTGCAACGAACAGACATTGCTTCTTTTGTTACAAAACATCTGAACGCCGCTGTGCTGTGCAAAACACCATAGCGTGCCGGGGAGGATTTTCTACCTGAGAATTAAAGGACCTACTAATACAGGGCTTGTGGGAAAGTGTGGTCCTCCAGGTGTTGTTGGGACAGCAACTCCTCTCAATTCTAATCAAGAGGACTGATGACCAGGGATGATGGGGATTCTTGGTTCAAACGCAGGTTTCCCATTCCTGATCTAATGTATATTCCTTTCTAACCCTGAGGAAAGACTGCTGCCCTACACACTGTCAGGGTGGGGAGCCTGTGGCCCAGCAGCTGTTGCTGCACTCCAACTCCCATCAGCCCCAGCCAGCATGGCCAACAGTCAAGGATGATGGGAGTTGGAGTCCAACAACGACAACAACAACAACTGCAGGGATACGAGTTCCCACCCCTGATCTGTGAAAAGTACCTGAAAATGGTCTGAGAAGCTTCCCCCCCCAAAAAAAACCCCTCCCTTCCTCCTGCAGCCTTTTAGTGACCCCAAAATCTGCTCTGAGGGAAGGGGGAATCAGGACAGAAAATGGAAAGAGAAATTGCTGAAAGGAGCATCCAGTTAGCAGGGGGAGAATTTCCACTGGATTTGACTCACTGCTGTGAATGGAGTAAGTCCTTTAACTTGCAAAACCCAAGGTCTGGCGCCAACTCAACAGAGTAAGACAGCGTTTGAGGGGTAACTTGACATGTCTTTTTACAGCATCGAAGGTGGCTTGAAAGAGGGATCACTACTTATGGCCTCCAGAGTCAAAGCAAGAAAATGAAGGCGCAAAGAGTTCTGCCGCAGAAACACGGTACCTTAGTCCGTCGTCTCATTTCCTTGTATCTTTTCCCAGCTTCCTCCATCTGATTATAAGATAGATGCATGCGGTCTACTTCTGTGTTGATGGGAGGAACTTCAAGCCGGCATATCTTTGCTTCACCAGGATGTTTGGAGAATGTACCGCTTCTCCTACAAGACTTCTGTGGTGCGGAAGGTGGGAGCTCTTCTGTTTCTTTCAGAAGGGGAGAAAGGAGGAAACAGACACGGCATTAGAAACCTGTCAGAATTTCTCACAAACACGAAATCTGCACCATGACCACCAGCAAGCACCTGTCGCCTGACAGTTTAATGCCTTTTCACGCTAGGTCATGCTGGCTCATTCTCTTTCTTCATGGGAGGACATCATGAGATATTTTTCCTCACAAGGGTTTTCAAAGTGAACAATAGCCATTCTTGTCATGAAATTCTACTCAATATTGATCCAAAGCAGAACTCCGACGTTTAGTTAGTAGAGTAAAAACTTAAACATGTTGCAGGATCCCCCCAAAATAGACCAGAGGCAATTAATACAGTGGTACCTCGGGTTACAAACAGTTCAGGTTACAGACTCCACTAACTCAGATATAGTACCTCGGGTTAAGAACTTTGCTTCAGGATGAGAACAGAAATCATGCTCCGGCGGCGCAGCAGCAGCGGGAAGCCCCATTAGCTAAAGTGGTGCTTCAGGTTAAGAATGGTTTCAGGTTAAGAATGGTCCTCCAGAACGAATTAAGTACTTAACCCGAGGTACCACTGTATTGAATCCAGCAGAGCTCTACTGCTACTGAAGGCAAATGAGCATAATGGTCACAAATCCAATACATTCAGGATTGGCACAGTCCATAAGAAATCCAGTTGCAGCAGACTTAACTTAAACTTACAATAACTTATAACAAGTCTAAACCTCAACACTAAGCATACTATGTACAGAACACCACACCAGAAGGAAAAGAGGTAGAAAGAGAAAATGAAACCCAGGCTCCTTCTGGCCTCATTATTATAGTCAGCATGACCTTGACTGAAAGAGAAAGAGAACCAGTTTAAACCAGCTGTACTCAGCTTCTCAGAAGGAATAAACCAAACATCAGTAACCTTCTGCCTGTTTCTTTCACACAGAGAAGCTTCCAGAACCCTCTTGAATTGATTAGAATAGGAAAGATCTCTACACATCAGATCAATACTTTCTGCACTAAGAAATGCAAACTGACAATTCTGGCCTGTTGTATTAAAAGAAAGTAATTCCCTTGCAATACTTATTCGAGAGCAATCACCTCAAATCCAGTAGGGCTTACATCTGCACAGCACTGGGAATTCTAATCTGAGGTACAGACTCATAGAACTGTGGAACTGGAAGGGAACCAAAGGGTCCTAAAGTCCAAAGCAGGTAGCTATGGTGAAAACCAAAACAAAGCAGCCCTTATTTCTGATATAATTCAGAACGCTTTTGCCTCTGGCTCCACCTCTACTGGCCTGCAGCCCCTAACAGATTACACACACACCACTGAAGGAAATACAGCTCTTGACATAAAAAGCCTGTCCATTTGACTCTGAATTGCATTTGTTGGGGTTTCCTTGGAGTAGGCACAGCAAAGGGGAACTTTTCCCTGCACCTTTATCCCTGGCCAGCACGGGTTGAAGGACTGCGGCGGCAGCTGTACTGCTCCATCTGTCTCCTTCACTTCTGACCAGGGGCTAGGATGGCAGCCTTACAACATACTGGACAGCAGAGTATTTTTTGAAGAGGAGCGAAAGCATGGACTGAAAACTGAGGGTGGCCTTTCCCCCACCCCCTCTGGCAGTGGTTTGCAGGTTGGCCCAGTCATGCCACTCAATTATTTTATGTGAAGATTGACTCCGCAAGACCAATGCTGGAGGTGAAAAGTACTACTAGGGTTATTCAGATATGACTCAAACATGCCTTTCAAATATGTAGGCCAAACCTGCCTTTCTTTCCCATCTGTAATCAGCTTGGGTTAGCATGGCTCTTAGCAACTCTTGGAGGTGCAAGATAAATTGCTACAGCCAGGACTCGTAGCATCAGGATACACACTGGAGTGCCAACTTCTTTTTTTTGTACAAGGAATTCCTATGATAACCTTTATTACAACCATCAGCAACTGAAGCTGAAAACTTCATCCCCGTTAGCGATGTCAAGACAACAGAACCACGTCTTAACACTTTTGCTTGTTTGTTTACCTGGCTTTGATTCTTTAGGCTGCCTCCATTGCTCTCTTAAGTTATCTGCCCATATTCTCTGACACTCAACCAGGTCATCATTGTTTATATAATTCACTTTCTTTGACATCATGAGGTAGGTGATCACGTCTTCCAGGTCAGTTGTACTGAGAGGAATGTTGGTCTGCAAAGGAGTATAAAATCAAAACTGCAATCATCAGGTCCAATCACAGTAAGTAAGATGTGTGACCACCAAACTGAAGAAAGAGTCACTCCTTATTGCAATAATCTGCCTTATCTTTGTACGTTCTTCACAAAATATGCATGTTTGAAATGCATCATATCCTAAAAATACACATTATGTATGCATTTTAACCTAGTATGTGCTTATTTTTAATGTATAGTTTTTGTGCTGAGAACCATATTAGCAAAGTGCAAAAACGGAAGGGGTGATTTCATTTCGATCTGTATATTCTCCCAGGAAGCAGAATTCAGAACCTGTTATATTCAAATGCTGACCCATTGAAATCCTTGAGCATCCGTACTGTGTGTGCCCGTTAGCAGCAAGTGAAATTATGTAGGCCAATAGTTGGTGTGCAAGAGGATGCCTGTGCCCTGATCTGGGAAGGAGCATAAGCATATAGAAGCTGCACACACATCCCTCAACATAAGAGGAATCAAGTGTGCAAAAAAAGGGTTGAATATGTGATTCCCATGGCTGAGAAGCAACTACCGAAAATCCCCACCCAGGAACATCTACCCAATCTCTCTGTCTAAACAGGGACATGGTTTATAAATAGGCTTTGCCACTTACCTCTTGGATTATTTTAATGAAGTCGGCTCTGCTGAACCTCATCGTCTTGGTCCTGTCTGATTTCTTAAAGAGGTCCACCAGCTTGAGTTTCTGCTTGTGCAGAAGGTTTTGCAGCGTCATGAGGGACTTGGGGTGAGGAGCGTTGACACGAGGGATGACAATCTTGTGTGGTGGCTTTGGTCTCAGATTCTGAAAGACATTGGGCGGGGGGGGGGAGGGGATGGAAAAGGACATGTAAAACTTTCTTCCTGTGAAGAAGAAACATTCACATTGGTCATAGGAACACGAAAGAACCAGCCAATCAGTCATCACAATGAAGACAACATTATGAAGCCATGTAGCCAATCAGAGCTGGTGATGTGTTGATGGTGACAGCGAGAAAAACAATTCCCACTGACCCCACTCTGAATAGAGGGAACAGTTAAGTGTCCCTTTTGATCAGGTGAGTGAGCTGAACTCCCTGTCATGCTGCAAGTTTTCTTACCGGCCAGGATTGCAAAACAAGCCTGTTGCCCTGATCCAAATGCAGTTTGTGGAGTTGCGGCAGATGAGTTGAGGCAGAATGTGGATAGGGATGAGTTGAGGCAGAATGTGGATAGGGATGCAGGCAACGCCCAATTAACATGGGGTTTGTTGCAAGGCACCACACATTTAAGTGAAATTGAGTATATTTGAAGAACCACCATTGAAAAAGTCTGCAAACACCCCGTTCAGCCACTGCACTGCCCTCTCTCTGATGCTTCCAGGTCACTTCTGGGTTTGGCGCGATGCATGCATGCACGGTCACACACAGATTGGATGCACCTAAAACAGTCGCTGCCTGTATATATAGATTCACATCCCATTGAAGAGGATACACTGTAAATAAACCGTGTCTATGTTTGGATGTGCTTCCAGATACACATGTCCATGTATATTGCATTATCTTAACAAAATGTCCATTGGCTGCACATCCCCGTCCCCATCCTGCCCTAATCAGGATCTATGCTTGATGGGATTGTGGCAGGAGAGGGTTACGGTTAGCTGCTTGGCAACAGAGACACGCTCCCTCTTCCCCTCAATGTCCTTCCCAGTGCAAAGGTTTTTAACCGTGTGTGTGTGTGTGTGTGTGTGTGTGTGTGTGCCCTTGTTGTTATATCACATAATTTCATTTGTTACATTGTTCTATTTTTGTTAATGGATATTGTGAAAGAGTAACAGCTGAGATGGGGAAACATTTTTGTTTGCAAAACGAAAAGCTCCATTTGGGATCTTCACTACCTTAAATCAGTCAGTCAGTCAAATTTATCTGATCTGCTGAGCTGCTAAGGCACAGGCAGAAACCTTATAAGTAGAATATTTATCCCAACCCATCAACAAATTACGTATTTCTCCCATTATTTGAAACTGAAACTCCCTGGATAATTCTATACCTATGAGATAGCACACAGGGAGCAAAACTGCCTTAAATCTCAAACAGCTGAGTCGCTGAGGCCAGCTGTGGTTCTCTGTGGCACTATGAACTTGCAAGTTCCTAATAAGTTCCAACACTGTCACACAGGCAACCCCTCATTTACCCGGGGGTTGTGTTCCGGATCATTGCTCTCTTGTCACACACCCCGTACCGCCCTTTTAGTGACGTCTTTATGGCGTTTCTGGGTTACTTTCGGGTTTGGCGCTGTGTGTGTGACAGCACATATACTGGTCACACCTAAAACAGAAGGGACGTGGGTGGCGCTGTGGTTTAAACCACTGAGCCTAGGGCTTGCTGATCAGAAGGTCGACGGTTCAAAGCCCCGCAATGGGGTGAGCTCCCATTGCTCGGTCCCTGCTCCTGCCCATCTAGCAGTTCGAAAGCACGTCAAAGTGCAAGTAGATAAATAGGTACCTCTCCGGCGGGAAGGTAAACGGTGTTTCCGGGCACTGCTCTGGTTCGCCAGAAGCGGCTTAGTCATGCTGGTCACATGACCTAGAAGCTATACGCTGGCTCCCTCGGCCAATAAAGCGAGATGAGCACTGCAACCCCAGAGTCGGTCACGACTGGACCTAATGGTCAGGGGTCCCTTTACCTTTACCTTAAAACAGGAGGAGAGCTGATCTGGCAGTCACAGCCAACCCCCTGGGCTAACTGTAAGTAAGAAGGCAGGCAGGTGGGGCCTAGCTAAGGGCAGGCAGAGATGGGGGGGGCCTGCCACACTAGCCCCTAAAGGACCAGCCTCCACCGCTTACCTCAAGGGTGTCATCTTCCCACAACTTGGCTTGCACTTTAGTCTTCAATGCTTCCTTGTCTTCTTGTATCTTCCTCAGCACATTTTGTTCCTGCTCACTGACGGGCTCTTTCCCCATCAGCCACTGCTCCAGGTCCACACAGTTCAGCAGATTCTGCAGTTGTATTCTTCCCTGGATCCAAGCTTCCAGCTCTTGCAGATCTGCCTCCTCTTTCGCAGAGGTTTTATCTTCAGCCTCTGGAAGTTTTCCTGAGCCCACAGGTTTCTGCTCTGGAGCGGGAAGTTCAGGCGGGTGAGGCCTGGGCCCGCGAACCGCCATTTTACTCATCGGAGGGGCAATGAGAATGCGACGTCGAGATCTGGGGGGCCCAAATCTGCTTGCTTTCACTTTGAGGAAAAAATGTGGATAAGCCTCTCTGATCTTGAATTGTTTAAAGCAGTGATCTAAAACCCAATCCAGGTTGTCAGCGGGGGAGTCTTCGAGCAATACTGCATTTGACAGAGCTTCGCCTTCGCTGAAAAGAGAACAAAGGGATGAGGAAGTTAAATTTACCCCAATAAAACAAAACCTTGTTTTATATCCCGCCCCCCCAAAGCTAAGTCTCTTTCCATTAGACCTCCACCAGGAATGGATAATTCTGCTGTTTCTGCCCTGTGTTTGATCTGACCAGTCAATCACAGTTACTCAAGGGCACAATTACAGGCTCTCTCTGAGACACACCATAGAAGTGGCTCATGAAGACACAGAAAAATAAATAAATATATAAATAATGAAGAAACAGAAGGGGCTGGAGTGTCTCTATCGCTGGGCAGTTTTTTCTTTTACACATACTAGATAAACTGTTTGGAGTACAACAAAATGTGCTTGTTTGTTTTTTAAAAAAAACATTACATGTAACCCACGTTCAGATTAATATGTGTATGTGGTGTTGGGGGGGGGGCGCTTACTTTATGTGATGGCCTCACCCACTATTGTTTTTAGAAAGGGATGGGGAGGGGGACAGTAATTTGACAAAATCTACAGGGGGCTGGAGCTTGCAGATTACCTAAAGGGCTCTCATACCTAATTGCCACCCCCCCACACACATCCATAAGCTGGGCACCACATTTCATTACTTCAATGTGCAATTTGCATGCACGGCACATTACTGTAATATAGAATAATAATTTCATGGGGAAGGGATGCATTTATTCATGGCATAGGAACTACATGTGTTACTTGTTTCACCCAATGAGCGGATTGTTGAGAAGACAAGCCAGAACAGGTGTCTTCAAAGTCGGACAATCCAGCTTGGGTTGCCTGCTGGGTGATTGTGGCCCTCTGTATCAGCTATCACTGTCTGGGAAACATCAGTGTACAGAAAGAATGCCTCTTTCAGTTGCTCACTCAGTGCCATTGTATAATAGCAGGAAGCAACTTAAAAGCCAAATCCCACACTATGCTCATGAGAAAGAAAGAAAGAACTACGAGGTAAATTGTACCAGATAGTTTAAGATTGCAAGTTTTAAAGGTTTTTACATATCTGCACACCCTTCTTTCCTTCTTTTTTAAATGTATTTTTATTAAAGATTTTCTTGGTTTACAAAAGCATGTGCAATCTCTCTCTCTCTTTTCCCCCCAAGTAACATTTTTTACAGATCAGTTTCATTTGTTGAGACATTAGGAAGAAAAGGGGGAAAGAGGTGGGGGGGAAGGTGAGCGGGGGTGAGGTCGGGTGGCGATGTTTCTATTATACTTAATATTTTTATGTCAGTGTCGCTTGTGCAGGTTCTCTGCTATTCACTTGTGTTTCTTTGATGGTGAGAGAGGTTGGGGTTGGCCTAGGCACACCCTTCTGTCTTAAGGAAAAACAAACCAGATTTTACAAGATTAAAATTATTCTACCCCTATTTCTTTACAAGCAAAGAACAACCTCTTGGGGGAGGGGCTTCTTGTCTTTTATATGCTGTAAGGACTGTTGATGTTTTATATGAATATTTTCCTGTTCAGTTTTATAATACAGTACATTTATGTGTGAGTTTTTCTATGTAACTCGCTCAGATACCTTTTAGTTAACAACTTTTGGCCCATTGGTCATCTCCAATAAACAATAACAGTTCCTAAATGCTACACGACTGAATTCACCCCCCCAAACCCCTACTGAACTAGTTGTTTATAAAGTTATCTATGGGAAACGGGCTCCGTAAGGCCTCATGCTGCAGTCTACAAACCTCTTGGGCGAAGAAACGCCACTTAGCAGAGGCTGCGATGAAGTGCTAAATTGCCGCGATCCACTCCGAGCGCCTGATGTTCCCGATGACCAGCTCGTCTGATCCATTTTGGTCAACATTTCGGTGTAGGATCGGACGCCTCCTAACAAAAAAAATCGTCCGGTAGGTTTTTCAGAAGAAGCTCAGAAAAGCCTTCTCATCTCAGACCGGCAGAGGGGAAAGAAGAAGCCGAGGACGAAACCTTCTGTAACCCTCCAGCGCTCTGGTAGCAAAAGGGCAAGGTCCGCGTTGTTCTTTCTTACGCATCGGCGTTAGAGCACAAGGGAGTTGCATTTTGGCGGGCGCCAAGGCAACGGCCGCGGACGCCGGCAGCTGATTGGCCGAGAGACGCCGGCCCGAACGTTGTGTCGGCAACCCTGGGAAGCAGCTCGCGCCAATCCCGCGCGGCAATGAATGGCTCGCCGTCGCTCTTGCGCCTGGACAGGGGATTCTCGAGACCGGGGTCGTGAAGCGGGAAGGAGACCGGACGTGGCGCAGGCTTTTGGTTTGCCCGCAGCCTGATCCTATTCAAAATCCCACTGAAGTCAACGGGGAGCGCGCGTAGCTCTCATGGCGAAGCACAAGTTAACACTTAAATAGGTTTCTGCGCTTCCCCGTCTATGCAGTTGGCCGAGCAAACAGTCAGCTTCCCGGAGCGACTTTTTAATAGTCGGTTGCCATATTTCAAGCAGTGGAAATCCGGAGCTTTTGGGGGCAAAGTTGTTGAACTTTTAAAAGTCCCCCCCGTGCCGTTTTTGATCTATTTTTATGAAAAATAGGCATGGGTTGCCGTACATCCTGGGCACCCAATCCATTTTCACCTGGATGCCGCTAGAGACAGAGGTATTCCGTATATATTATATATAACCGGCAAATTCCAGACATATGGCAACCCTGTTTCCATAGGAGCCAATTCCTAGGGACTGAGGGGTCTTCACTCCCCCTAATAAAATATTTGAGGGGGCCCACCCACCTCCAGTTGATGGGCATTGCCATTCAGATAGTGTGCGTGTGCCATGTCATGTGATCCTATTTTGCAAGGCAGGCCTCCCCCCCCCATATTTTATTCAAGTTTGCACCCCTGTCTATTTCACAATTCATCCTGCAGCTCCTAAAGTCTAAAGCATGAAAACACTGCCCATCATGAAATTGTTTGGTTATATAAATCACAATCTCATTGTTGGCACAGTCCCACTAAATGGCAACATTCATGAATATTTCGTATGTTTGGTACCAATGAAAACCTTGTATTCCACTATGAAATATATTTTATGGCACTCATTCTTTTCTAAGTTTTATATGATTATTTTATTCTCTTGTAATTCCCCCCTTTTTTTATTATTGCTTTCAAGTATAGATATGGTGAACCCACAGAATCAGCATGTTGCCACAATCAGTCATTTGGAACTTTGTTTTCTATTAAGGCCACTTACTTTTATTTAAGGAAAGGGCTGGTGCTGTGATGTTTTCACTCTAGCAAACACTGCTCTTTGCAGTTTTCTTTGCCATGTTCATTTGCCGCAGAAAATGCGCCCAAGAGTCTTGCAGCTTCTTAAGGATTAATTTATTATGTTATACCCCTTCATGGCATGGAACCTTCAGAAATGCAGTGAGCTATGGCCCATGGTAGCTTATGCAAGAGTAAATTAGTCTTTGTGGACCAAGATTCTTTGCGATTTTTCTTTGAATGATGTTTGATTATCACTGAGCAAAAATGGCCCCACCATAAATGAAAGGCAGGCAAATAAAAATAAGTGAGATTCACATGTTGTACCATCAAACATAACTTCTTTCCCCTCCTTGCCCCCATGGTCTTCTGTGCTCCTCCAGGAGCATATTTTGGGGAGCAAGAAAGCCTGTGAGCAAAATGAAGCCCTGTTTGTGAGAACAGAAGTCCATTTCCCAAGTAGTTTGCAATCCACACCTAAGCACAGATGAGCAAATGTGGAATCCTGGAGCAAATATGGCAAGTACTGCATTCCTCTCCCAGTCTTGCTGCCACCAAACTGCCCAGCACTAAGCTATGGTTTGCCTTGGTATTATGCCCAAACCTGGGCTTCTGGTTTGTCACCCCAGACAAACCATGAACGATAGACTAAGAACAAACCTTGTTTACAGCATGTGGTTTATCTGAAGCAGGACAAACCATAAGCGAGGGATTTGGACATAAACCTAAACCAAACTGTGTTGCATTCAATCTGTGCTCAAGAAGTTTGTCCTGGGCAGGACCTATTAGTTGAGAGAACTGGGAGGAAATAGGAGGAAAGAGTTTGCTAAGAATGTGTTTTATTGTTACGAATAAGGATTTCTTTAAGAATCAGTTGAATTTATTTCTTATGGTTAAATGGGTAGACATAAAACCATGGCTTACCCCAGCTAGTGAAAATCCATTTACACTTAAACTTAGCTCCATTTATTTCAGTGGGTCTACTCCAATTATGACTTAGTTGGTGATGTTTAGAGAAGTTCCTATATCTTGAATTTGTAACAATCTAATATTATATGCTATAGGGACTTCAGTAAATACAATACAGAACTGCATCTACCATAGAATAAATTGGAGGATTATTCTGCAATTATGTTGCATTCTAGTAATATTAAGTAAGCTTCATGGTTGTTTGGTACAGTATTTGCAGTGTTGAAGGACTGAACAATTTAGAAAGTGTCACTTAATATTAACACAAGTCTTAGTCAACTTTAATTACAAAAGGTGTGAACAGGATTATGTACATAAACCAATGCTGAAATTTAATACACAGTGTCTAATATACAATATATATATATTAAAATGTTTACATTTATAGTAACCAAGAGGGATGATTGAAAGAGTTTGATATTAAAAAACCGCCCAGTAGATAGTGTACCTACACAGAGCTATACATTAATTAATATTCAATTTATCATGATTTTCCCGCAGCCAGGCATGATATACATTCAGTTTATGGTCTTGTGGCTGTACCTGAAAAAGAATCAGCATGTTAACCATTTTAATTAAGAAATACAAAAATTGTATTAAGCTCAGAGTCTCAAGCACACAAATGGAAACCATTCTTTGGCTTATTACCATAATTTCAAGTACATTTACTTGGAAATAAGTCCCACTGAACAGCTTTGGGCTTACTTTTGGGTCAACAGGAATACAGTCATACCTCGAGTTGAAGTAGCTTCGGGATAAGTATTTTTGGGTTGTGCGCTGCGGCGACCCAGAAGTAATGGAGCGCGTTACTTCCGGGTTTCGCCGCTCATGCATGCGGTCAAAATGACATCACGCGCATGCGCAGAAGCGGCAAATCGCAACCCGCACAGACACGTGTTGCATTCGCTTCTGGATGCGAACGGGGCTCCGGAATGGATGCCATTCGCATCCAGAGGTACCACTGTATGCTCACGCTGCAATTGTGTTTGCTACTACAATAAAAGGCAACTCGGAATCTTCGCGGTGAAGGGTTGAAGATAGTCCAGCTTTCTCCTCTATTCTGATGCCTACAAATTCTTCTGCAGAGCTTATTGCTGCATCTTCTGCAAGGCATGGGCGCAACCAAATGGCAGTGCTACATTGCAGGAAGGAAACATGGGACTCTGCACACCCACCCCATCCCAATGCTGGTTCTGAGACTATTGCTTCATAGCAGATCACAGAGCTGTACCCAGTTGCTTTGTGCAGTTCTGGTTCATGCTCATTTACATGCGAGGGACTGAAGGGAAGCAGAGCCACCTCAGCTTTGCGGAGAGGCAAGCTCTGTCAGGCTCCTCCTTCCAACAACTGCCGCCTGGCAGCAGCCGTTACACCAGAGGACGATCGTTGGCTGACAGATCAGCAACTTTTGGCTCTTCTCTCTTTTTTGTGACTGCTTTTTGCTATAGAACACGGTAACCTAGAGCTAGTGCCTGGGTTTGCTTTTCCCCTCCTCCCTCCCAATTGCTTTTCCTTTTATGTCCTGTCTCTTAGGCTGCAGGCTTGAGAGTAGTGTCTTCTTATTGATCTCTGTTAAGCTGCTCCAGGAGGCTTTGTTTGGTGGATGAAAAATCATTTAATTAAAAACAAATAAAGGAGAAAGGGCCTGCCCTCATCGTAGGTCTTGTACCACACAATTAAGGGCTTCTTATTTTAGGGCCTTGGCCATTCCATTATATATTTTTATTTATTTATTAAATTTGTATACTGCCCTTCATCCATAGATCCCAAGGCAGTTCACAACATAAAAATATGAGATAAAAACCACAAAATACATAATAAAAAGAACAACAACAAACAACCAATAACCCCATCCATCCACTCCCACAACACATTTAAAAGGGTATCAGATGTTATTCATCCAACAGGCATTACAAAAATCAAAAGCAGAACACTTAATCTTTCATTGATTTAAGAAGATGGCAGCATCAGTTACCTCTTTCCACTCATTGATGCAAAAGATCCTGTAAGAGTCGTTTCCATATTTTCCAATCCCATGCAACTCAATAGGATACCTCCACTGTTTGACCAAGTATTCATCTAGGGATTAAACAAACAAAAACGTACAATAAAATATCCAAGACTGGATTCATTAAATTCACCTTTAAAATTTCTGAAAACATGCATCTTTGAATAAGAGGTAAGCTACACAGAACTTATTTAAAAAACAAAAATGGGTGACATCTAACATTTGTCACTCTTGGTAACAGTCCCAGTGAAATCAATGTACTTGATTCCAATGGGTCTACCCTGTGTGTGACTTAGGCTGTGTACGCACTACACCTTTAAAGCACCTTTGAAACACATTCTTTATTTCAAAGAATTCCGGGCACTGTAGTTTATTAAGGGCTGCTGGAAATCGACACACTGTGTTGGGTACACAACACCTGGTAGGCTGATACTACAAGGAATCGCAGCAAGTTATTACTAGCATGCTACATTGATGCTGACAGAAGTGACTAGAACGACATCTATAAATAAAAGATAAAGTTTAGAGTTTCAGTATTCTAAACTGCAAGACACAGCATAGAAGACATTAAAATGTCGTGTCACAGATGCAGCTCTATAGTCACAGATGTCAATAAGATCAGCAGTCTTTTTACAGCAGAAAGGAAATGTATAAATGCTGTATGTGGACTTAATTTTTTTCTCAACTTCCCCACTTCCTCATTTGGTAACCTCTCAAAACTTTTTTTTTTTTTTTTTAAATGTTCTGTGCTTGGATAGTTCAGCAATTCAATATGGACGGTTTTCAAAGGGGAAATGTCACCACTGTTCTCCAATCTTTCCCCTCCCACTCCCAAATGTTGCTTCAAGGTGACAAGTCTGTGCCCACTTACTGAGGAGGAAGCCTCATACAACACAGCAGAATATAAACCTGAATAGGATTGCACTGTTAAAAATAAATAAATCCTAATGCCAAATCTCTCAAATATATTTTGCGTTAGTTCTATGGATCTGAAGAACATCCAAGCTTATATAGAGACAACTTTGGACAAAGAAACTACCAGTAAAAGAATAAAATAGAAATGCAGTTTCATGTGCAGAGCATGTGTGTTCTCATTCCACTGGATCATAGCCTTTAGTGTTCTAGCTCAGTGGCAGCTGGAAAATCTCCAGATCTTGTCTCAGTCATGAATTCACTAAGTGGCCTTTAATATACCACCATCTCTCAGCCATGGCTTCCCATCTGTAATATGAGGATAACAACACTGATCTACTCTGCAGGGCCGTAATTAGGATTTTATGAGATAATGTACTCTTTCTCAAACAAGCTATAACATACATTACATGCCACGAGTTGCTACCTGAAAATTTGATGATGGTCTTTGCTCTGAGTTCATAAAGGCCAAGAGGTTTAAGCAACTCTGACATTTCCTTCCAGTTTGCAGCTCTTGCGATTTCAGGTGAAGGATATTTCTTGAAAAATTCCCACAGCACAGGGATGGCCATCTTACCTAGTCAGATATAAGACAGTGAATAGTAGGGTTTCTACTGAATTTCTTTGCAAGGCTGGCATAGGCACATATGCTGAATTGCTAATACAGATAACGTCTAATCTCATGTAACAGCTACTAAAAGTAACAAGACTAAGAAGCATCTTCATGTAATTGTCCACACTTGGCATGAATCCTGCTGCCAACGTGTCTTCTGGCCACATGTATGTATAGCAAAACAGACGCATGTGTTTACTACACATTACAATCAAATGACTTCTACAGGAGAAAATTAAGAGTTGTGTGAAGAACTCCCGCGGCACAGAAATATATTTTGTGTTTCAGTACAGACACAGAAGATGCGTCATCTCAATTTTTAAAGGTATGCATGATCCCAAACTTGTATAACACATTCAGCAAATGGCAAAATTTAGGTCTATTCTAGTCAACCTGCTTATTGAGCATTCATCCTGATTTGCTTACGCAAAGCTTAAGATGAAGATAAACTATGTGCAGTATTTACTGAGCATTCATTCTGATTTGGTTAAAGGGCAGCTACACAACAAACATTTATACTGATTTCCATCATGTCTTCCCATTAGTCATTATTTCATCCCATGCTTTTCAGTGCATTTCCCATCGTTTTCCTAACCGCAAAACAGTGGTTTTTTATGTATTTGTTGCATTAGGATGACAGAACTGCAGAAACCCAAAGTTCCAGTATGTGTTGGAATCCCTCTTGCAAAAAACGGTGTCATCATTTTAGTAGCCCTTTTTCCACTTCACATAGGTCAAGGTCAACATTGGCCCTTTTCTCTCTTCCTGGGGAATATGTGTGAATCAAGCAGAGCCATTTACCATCTAGCCAGCCCCCATGGGAAAAACTTAAGTAATCAGTTCTGCCCACATAAGAGATTCATGAATGCTCCCTAGCAGCAGTGTGGGACTGTATAACTGGAAAGCCGCTCAACACTGGTGTGTTTGCAAGTGAGGGGCTGGGCGGGGGAGAACATAAGTCTTGTACCTGAGGTCTTATTCAGAAATATAGTTGCAATGAGAAGTTTCCATGGATCATGAAAGAGTGTTTCTTGGACCAAATTAAAAGGAGAACGAGGTGGAGTCCATTTCCGAAAGGCCTTCCTTCTAGGTGGGCTTGGAGCTATACAGAGAGAGAATCAAAATGTGAAATTCAATTGCCTATCTTTTATTTAAATACATTGTTTTCCTTAAATCAATCTGTGTCTCTAGACAGAAGCAGAAAGAGGATCGTTTTGACTGCCTCTTCTGGCTCTAAGGAGCCTGGTACAGAAACAGCTCTTTCAAGAGCCCAGTGGGATCAGCTGCAGTGAACAAGATCTAAGAGATGCCTGTCCATGTTGTAAGCCTTCGTCTTCATTTGCCCAACTAAGATTGCAATCCTTACTGGGTATTGTGGTTTGTTTAAATCCCACTTATTAAAGTTGCTTCTACAATATCAGTCACCATAGTTTGATTGTAGTTTGTCCTGAAGCAAGAGTTTTAAACAACTACAATTCTCCCAAGTCTCGTTGTAATGAGGAACTAGGGTTTGTTTAACATTGGAAGAAGCTTCTGATAGCCTCTAGTGCACAAAAAGAGAGAACGCACAAGGCAGTGTCTCACAGTGGCTTATTTACATAGTGAGAAACCATAGTTTTCTAGGCTCACAGTTAGCTTTTTTGATTGGATACCTTACTATTCAGATTTAATTTACTCTCCCAATACCAAACATTTATGAAGTGCTCATATCAACCAAAAGCTGGTAATAATCTGACCCATTAATCTGACCCACTACATGGAAAGGAGTAAAAATTATGGATAGTTGCTGTGTAATCTCTTCTTACCTCACATAAATTCTATCACAATCTAAAGCACTTTTATTTGGAAGCAAGTACCAATAAGTTAAGTGGGCTTATTTCAAAGTAAATGTGTGTACTCTTAGCTATCCAAGTGAGAAATACATTAGATTTACTTCTGACTAAATATGGCTAGGATTGGTGTGCAAATTATATTGCTAAATCTTGTAACTCCCCACAAGGCATTTTCATAGAAAGCATTTTTTACCTCCTTGAATGAATTTACTAGAAAAATATGGACTGGTTTTCCTTCTCTCCACTTGAGGTCTTCGAAAATTGTCCTCTAAAATGTTGAAAAGCAAAGTAAAAAAAAATGCAGATATATATATAATTCATTGCGAATTTGTATAAAACTAAGTACTGCACTATCTTTGTATGTGCCATTCTCTTACAGAGGATCTTCTATCATTAAAGAGTGGTGGATTGGGAGCCCACTGTAGTCTATCCCAGCAACTACACTGGCTATGTTTGGAAGATCGTTTCTCAGCTTAATAAGCAAAGATGTGAATAAGTCTTCTGGTGGTGTCCTTTCTTTGGGCTTTATCCAATGTAGTGTTAAGCCAGGGTTCCATCAGCTCAAGAATACCTGCAATTGCAATGTGACATGAGCCATGCACTGGAGGGGGGATTTCTGTCACTCTAGCAGTAATCCTAGCACTGATAGGACGAGTTAGTAGAATACCACCTTTTGTGCAAGTGGGAACAAATCAAGAACTCTTCCATTAACTATGATTTCCCAGGGAGCTATGGTTAATGACTTCAGAGCCATGATTTTAAGCTGACTTATCCGGGCAAGCAAGAGGCATTTATTATGGTTCAAGGAAAAAGAGAAACATTCTAGCCAGGCAAAAGCACTCGAGGATGCAGGGACACTGAGAAGGGATGGCAGACTGGAGATAGTCCCAAGGACCAGACAGAGGTGCTTAGACGGTCACATTCAGCAAAATTATGTGAACACACTCAGGTAGACAATACTAGCCACACCAAAAACACAGAGCATGAGGCAAAAAAAGCTCATTTGTACCACTGGCCTGTGATTATTTCCACAGGAAATTTAGAAAAGAGCTCTGCTCTGAAGAATATACCTTTTACTGATGTAAAATAGCTCTCATCACTGGTCTGTGAGTCAGTAACCTCCATATCGGAAGCAATGTTTAACTCCTGGCTCCCTGAAGGCACCCTGTTTCTCTGGTTTTCCAATTCTGAAAAGTTTTCATCAGCTGCTACAGAAACTACGCTGGTGGGATCCTCATCACATTTTAAAACTTCTGTGCTTGACTTGTGTTCCAAGACAGCGGCTACCGGTCCAACGTGCAACTCCACGTTTGGTTCAGAAACCAGCAGCTCGTCCTTTAAGCATGTTTTCCTTTTTCTTGAGCCTCTCTGGCACACTTTATGGACACTGTTAAAAATGTATGTATCTTTTTTTCTTCTGGGATTTTTAACAGTTTCTGCCCTTTGACTTTTTGGGGGTCGTTTCCTCTGTCTTGTGTTATAGGCATCATCCAGATTCCCCGTTTCTGAACCGCATTTAGCTTTCTTAATCTGGGTTGTCCTCTGAGCAGCACTCCTCTCTTGGGCTTTGAAACAGGAATCCTTTGAGGGGTCCTCTGCAGTGGGCCCATCCTGCAAATCTGGCTCACCAGCACTGGTTTGAAATTCCAAAATCTTATTTTGCTTTTCTTCACTGCTTTGCGGTCCAAGATCTAGAGTCTGGTTGCTAGTGATACAGTTCTGTCCTTCTGACCCCAGAGCCCTTGTGCTTGATTGAATACTGTCCCGAACAGAGACAGAAAAATCAAAGTCCTCTGATTTAAGAACAGTCTCTCTGTTCTTTTTAAAGTACTCCAAAAGTGCACGTCTGGATCGGACCTTCACTCCTTGGGGACTAAAAGGGAAAAAGACCATCATGTAAAAAGCAGTCAAAGGGCAATGTTGAGTGGAACGCAATGTTGCACAACAGGACTTCACCTGCTTCTTCTCCCCCCTGCAGCAACCGCACCCCCAAAATCAGCTCTGGAGGGTCAGAGTAGGTTCTGAGGGCATGCAGGGGGGTCAGCAGGGAGAAAGAGAGGATGGTGAAGTCCCATTGTAGGAGTGTACTTTTATTCCACTCTCACATGGAACGGGTTGGATACAAGTTGTCAACTGTAGCCACCCTGTAGATTATATTGTGGAAAGACAGACTATACATTTTTCAAATAAATATATATTTTGGAAGATCAGAGAGTTGAAGCTCCAATACTGAAACTATTTGTAAGCTGTTATAAATGCATTTACAGTTAAACAGTGGTGCAAGTACAGCTGCCTTGGGAATTGCAGCAGAAAGATGAGATACAAATATTTTAAATGAACACGAACTTAGTATTTGTAAATATTATAAACACAGATGTTTTATATAGCATAGAATCCATCAGCATGACGCTTGGTTGGAGTACTAAAGGGGAACACAAAACTGTGTCCTGACTGCATATGTGTTTCTAATCATAAGGAAGGCTATCAGGAGGATTTGAAGTTGTTGCTCAGCTGAACACTATTATTCTTTGGAAAAAAGCTGTCCAATGCCCTCTGCTTCTGGAGAGCTATGGGGGCAGGGGCAGGTTACAACAATGCAGACTTTGAGTCGGATGAGAAGCAAAGAGTGATTATAATGCAGGAGATGGGGAGAAAGAGGGGGCTCAAACTGTGGTTAAGAAGGAGGAATGGAGGGGGCTGCTGTGTTGTGGGGGCTGCTGCTGTTGGTGGGTCACAGCCGCTTTTTTCTTGATAGACCATTCACCCCTGGATATGTAGATGAAACAGTACAGAAAATTGCATCTGCCAAATTTCTGAATGTCAGGTTATTGTCAAAGCCGTGAGAGTTCTGTCAGAAAACAACAGCAATACCACATAATTTCTTCCTTTCTTTAGTTAACACTTCAACAAGCTTAAACATAAAAAGTATATTTACACTTCTCCCTATTATAAACATAATTATGACAGAATGGCTCTCAGTGCACCAAAATATCATTTGGATGACATAAGATGTACAATGTCAAGATTTACAATCAGCACTACTGTACCTGACAAAATAGATGTCATATCTTCCTTTTGTTTTGCCAGACTGCCTTTGCTTTATTATCCTTTCCCATCCTTCAGGAACAGCTTTGCGACACAGAGGAGCCAGGAAAGATACAGTTGCTTCAGAGTCTTTGCACCAAGTTAGACTTTCTGTGATGGTCTCAGTATCTTTCTCCTTGGGATCAACACATTCCCCTCCTGCTGTTATAAGATGCCCTTTCTCTTTGTCTGCATCTTCAGTCAGGTGCCTATTACCTATATCACTGAAAGTGAATTATCAGAATATCAGAACTAGCTTCACCTTTTTGTAGCCTTTCCTTAAATAGACATTCTAACCTCTCAATTATTTTTAATGCTTTTTTTTTTTTTTGCATCTCCCCCACATTTCCTTTTCGGTTGTTCCAAAACTGGTTTATTTCTGGCAGAGTAAGATGCAATAAATTTTGCACCTAAATGTAGAAAAATAAGGTACAACGTAAGCAACAGAGAGCCCTGGTTTTATTTTTCGGGCTTCAAACACCAATTGCCTAAAAGGTCTGGGTGAATAAGGAGGTCTCTACTGGTGCTGGAAATGAAGAGGGTGCCAGGCAAGCCTTCCTGGGGAGGATTTTCTATAGCTAGGGTGCCATCACTGAGAAGGCCACCTCAGAGGCAGGCAGCCCACCGTTCCTCCTCATTTGGTGGGAGCAAGCAAAGCAGTGGGAATGGGAACCAATGGGGCAATAGAAGCAGGAGGCTAAGAACGGCACAAGTTAAGAATGGCTTTATTCTGGTTTGCAGTACAGTGGTACCTCGGGTTAAGTACTTAATTAGTTCTGGAGGTCCATTCTTAACCTGAAACTGTTCTTAACCTGAAGCACCACTTTAGCTATTGGGGCCTCCTGCTGCCGCCGCGCCGCATGAGCACGATTTCTGTTCTCATCCAGAAGCAAAGTTCTTAACCTGAAGCACTATTTCTGGGTTAGCGGAGTCTGTAACCTGAAGCGTATGTAACTTGAAGCATATGTAACCCGAGGTACCACTGTATTGCCATAGCCCTCAATCAGACAGAAGACCATCATGTCAAGGCAGCAGAACGCAGGCGTGCCATTTGTCAAACTGCTGTGACATCACTGCATGCAAACGAAAGGTGATGATAGTGAGGGTGATAATAGTTGCTTGCAAAGCAACAGGCCGAGGGGGGCGTTGCCTATTTCAAAAGCCCCGCCCTCGCCACTCCCTCCTGCGTTAAGTCCTTACCTGCCGTCAGGCTGCCCCGTCGCCCCTTGAACTAGCGCCAAGGACATCTTTCCTCTCCTCTCTTGTAAGGCGGCAAATTCTCCCGCGCCTACTCGTACGGCGCGTGCGCATTCCTAACACGCGCGCCGCCAACCCGCACAATGACAGTAACCAAGAGATCTCTCCCTCCTATTCGCGCCGGGATCAAACCTCGCGAGCAGCGCGAATTACACCTGAGTGGGCTTTTGCGCACGCGCACTTTCGACATAAGCTCCTCCTCTCTCCACACCGTCGTCCCACCCGCCTCTAATATTAATATTGCGCGTCCTCCCCCGGGCGTCATAGAAACTGTGGTTGGGGGGCGGGGAGGAACTCGGTGGAGAGTTCAGACATGCGCAAGAGCGTGCGCACAACCAAGGGCGCTTCGCTCGTCGCTTTTCCCTTGGGCAAAAGGGAAGGAAAAAAGGAGGGGAGGGCGCGTGAAAACTGCGCATGCGTGTTGCCTTGGGTTGCAGCCCGGCGTCCTATGTACACAAATAAATAAATAAATAAAGGAAAGCGGGAGTTGGGCGCTGGGGGAGGGGCAGGCAGGGAGGTGGCGAAGGGGATGCGCCGGAGGGGGAAACATGCGAGCTGCGCTGACCTGGAGAGATAAGGCGGAGCAGTGGTAAGAAGGCGCCTCCCTGTGACAAGCCTAGAGGGTGGAGTAGGTCGGTGGGGGAGGCCTGGGGGGGGCATGGAGGAAAGGAAGGAAGTGGGGGCTTCGACCTCCAGCCAAAAAATAAGGCCTCCTCAGTCCGCTCTCCCTACCAGCATCACCAGCAGTAAGCGAGTCGTGAGGGGGACGGCGTGCAATTTTATCCCGCTCGCGGCAGGCAGCATAAAACCTCCGCAGCTTCCCCCGCGACCGTTTCTGAAGGCAAACGAGTTTAATGCAGCCAACTGCAGCGCTAGGGAAAATGAACGGCAGCAGCAACAGCAAAAACAACTTAGAAAGATGCTTCCACGTTTAAACTGGAAGCCACAAAGCTGTTAAGATAATGCTTTTGCTGCAGACAGGGAGCGCGTGGGTTTTCCCTTTTGGTGGAAGGGACACAAAGCGAGACCCTGGCAGGTTTCAGTTGTTGTGTGTGTGTGTGGGGGGGGTGCGCTTCCCAGAGCCTAAGGTGCTTTATCTGCATTCGTTGCCAAAAGGGGCTTGTGGGTTTTTTTTGAGGCAGACAGGCCCCTCTGTCCCCTCGACGGTCCTATTATGTCCGTTGGTTTAACGTAAGATCTTCCCCGCTGAGTTGATGTTCTTACGGTGCTCCATCGGTAGGACTGGAACCCAGCCAGATGGGCGGGGTGCAAGCAATAAAATAATATTTAAAATCCACAGTGGCCTATACTGGTTGTTTTACTCGCTGCCTCAATTCTTGTACTGGGCAGGTGGGTAAAGCTTTCATGAGGAAACTTCAACAAATAGTTGATGCAGGTTCGTTTTTCCCCAAACCCCATAGGTAGTATATATTGCAGCACATCATCTTAAAATTCAAATGCTTTGGTTTAATTGAGGTGTATCTTTTTTGGGGGGGGGTACTATCTGTGTACACTTTGTGACATTGGTCTTCAGCTGGTGGGTTGGAACTCACCTGATCGCCACACCAGCAACATTACTGCTGGGTCAGACCATTGTCCTCCCGTAATCCACCACCTTGGCCGCCTTTGTAGCACCTGTGATTTCCAGCAACTCAGAGTCATAGGCATATTGCCTCTGATATTGGAGGTAGAACGTAGCCACCTTGGCCAGTCACCGTTGATAGCCATGTCCTCCATAATTCTCCCTTTTTTAATGTATTTTTATTAAAGATTTTCTTGGTTTACAAAAGTATGTGCAATGTCTCTTTCTCCCCCCCCCCCCGTAACATTTTTTACAGATCAGTTTCATTTGTTGAGACCATCACTGCCCTCTGTGGAAGCAAATGCCATAGTTTAACTATGCACTGCATTATAAACACTCTCATCTGTCATGAATCTTCCACAATTCAGCTTTGTTGGATGAGCATGATTTCTAGGGGTGTAAGAGTGTGGGAGAAAAAAAATATATCTAGCCACTGTCTTTATACCATGTGTAATTGTGTAAACGTCTATCTTGTCACCTATTACCTTTTCTGGAAACTTAAAAAGTTCCAAATGCTGCAACCTTTCCCTTTAGGGACCCTTCACCATTTAGGTTGCCCTTTAAGCATTTATAACTCACATTTCATTGGATACTTCAGTACCACAGCAGAGAACAATTAAATAAAGCAATAATAAAAGATACATAAAAGATAATATACAATAATTACAACAGCCATAAAAACAAGTGTTTGGCTGAAATGTTGATTTATTTATTTTTACTATTGGCTGTGTGGGTGAATAATCCCCAGTTTTGTCTAGAATACGTACCTTTAACATAGATAAATTGCAATGGCTAGAGTAGCTAAATGAATAAAGTCAGTGTTTTGATGTAATGCTTTGAGTATGTAAATTGTAGCCTTTTGATTTGGCAGATATGAAATGTCTTGAAAATGGTATGATTGAGGAAATGTACGAATGACAATTGTGGTATATGAATATTACTCTGAACCTACATCCACAAATTGAATTCCTTTCAAAATACTCATTCTGTAGGGTAGTGATCTATATCTAGAGATCTTGTTTTTTATGTACCATATGGGAAAATATTGGGGATATGAGGAGTTTGGGGTGCCATTTAATACCTTCCTTTGTTTTCACAGTATATATGACCTTGCTTTTAAGCCTGATGGAACTCAACTAATAATTGCAGCTGGAAACAGATTACTGGTATGAGGTTTTCTTTAAAAAACAACAACCCACCCACCCTTATTTGTTAATTAACATCTTGAAATATTTGGTAGATTAATTTATCAAAAGAACTCTAATTTCTTTATTATTTACTATAACACATATGGTAATCTATTGAAAGAACTCTTATTCCTTCTCTATTTAATGTAACACATTTTTTTAAAAAACTTACAACTGTGGTGTAATTTGACTATGTTAAAAGCTAATTACTTTTTAGCTATTTAACATCTTTAAACAGAGAGAAGGCTCTTGTCTTTGTTTTGATAAATTAAGCTGAGCTGGAAGAAGTCAACAGCTATTTTAAAAAGATACACCAAATTATCTATCTGCATATTTCATAGATGCTTTTTTCCAATTTCCTAATGTTTGTCGTCATTATTTGTAAAGCTTGCTTCTAATTTCTTGGTGTGGATTTATGAATTGTTTCTAAGTACATGATGTAAGAAGTTAAGTGAAGGTAGGTCTACACCAGCCTTGCAAATAAGCCCATAAAGATACTAGCCTGTGGCTTTTGTTTTTCATGCCTGAAGGCTGGTGGCTTGAATTTCCATGCTGGTTATGGAGAAGGAGGAAGTTCCCTTCTCCAGGTCAGTATGGAAATACAAGGTACTAGCCTCTGCTAGGAAAAAAAAGCATTCTAGCAAGAGTTTGTGGCCAGCCTGCTCACTTACCTGTATGGCAGGGATGGGGAACCTCTGGATATTGTTGGACTACAACTTTCATTGCCCTTGGCCAGTGACCATGCTAGCTAGGGCTGATGGAAGCGTATTTCAACAATTATCTGGAGGGTTGCAGGTTCCCCATTCCTGGTGTATGTAGTTTCATGCACTTGCCTCCATGGAATTTTTTCTTGCTTATGACAGTCGGGAGATTTAAAAAATGTAAGGCTAGTCTCTACACTCCTTCGATAGGAGGTTGCTATGCGCACTTTGGAAATTGGTTTGGAGGGGTTGGTGCAGTGGCATTTAGGGCTTGCTGAAATAAGGCTTTCTCATAACTTTTCGGGGCTGGATTGTCCTTTTGATACCTTTCATTTCTAAGCCCCATGGAGCAGATTCACTGCTCCTAATGTCAGCTCAGTCTGGCGCTGGCTAGAAGCTGTAACACAGGAATTTATTTTTTGTATCTAGAAGAAACAGAATAGACCTGCCCAGCCCTGCTCTGCTTTACCAAACCCAGAATCCCCAGTGGCCTTTATTTGTAATCACACTGGATATGAAAAGAATAGGGTTAGGCTGTTTGTCCTGTTATAATGCTGGCTTCTATGTGTCAGTCCATTAAGAAAATTACTTGTTGGAGCTGTATTTTAGAAGTCATGTAACTGCCACTTTAAAAATATGAATAAACAGAAGAGAGCCTGTATCTGGACTGAGAAACATAGAAAGCTGCCTTGGTTTGTCTAGGGCTATAGTGTTAATTTGTGCATCTAATTCTTAGACTTATCTCTTTATTTTATCTCTACAGGTATATGACACTTCGGATGGAACATTAATCCAGCCCTTGAAAGCACATAAGGATACAGTGTACTGTGTAGCTTATGCCAAGGATGGTAACTTAAACCTTCTGGATTTTTTCAAACCATTAGCATTTGATCAGGTTTCATAGGAACAGAGTGTCATTTGCATTTATATCCAGTTTATTATTCATAAAAAAAGTTTAAAGAAGAAAATTTGTATTACCAGGCAATGTCAGTACAGTCCATACTATGACAACTGAGTTTCATGTCAGACCAGAGTGTATGCAAACATTTGTAGATACAGGTTTGATTCTTGCTCACGTGAAGGCACTCAATTAATAGTAAATAGTGTCATTGCTTTTCTGTGTGCAATAAACTCATGTGAGCTTCCATAACATTCCCTAGGTAAGCGCTTTGCATCAGGAGCTGCCGACAAAACTGTGATCATCTGGACTTCAAAGTTAGAAGGTATCCTGAAGTACACGTAAGTGGATTGCTTCATGATTATTTTGCATGCCTTAAATATCAGTTTTGAGTATGGACTCCAGCCACTATTATCAATAATAGTAGAAGGAATATGAACACAGGTAAGAAGCTAAACATGCAAAGACAAAGGACATTACATTACATCACTTCACCAGGTTAACGGGAGAATGAGATAACAGGTTCTGAGGACTGTTCTCATTGCATAGCTCTCGAAAGGGTTTCGCTGCAGTTACTGCACTTCTGAATTTTATAGTACATATGCATTCTGGATCTGATATTGTGCTCCTATTTTCCTTGTTCACTTACATCACAGAAGCAGATTGGCCCAGCATTGTTTCTGTAAATTCTGCATAATAAACATTATGTTACGGGGGGGGGGGGGGCGGGAGAAGTAACTCCTTCGAGATAACTTCCTGAAGTGCTTGTATTCAGCATTAAAGGATAACAATATAAGTTGCTGGGCTGATGTGTTCTAGGTAAAGTTTTAGTTACTCATTAACAGCCCATTACCTTTTTCTTGTTTTATGTATTTAAGAACCTTTTATTCCACTCTTAAGGTAAAAATTGTCAAAGCAGCTAACGTAGCAAAAACTAAAACAATAAGGAATAAATAAGAACTGTGTAAAATAGTACCAACAGAAAGAGAGCTGAGTCAGATCAGAGCATTATACTAAAACCCAGTATAGAAAGGCTTGGGCAAATAAAAATATATTCCTGTGCCATCAAGAGGACAGCAGAGCCAATGCCAGTCAAATGCGCTTGCACTGAGCATTCTAGAACTGGGATGCCACAACTGAAAAGGCGCTTTTCATGAGCTGCCACTCACCTCTTTTCTGAAAGTAGGGGGACCACTCAAAGAAGGTTCTCTGAATGGGGTCTTGGTAACCAGGCAGGCCTGTGTGGGTAAGGTTTTGCTTAAGAGACTGGTCTCTGACTTTTGAACCAACTCTGGTGCAGTGTTGAGAATCACTATAGAAGTATCTCTGTATTCCTCCCCTCTCCCCACACAATGCTTGAACGCTTTATATTTTCAAATAACCATATTGCACCCGAACTATTTTTAAAGCCTGTTGGATTTTGGTTTGATTTGCACTGAGCTCCTGATAGAGTTGGGTGAGGCTTAAAAAAATAAACATCCAAAGTTATTTGTTTATTATGCCTAACCAGTGTTCAGATTGTTTTGTTTCAGTGTTTCTGGTTAATTTGTTTTAGGCACAATGATTCCATACAAAGTGTATCCTACAATCCTGTCACTCACCAATTGGCATCTTGCTCCTCCAGCGATTTTGGTACGTCTTCCTCATCCTTAGTTTCTTAAGGCCAAATCCTATGACTTCACATAGCAGTCAGGAATCAATCGGATAGAAATGCAATGTGTGTTGTACCATAGCTATAAGCAGTTGAAGGACCACAGGAAGTTGCTATACAGCAGATCAGACTGTCTATCTGACCCTGATCTCAGGCAGATCTCAGGTATCCAGAGCCAGTCTTGGCCACTATGAAAGCAGGATGCTGGACTAGATGGACCACTGGCCTGATCCAGTAGAACCATTGATATTAATGGACCTGTGTTCATCATGCTCATTTATTTCATTGGAACTACTCTGGCTAGGTCTAGACTTAGATACAACAGTTGGTTTCAAATAATCTATCATGTAGAATTCTTTTGACCAAAGAGATAACTGATTAGATGTGGAACCTTCTAGTGCAAAGCATGTGCTCTGTCATTGTGCTGTGGCCCCTCGCTTGTCACTGCTGTCAGATGGTGCATTGTAGCATCACGTAAAGCCATTATGCAGCACATAAGCTGGCAGAGATAAGGTGTGGCAAGGGGAAGGACTTTGGGGAGTTGTATTTTGTTAAGATTTAGGAACTCTTCTCTTTCACATTCCCTTGTTGTTATTGGTGTGAATGTTTTCTTATAATGATGAATAAATTGGATGGTAACACTATGCTGTTGTTATTTTCAAGGTCTGTGGTCTCCTGAACAGAAGTCAGTCAATAAACATAAAGTTAGCAATAAGATCACCTGCTGTAGGTATGTAAATACTGCACTCAAATATAGTTTTATTGCAAATACTAAAACATCTAATGAGTTGCCACACAAAAGATTGAGAACTCAAGTCAACATGCAATAGAGTTAAAAACAAAACTGAAACAAATCTGACAATACAATAGAATGGACAGCAAAATTGTCCTCTAATGAGTTTGTAGAATTTTATTATACATTTAATTATAAGATAAGGTTCCAGGATGGGTTGGAACAAAAGAGTAAGCAATTAAAGAAACGGATAAAAGCATTGTTATAAGGCACATAAAACACTTCAAAATTGAACAGAACACTACAAATATGTGTCAATAGCTGGCTTTCTCAGATAAAGAATATGTAGGCATTATCATTTTGTGGAAGACCTTTCAAAATCATCTTATAATTTTTTTTATTTGTTTTCAATTACAGTCCAATAATAGCCTCATTATAACAATACCAATTTATAACACAATTATTAATATCAATCGTTCAAATACCAAATTATATAATTTAGATAAAGTGGCTCCCGCATGCTAGATTTGATGGTTTGATGATTTTCTTTATTTCTGTGTTCCAAAATCTTACTAATTTCAATTACATTCTGGTCATAATAATAATCCCTTATACAACAACTGCAATATTAATAACTTCTATTCGTGTTCACACCTTAAATTATTTATAAAACTACAAGTGAGGAACTCAAACTATATCCTTGTTCTTCCTGTGTGTGGCAATTATTCTGTTCGTGGTGTTTCTTCCTTTCCTTGTAAGATGTTACGTTTTCCTTTCCCCCGGTTGTTGCTGTTATCCATCATGCCTTGAATGGAGCTGATATCCCACTGTCGTTCCAGAAATTTCTCCATCACTCCGCCCCATGCTTCGTTGTTTTGCAACTTTAACAACAGCTGCAAAAGTCACTCTGTCCCTCTTGTCACCATTTCCCCTCTCAGCCTGCGAAGAGTGGTCTGTCGAACTGCAGACAACTCAATAAGGAACTATATCAGTTCCTTGGCAGTTCACAGACTCCTTTCATCCTTCCTTCCAACTGAAGACATATGAGCAATTATTCTTCCAATTAAATTAAATTAAATTCCAAGTTCTCTTAGCGTTATTCAGTTCACATCATAAATAATAAAGGATGGGGAAGTTTCCATCGTAAACCTTTTGCAAAATAGAGCCTTCCTCCCCTTTTCATTTTTTTTTACACAGTTTACACAGTTCCGTTTGATGTTATATTTTATATTTATAATCCAGTTTCTTCCATCCTCACTTGTACAAATAAAATTTGAACTAACATTGAAAGGAGGGTTGACGAATCATAAATGTAGAGAATAAAACTTAAAATAAAGAAACCGTAGGCTCCCCCCAACCATCTTTTGCACTGAATGAAGTCTTATCTCAAGTTCAAACCTTAAAGTCCTTGCAATTGGTTTGTTCTGTAGTTTATCATCTCATCTCTTCTAGCATGTGCCTGTGCTTTAGTCCAATTAAGCTCTAATTAACAGGAGAACCTCTGCTTCTTAATGGCGGCGTTGGAGGGTTTTCAGCAGGCTTTTGCACTCAGTGCCTCCCTGCCCCCCGCATTCCATGCCGGAGTAAGAGCCAGGTACCAAGACGAACTGCGAGTGAAGCCCGTTCCCTCCTCCATTCCTGGGGGAAATTTGCAAGGATAATTACCCTCAGTCACCCTTGTTTTTCCTTCGCCAACGATCTTCGCCCGGTGTCATGGGGGCTGCTTCCATTAAGGCAGAGCGGAACTGGAAGCCGACCTTTCAAAATCACTATTCAGTTAAACAGAGGTTGCCTTATGCTGCTACTGCTCCATATTCCTAATTAGCATGTCCTCTCCTTCTTGGCATGTAGCTGCAGTTCATTTGGGCAAATGTGTACTTTAAAGCCATATTTGTCAGTGCAGTGGAAGAGTTCAAGGAGTACTTTGTGTCCTCTTGAGCCTTTTATGCCCACCACTAAGTAAAAGGTATAATTTCTGTAGGGCTCGTGACTCTCTCAAATGTTGAGGAGAGGGGAATTTTTTCAAACTGCTCTGTTATTATTCTTCCCCTTTCTCAGTTGGACTAATGATGGCCAGTACCTCGCTTTGGGGATGTACAATGGCGTGGTCAGCATAAGAAATAAAAATGGTGAAGAAAAAGTCAAAATTGAACGACCCGGTGGATCTTTATCTCCTGTGTGGTCCATTTCTTGGAATCCATCAAGGTAAATGTTGCTGTCCCTATATTGTTTGTCTTTGATAGTGCCTGCACGCTAGTCTGCATTTGACTTTTAACAGTAGTTCTATAAACATAAATAAGAAATCATTTTGATGAAGCTCAGAAGACTGGTTTAATGCTTTCATTTTCTTGGCAATATCAATAAAAATTCTTAAACTTTCTCCAATTTGAAGGGAATTGCTAGATGCTGAAGTTGCTAAAATTAACTGTTCCTGAATCTTAAAAAAAAACCCCACAGAAATAAAGCACATTATAACTGATCAGCTCCCTCTGTCTGCTAATACAGCATATGGGATGTGGGTTGGAGGTTGACTTTGGAATGAAGAATGCCTAATGCATTCTTGGATTGTTGAGACTCTAATAAAATATAAATATATTTGACGTATTTAAAGGCTTTTTAATGATATTTGTTGCTTATGTGTAGCCCTGTAGGTCAAAGATTCAATATACTCTATCTCAAATAATATACTGGATTTTAAAACAAATGTAAAATACATCTCATAATAAAACTCTGACCCTACAACTTAATCTAGCCCCCCCCCCCCCCAGGCTACTCAGTGCTCTTAGAATGCTCCTGGAAGATCTTTAGTGCTTTGATGAATGTTTCTGGTATGGGAGTTCCATAGTTTATAGGGAAGCTGTATTTGCATAGGTGTCCTGAGAGATAATAATCTCAGGAGCATGTGTTTGGTTAATTTTAGAGCTTGTAATACAAAGTGGGGAAGGAGGCATATATTTAGATATGCAGGGATTGACTGTTGCATCAAATGATATTTGTTAGCAATTGCACGTTTACTATTGTATGTACACACAAGAGGGAGCTGCAGCAAATTCTAGCTCCTCGGTATATGTACCTGTATGGTTCTTATGCTGTGCATACATAAAAAAAGTTTTATAAACAATTTAAGGGTTCATATAAAGTTAATACCCTGTTTCCTACTGTTGCACATTTCAGTACAGTCATACCTTGGTTTTTGAACAGCTTAGTTCTCGAACGTTTTGCTCCTGAACGCCACAAACCTGGAAGTGAGTGTTCCAGTTTGTGAACTATTTTTGGAAGTCGAATGTCCAGCGGGGCTTCTGGGGCTTCCGATTGGCTGCAGGAGCTTCCTGCAGCCAATCAGAAGCCTTGCTTTGGTTTTCGAACGTTTTGGAAGTTGAACAGACTTCTGGAACAGATTCCGTTTGACTTCCAAGGTACGACTATATTTGGAAACAGCTGTATTTTGAGAACATATATAAGAACCATCCTACTGAACCAGAACTAAAGGCCTAGTCCAACATCTTGTTCTCACAGTAGCCAACCAGATGCCTCTGGGAAGCTTCCAAGCAGCACAAGTCCAACAGCCCTCTCCCTGCCCATCATGCGCTCTAGCAGTGGGTGTTCAGAGGCACACCATCTCCAGTACTGAAGATGTTACACAGCCATCATGACTAGTAGCCATTGATAGTCTTATCCTCCATGAATTTGTCGAGCCCCTTTTAAAGCAGTCAAAATTTGGTGGCTATTGCTGCATCCTTTGGAAGTGAATTCCATACTTTAACTATGTGCTGGGCAAAGAAGTGCTTTCTTTTGCCGGTCCTGAATCTTTCAACATTCAACTTCATGGGGAGGCATTGAAGAATGACAACTTACTGGTATTTTCTCCAACCTTATCCTTCTCTATCCCACAGAGGGAGGGTCATGTTTTCCTAAAGCCTGACAACCAACAGAGTTTGCACTGAAGAAGACTTACTGTCCCTTTTAGTAAATCTGGGGAAGAAAAGTTTCAAAAACTACCTGGGCAAAGTGTTTTAACATCAGGAGAGTTGATCTTGGGCTAATCTGTTTTGAAATTTGAGTTTTGTAGCAGTAGGTCATGTAAATGAACAATTGATATTTGCAGTCGATGGGAGAATCTCTGGAGTTCTAGAGAGAGCGAAGAGGAGGAGGAGGCAGGTCACGCCTGTTTAGAGGATATACCAGTTCTGAAGTCCATCACATGCAGTAGTCAGGGTAGTGAGGCAGAGGAAGAAGAACATGAGGAAGATGAGAGCCCTAGGAATGCCAGCTCGTGAGTGCAAAATCAGAGAAATAAAACTATAGTATGAAAATATATATTTAAATCTTAGCTAATCTGTCTCATTATCAATTTATAATTATTGCTTCACAGTATATAAACGAAACAGTATTTTATTTATATATTTGTGGCATTTATATTCTGCTATTCAGGTGGACCTCACAAAGCAGTTTACATGAGATTGCTACAACAATAAGCATTGGGTGTTTATTTTTAAAATAAGTTATAATAACATGGAAAAGACAGCCACTTAGACAAAGCTGTAATTGCTTCTCTCTGCTCCCCGTCAGGGCAATTGGTGGTGATAGAGAAGGGAGGGACCATTACTGGGAGCTGGATTATAGTGAGTCACCAGACTATTTCTTTTTTCTCCGCTCCACTCAAGGCAAAGTGGAACCCCCATCAGGGCAGATAGAGGCTCCTGTGAAGACTGTTGGATGATAGGGAAGGGCCCCCGCTGGAAACTGGATGATAGCAGCTCATCAGGCTATTTTGTGACTGCCTGAGGTTCCCTTAAAGCGACCTCACAGTGTTTGTCCATACTTTCCCCTTCCAACAAATTTCTCCATTCTTGACTCTTAAGGATAGTATCCAACATTTCTCAGCATAAGTTCTGGCAGTCTTCAACAGAGGTTGAATGTTTTCCCGAACTCACGTTTGGGAAAATTTCCATGTTTGTGCAGCTCACCTTGACTCTGGGGATCTGTAGGCCACACAGATGTTGTCTGAAGAGATTCCTGGAGTTCCAGGTAATTGTTGAAAGGGACAGTTAATACAGGTCAACAGTGCTGGGCCCCGTGTTTTTTCCTGCTAATCAGAAACTGGCATTTTTTCCTCTTGAATAGATTGACTCCTACGGCTTATGGCAAAATAGCATTTATTTTAATAGACAGAACTTTAATTTACTTTAATAGAAAGGTTTGAACAGCAGTTTGCCAAGGATCATTTTGAAGGAAAACATGGCAACCTTCTGTAGATGGTGGGATAAGAGGTATATTTAGGCTTTGGAGTTGTATTTTCTTTTGCACTTGTGTGCAGTTGTGCAAGTGAAAGGGAGCTCTACATATATAGGAATGAGGGTCAAGGGACAGTTTTAGGTAAGGTGGGGTGGAGACTCCTTTTCAGACTGAGGTGTCACAGCCCCTCCCAACCAACCTTCCAGGTGCTGCAAGCCACTTGTGAGCGCAGCCAAAATAGGCATGGCCAGGTACCTGTCTTCCTTGCTGCTCAGCAGTATCAGCTAAGCTGAGGGACGAGGAGACAACCAGGAAGGGTTTGAACAACCCCTCCTCGCGAACTCTCTCAGAAACTACACACATCCACACAACACAGTCCTCCTTGCCTTTGCACCATTGGAGGCAGATGGGTGGAAGGGGATTAGAAAACTCTGTTTATACAGCTGACAGCCATAGTAGAGAACACTAGGGGCTATCTGTTGCTTTGTAGTTCATCAGAACTGTTTACAACGTATCATAATTGGCTTCTCCTTTTGTGCATGGTAGAGATGAACACAATGACATCTTAGCTGTGGCAGATTGGGGACAAAGGCTTTCGTTTTATCAGCTCAGCGGCAAGCAAGTAAGTGTTATATTAATACAATGCCTTGGAAAGTACACTTTTTATTTTCTTCCTGGGAAAGAACTGAGTTGAAAGTTCCACTTATCCAGTAAGGTGTGATTTTAAAATTATAGGCCTGCTTGCTGGCCCTTTGTACAGTAAAGCATTTATATTTTTCTATATAAATCATTAGCAGCTCATGGCTTGGATTTGCAAGTTGCTAAGGAGATAAAAAGCATTGTCTCCTTGATCATTAGCCAGTTCAAGCTGTACTGTTTCTCAGGTACGCATTAGAGTAGCTCCACAGCTGTGCTGAGTGGTGTCACTTGTCAGTATCGCCACGTGCTTCAGAGCCAAGGACTGCTGAACAAGAATATCCTGACCAGGCTCCATTGACTGGTTTGAAGAACAAAACTGGTGTATGAGGTAGACTTGCCACCTACTACCAGAGCTAAAGACCCATTGTAACCTAAAAGCATTAATTAAGGAAGGAAAAGGAAAGCCTGTGAGATCAAACAGCGATATGTGACAGATTTCATAGGAACGTGTATTTAATTACTGTGTTACCTGTGAACTTTAAAATATATATATCGGATGTCTTCTTTCATATTGTTCTAGATTGGAAAAGACAGAGTCCTGAACTTTGACCCCTGCTGTGTTAGCTATTTTTCAAAAGGAGAATACATTTTAATTGGAGGCTCCGACAAACAAGTCTCCCTCTACACAAAAGATGGTGTGCGCCTTGGCACCATAGGGGAACAGAACACGTGGGTGTGGACGTGTAAAGCGAAGCCAGATTCCAATTACGTGGTAAGAGTGAATTGGTAAAAGCCCTTGCACATGTGGAACTGCAAGGGGTCCCCCCACTTTGGGGTCATTATTTTGTTCCCACTCTCCTTGGTTCCAAAACCATCAAATGTGAGGGATAAGTTAGCCATGAGACATACAGTCGTACCTTGGTTGACAAACACCTTAGCGGTTGAACGTTTTGGCTCCTGAACGCTGCAATCCCGGAAGTGAGTGTTCCGGTTTGCAAAAGTTCTTTTGGAAGCTGAACATCCAGCGGGGCTTCCATAGCTTCCGATTGGCTGCAGGAAGCTCCTGCAGCCAATCGGAAGCTGTGCCTTGGAAGCAGTGGCAGAGGAACCCTCTCTGGCAGCCAGGGCAGGACACCGAGGGGCGGGGCAAACCGCCCGGTGATGCACACGCGATATCCGTACGGAGTACGCACGCGCAGCAGCCCGTATGGTCGCTGTGCGAGAGGTAGCCCGTACGGACGCCTGTATGGATGGTGTGCAAGAGCAGCAGCATGTACGGTTGCTGTGTGAGAGGCAGGCCCGTATGGACGCCCGTACGGACGGTGCGTGAGCGGCGCCCATACTGACTGTGCGCGCCCTTGGCCGCTCTACAGCTGGGAGGAGGCAGGGGCCATCTTGTCGTCCCCCCCCCCGAGTGGCCTGTCCCCTCTGCCCCCCACTTCATACGCCCCTGCTTGGAAGTCGAACGTTTTGGAAGTTGAACGGACTTTTGGAACGGATTCCGTTCGGCTTCCAAGGTACGACTGTGCTTCAAAACAAATGGCATGAAGGTGGCTTTTTACAGTTCTTGGAACAACATGTGTCCTAGGGACCATTTCATGTGTTACAAAGAGAGGCAAATCTGAGAATACAGTCAACAGGACAACACAGCTGTTCACAGCTGGTGTTGCCATATGACTCCTCTTTTTTGGCAGACATATTTGTTGCATTCTCCAGTGGTGGCAAAAGGATGGCATGTGGATTAAGGTCTCCCGCAAGTGTAGTTAGCAGCCAGATAACATGTAATGATTAAGAACAGGTCTGTGCTAGGAAAATTCACTGAGCTCTGTGGCATTTTGCTTTAACTTTAATAATACTACTTCAAAGCTAAAATGCACATTGGGGCATATAACAGATGAATAATGCCTCCAATCTCTCCAGCCTTTTTTCGTTTCATTTTTCCCTTACGTGTTGAGATTTGTCTATTTGAAAGGCAAAATCTGCCTCTTACTTGGTACAATGATCTTTAAAAAAGGTCAAGTAATCTAAAAAGGTTGCCACCTTTTCAGTCTGTTTTATGGTTCGGATACATAATCATATGGTTTTTGACTTCTGGTGATCTTTTGCTTTCTCTTCAGGCAGTAGGATGCGAGGATGGAACAATTTCATTTTATCAGCTGATTTTCAGCACAGTCCATGGCCTTTATAAGGACCGCTATGCTTACAGGGACAGTATGACTGATGTTATTGTCCAGCACCTCATCACAGAGCAAAAAGGTAGCTTTTGAGGGGCATGTCTCTCAACTTGGGTGGATATATACAGCTTAACTGCTGGCTGCATATTTGACAGTAAAGGTAAATGGACCACTGACCCTTAGGTCCAGTCGCAGACGACTCTGGGGTTGCGGCGCTCATCTCGCTTTATTAGCTGAGTGAGCCAGCTCAGCTTCCAGGTTATGTGGCCAGCGTGACTAAACCGCTTCAGGCGAACCAGAGCAGCGCACGAAAACACCGTTTACCTTCCCGCTGGAGCAGTACCTATTTATTTGCACTTTGACGTGCTTTCGAACTGCTAGGTTGACAGTACAAAGTGTATTTAAATGAAAATATTGACCTGCCGTTTTATGCCATGAGTATGAAGGTTACAACAATCAATGGAGGCCCTGCTTTTTGATTTGGCACCAAAAGTGGCCTTCTTTGTGGTAGCTTCTCAGCTTCAATATTACTTCCCAAAAGAAATTAGACTAGTGCTATTCCTGTGATATTCACTTTGGCTTTTAATGAAGTTTTCTATTCTCTTTTAATCCTTTCTTTTAGTTCTGTTAAATTATGTGCATAATGTTTCAAATTGTCCAGCGCTAAACATTTTTGTGAGCCCTTGTTAGGACTGAACAACAATCTAGAAATCGTCTTGTAAATAATTTTTTTGCATCCAGGAGACCTAGCGTACCCTCTCAGTGGGTATCTTTTGGCAGCTGTCCAAGATTTGTTGTTGCAGCTGCTATTTTTGAAGTTTGCTGCTGATGATTGGTTTTATTGCTTTAAATCTTGAATTGTGAGCTTCCCTGAGGCATAGGGCTGGAAGGTGCAGGATAAAAGTGTTTTTGCAAATCTATATTTTTTTTAGAGAACATGAAATTTAACAAGACTTTTACTCGGATGTCACCATCCTTTTGGGGTCAGTGGGCACATTTGGAATTTTGAGGAAGGGCTGTGGGCACCAGTCACAAAAATGGAAAGCAGATGAGGAGTCAGGACCACAAATGGGTGTGGGCAGTGCCAGATTTATGTATAAGCTAAACAAACTATAGCTTAGGGCCCCACTGTCTTGGGGGCCCCCCAAAAAATTAAAGGAAAAAAACCTGGATGTACATTTCCAAGATTTTAAGTTAGAGCTTAATAATTATTTCACTATTAATATACTTCTTCTTAATTGTATTTAACTATTAATATACTTCTTCTTAATTGTATTTCAGTTCATTGATTGCTTTGATAAAATACATATTTTGTTATGTGCAAATGACTTTAGATACCTATTAGGTCCATAAATTACCATATAGCATATATTCAACACAAAAACCTTCGACAATTTGTTGTTGACAAAGGATAGCTACACATATAAAGGGCCCCATTACCTTCAGTAGCTTAGGGCCTCATCAAACCTAAATCCGGCCCTGTGTGTGGGCATATTCCTGCCCCCAAACCAGCCTATCCATTGCAACCTTGGGGAAAAGACACTTATATTAGCCACCACGGCACTTGTTCACAAAGAAAAGCTCTTTGCACCTCTCCTTTGTTTGGAACTGATGAGAGGGTGGATGTCCAATCCTAGCATCTATTATGAAATGTGGACATTTCTAAGGATGTGCATTCAAACAGGCTGATTCATTGCACGCAGAAACAGAGCAGGAAAAGGAAGCAGTTTCTCATTGATGGTGGATTTTTGAGGAGATAGTTATTGAAACCTTTCATGGGCACCATCAGAATACTAGTGGGCACAGTGGTGCCTACAAGTGTCATGTTAGTGACATCTTTTTAAACTATAAAAAGAATGAGTACTAGTAATAAGTGGCTTCTAATAATTGGCACCAGGTATCTGTCTTGTGTTGTATGAATCTAAATAGATGCTGTAATAGGATTTAAGGTACTTTAACTTAACCCTGCAAAACAGTTTACTATTTTCTTTTCTTTTGTTCCAGTTCGCATTAAAAACAGAGAGCTTGTCAAGAAAATTGCGATATACAAAAACAGATTAGCAATCCAGTTGCCAGAGAAAATCCAGATTTATGAACTATATTCTGATGATTCTTCCGACATGCATTATCGTGTGAAGGAAAAGATAGCAAAAAAGTTTGAATGCAACTTACTGGTTGTGTGTTCTGAGCACATTATTTTATGCCAGGTAATTAATAAATATATACTTTAAAATGAACTATACACATATTGAAATATTTTTTTCTAATAAGAGTTTCTTGGGCAGAAGTCATCCATAATGAGCTAGTTTATTTCAGAGATGGCTGCGAGATGAGGTGTGTATATTTTTTTCCACCTGTCCCACTCCAGATGTTATACGTACATGGCTTGCCCAAAATGTGGTATTTAGAAGAAACATCAATATTTCATTGGGGGTTAGATTCCCTCCCTTCTTTAAGTATAGCAATATTATCCCTTTTATTTGGTTGCTATCAGAATGTTAATAAAATGTTCCCAGTAAATCATCTGTCCTTGCTTTTGACATAGTTGTTCTTAGAGACACTAAAATGGTTTGCTGCAGACACTCAATGCAACAATCTAGTAGTAAAATAATCTGTGGCTGTCCTTTAAATGCTGTCTGGCAGTTATTTTTGTCTCTCCGGAGGCTTCTGTCCTGCTTTGCTACAGTCTTGAATAATTAGATTATAATGTGTGGTTGTAAACATTTCTAATGAATGATCCTTGAAGAATTGTAGATACTGTAAAACCAGTGTTGTTGCGTGGTTTGCCGGTGTCCAGGATGCAGAGGTTCATGGAGCCCTCCGCACCAGCCCAGCTCTTGCCACCAGAGCCAAGCGGGGCCACGCCGTGTCACTTGATCACCCACCCAGTGAGGAGCCCAGCTGGCTGATGTGGCCCTTGGCAGGCAAATTCCCCCAACGCTGGCCAGCCAGCCATTCAACAAGGGGGACACGGTAAAAATGTTACATGAAAAAAAAAATACGAGGCACTACACTTCTGTAAAACAAGAAAATCCTTAATAAAATATAATAAAAAAAACAACCAAGGGGGACACGGTGGTGAGGCCAGGCTCTGGGGCTCAGAGACCCCTGGAGGCAGGCAGGGTGGGATGGGGATCCCAGGGGTGTGTGCTTGGTTTGCGCCCCCTCAAATTCATGCGCCTGGGACTAAGGCCCCCCTCACTACGCCCCTGTGTAAAACTTTCCTCACCTGTTGCAATGTAAGCGGTTGATGAGTTGAAAATCAGACTAATATCTGTACCTTGACTGCCTAGCATGAAAAAGGCCTGGCATGTGTACAGCACTGTTAGGCTGAGAGATATGAGAATTACTTTAATGAGAATGTAACATGTTCTTCCCTTTTTTAGGAGAAAAGGCTCCAGTGCCTCTCATTCAGTGGTGTTAAAGAAAGGGAGTGGCTGATGGAGTCTCTCATTCGGTACATAAAAGTAATTGGTGGACCTCCAGGCCGAGAAGGACTTTTAGTGGGGCTAAAGAATGGCCAGGTGACCTTTTGTGATTAAGTTCATAGGATTTTGTAAAAATTTTACTCATTAAGGAGATGATTTAGATGCTAAAGGGCCCAGTCAATAGGCTGAAATTGCATATTTGCTTCTTAGTGTCTTTGGCTGCTCTTTAAGTGACATTTTTTTTGTTTTTTGCACGTTCTGTATTTGATGGTTACCAAGAATTACATGTTCACAGAAAGCGGAAGTTACTCAAAACCTTCCTTTGCCATTTCTTTCCTTTAATGGAAAATGAGTTGCAAGTAACTGGTTTGCAATAAGTTAGGAAAAGTACGTACTTCAGTAAAGTGCTGTAGAGAGCAACATAGACTACTTGCAGCTTACTGTTTTGGATGAAGTTACTACACTAGCTTCCTGGTAAGCTGGTTGCTGTTGCTTACCAGTGGGGAGAGGGGAAGAGGCAAAGTGGCAGGGATATTGACAGGATGCAGTTGCACTGTGCCAGATTGGCTCCAAGGTATGTTTCCACCACATCAACCTTCCTGCCACTTTGCAACAGTGACCCACCTGTTGGGAAACTAATGCCGCCCCCCACCTAGGAAGCTGTTTTTGCTTTTATATTAAATATTAAATATTTTGGGGGGAAGAAGAATCAAAGTGTGGAGTTAATTTTTACTTCTGATTCTTGTGACCCTAAACCTAGCCATCATCTTGCCTCATGTTTTTATTTTTATTATTTATAATCAAGGAAGTAATTTGGGCAAAAGCGAACCGTCTGCTTTAAATTGGTTAGACTAATTATTCTCCTGAGTTGTATTCTCCAGTGCATGAGACTGACAAATAAAAATAGTATTGCTTTTAAGACGTATTTTATTAACCCTCTGAATTTAATCACATCCAGATTCTAAAGATATTTGTAGACAATCCTTTTGCAATTGTCTTGCTGAAACAATCCACAGCTGTGCGCTGCTTGGATATGAGTGCGTCTCGAAACAAGCTGGCAGTGGTTGATGAAAATGACACCTGTCTAGTGTATGATATTAACACCAAAGAGTTGCTCTTTCAGGTAAACATTTGGAAACTCCATCCCTTCCCTCCCTTTGTCTAGCTCTAGCCACATGATTGCAAAGAGCTAAATCAGAGAAATAGCTCTACCATGCTGCTCCTTTGTCACCCTGTATCTTAGAGAAAAGTTTCCCAAAAGGATGAGAAAGGAGCCTTAGTGAGACTGCTTGGATAGCTATTAGGAGTTGTTATCTACTAAAAAGAGGGTGGGGGACCTCTGGCCGGCAGATCAATAGTGGCCCTCTAGGAAGTCCAAGTTGACCTGCCAAGCCTTCTTCAAGCATGATCATGTACCATAAATGAAGACCATTCATTTTTTTGTATTGCATCTTGTTTGATCATCCTCTAGGAACCCAATGCTAACAGCGTGGCTTGGAACACACAGTGTGAGGACATGCTCTGTTTCTCTGGTGGTGGATATCTCAACATCAAAGCTAGTAACTTTCCTGTCCATCAGCAGAAACTTCAGGGCTTCGTTGTGGGATACAATGGTTCCAAAATTTTCTGTCTCCATGTTTTTCCATGACTGCTGTTGAAGTTCCCAGGTAATCTTTAATCTTGTTCATTAATTCTTTTTGTTGCTGATGTCAGCATTATCTTAAGTGCTCCTGAAACATGTCTACTTTCTGTCCAATAGAGTTTAAAAATATTTCCCCACCAGCTTTTTGGCCTTCCTTTCATGAATAATGTCTGTAGTTTTGTGCTTGGAGGAGAACGGGATAGTTTTCACTGTCCTGTGAGAGGTAGGTGAAGTTTATTGTGTTAATCATTTAACACAACAATATAGAATAAAGTCAGGTAGGCAAGAAAACTCCTAGTAAAATTTGGCATTACCAACTGCAATTGCATATTATTCCATGGCATGCTTTCACTTTAATGCTACTGTTTCTCCTATTACTATAGTTATAGGTAACTTTGCTCTCTCTGTTTTTTCTTTCGCTTTGGTGACGTTCCAGCCAAATGCCAGTTATTCTCCTACACATTCTTGCTTGTGACTTGTTCACGTACCAGTTGTGTTGTTCAAAACATTTTAGAGCAACAACAAATGTGATTTGTCCCTAAGAAAACAGTGTTTTCAACAAAACAATTGTTTGGACATGATGGAAAGTACTAGCAATAGAACCACTGAAGTATTTAATATAATAAGTAAAAGCTGGTGGTGTCGGTCTACCAGCAGAACAGACCTCCGCAATAGGATTTCCATTTCTCCCCATTGCAACCCTCTGTGCACCCCCAAAATCTGCTCCAGAAGTTTGTGGGGACTGCAGGTATTGGGAAGAAAGGAAAGGCAAATCTGGTTGCGCAAATGGAAGGTTGCTTTCACAGTGTTGGATTACAGGAATAGTTCACTTAATGGCCAAGTTCAGATGTATTTATTACAGTTTAATAAGTAAACCTATGCTTAAGCCTTGTGAGTATATACTTCATCCTTGTGCCGTGCCTTTTGTCCTCCTTGGTGCACTGCAATTAACTCAAAGTCTTCAGCTTATCATAGTTATCCATTACCTCCAGCAGGGAAACTATGGTTACCAGAATTTAAACAAGTCATGGTCTTAACTCATGGTTTGATGTTGGGTTAAGATCCTTGCTTGTTTGTATCCTGGCAACCATAGTTTCTTGATCTGAACAAAAAGGGAAATAATTAACTGAAAAATTCCTTAGTTAATTGTGGCATGCTAAGAAGGAAAAGGGGTAACATGAGAACAAAGTGTGCAGGCCTGAGGTACATGCACATCTCAACTTATTAAGGCGAGACACAAACCAGACCGTTAAGTTTTTAGGGACTACTTTGGAAATGTCTTTCTTTGTATTGTTTAAAATTTTAAAAAGTATGGTGGTGGAATTTGTGTTTGATTTTGTACTTTGTGTCCATCCACAACTGACTAACATTAGCAGAAAGAATGCAGAACTGGGGTTTAAATTTAGCTGTTTTGCATTTACATGATCAAAGATCTAGTAAATGCCACTCCTAAAATTAAAGGATTTTGGAATGCACTTGTTTTCCACTTGGCTTACATTTAAAGGAAGAGAAACTGAGGGGGTTTTATAGAGCTTTGGCTTGGAGCTGGTGGTCACCCTTTTAAATAATGACTTGAATAAGAGCAGACAACAAAGTTGTCACAATTACTTCTTCGCTTTCTGTCAATCTATATTTTGGAGTGTTGGATAGGAGGATAGGATTAGAAATGAAAATCATCTTGACTGAGTGTACTATAAAGTGCAGCAAAAATTCTATTTACACGTAATTGTGTGAACAAATACAAAAGATGGTAGACATGGAGAGGAGGATGTAAGGTTCATGACTGATCATAAACTGGACCTTTGCCAGCATTGTTGCAAATGCCATTTAGGCAAGTTTCTACGCAAAGGGAAAAATTGAACACAAAAGAATAATCAACACGAATCTGACATCAGAAATGGCAATATTCAGAAGCCAGTGGGGGAACATTTCAGCATTCTGGGACAATGTATATGCCCTTGAAGTGGCCATCTTGAAGAAAAGGAACTTAAAACAGACACTGCAAAGTAAAACTACTGAATTACAGTCTGTTAAGAGGTCTAGTAATCTCACTTGTGGATTGAACTGAGACAAAAGATTTTTAGCACTTTAAGGGGCAATCCTATGACAAGATCCACTGGAATGAGTAGTTTAGGATGCAGCAGAGCTCCAGGGTTAAGTTTCCAACCCTAGCTCAGCAGAATATACGCAGGTATCGCATGCTTGGCAGAACCAAGTCTGGTTTAATTCCTGCAAAAGGGGCATTGTGGAGCCCTGGTGGGTATGAGACCAGGGAGAGGGAACCTAAGCTGAATCCTAAGGCCACTTAGCTCAATCACAAGACATGGCCATGGAACATTATTTTAAAGACTTGTTTTTCCTCAGTCTTCTCTCAGTCTTCTCCGATAAAGAAAACAATGCCCAACCTGAAGAATTTGGAGCAAATGATTCAGCAAAGGAAACACAGCCCAGAATAACTAAGGAGATAGTACAAGAATACTTGGCTAGTTTAGATGTATTCAAGTCTCCAGGGCCAGATGAACTGCATCCAAGAGTATTAAAAGAACTGGCAGATGTGATCTCAGAACCACTAGCAGTCATCTTTGAGAATTCCTGGAGAACAGGCGAAGTCCCGGCAGACTGGAGAAGGGCAAATGTTGTCCCTATTTTCAAAAAGGGAAAAGAGAGGACCCAAATAATTACCGCCCAGTCAGTCTGACATCAATACCAGGGAAGATTCTGGAGCAGATCATTAAGCAAACAGTCTGTGAGCACCTAGAAAGGAATGCTGTGATCACCAATAGTCAGCATGGATTTCTGAAAAATAAGTCATGTCAGACTAACCTGATCTCGTTTTTGACAGAATTACAAGCCTGGTAGATGAAGGGAAGGCAGTGGATGTAGCCTACCTTGATTTCAGCAAGGCATTTGACAAGGTGCCTCATGATATTCTTGTAAAGAAGCTGGTAAAATGTGGTCTTGACTATGCTACCACTCAGTGGATTTGTAACTGGCTGACTGACCGAACCCAAAGGGTGCTCATCAATGGTTCCTCTTCATCCTGGAGAAGAGTGACTAGTGGGGTGCCACAGGGTTCTGTCTTGGGCCCGGTCTTATTCAACATCTTTATCAACGACTTGGATGATGGACTCAAGGGCATCCTGATCAAGTTTGCAGATGACACCAAATTGGGAGGGGTGGCTAACACCCCAGAGGACAGGATCACACTTCAAAACGACCTTGACAGATTAGAGAACTGGGCCAAAACAAACAAGATGAATTTTAACAGGGAGAAATGTAAAGTATTGCACTTGGGCAAAAAAATGAGAGGCACAAATACAAGATGGGGGACACCTGGCTTGAGAGCAGTACATGTGAAAAGGATCTAGGAGTCTTGGCTGACCACAAACTTGACATGAGCCAACAGTGTGACGCGGCAGCTAAAAAAGCCAATGCAATTCTGGGCTGCATCTAGCATCTAGATCAAGGGAAGTAATAGTGCCACTGTATTCTGCTCTGGTCAGACCTCACCTGGAGTACTGTGTCCAGTTCTGGGCACCACAGTTCAAGAAGGACACTGACAAACTGGAACGTGTCCAGAGGAGGGCAACCAAAATGGTCAAAGGCCTGGAAACGATGCCTTATGAGGAACGGCTAAGGGAGCTGGGCATGTTTAGCCTGGAGAAGAGGAGGTTAAGGGGTGATATGATAGCCATCTTCAAATATATAAAAGGATGTCACATAGAGGAGGGAGAAAGGTTGTTTCCTGCTGCTCCAGAGAAGCGGACACGGAGCAATGGATCCAAACTACAAGAAAGAAGATTCCACCTAAACATTAGGAAGAACTTCCTGACAGTAAGAGCTGTTTGACAGTGGAATTTGCTGCCAAGGAGTGTGGTGGAGTCTCCTTCTTTGGAGGTCTTTAAGCAGAGGCTTGACAACCATATGTCAGGAGTGCTCTGATGGTGTTTCCTTCTTGGCAGGGGGTTGGACTCGATGGCCCTTGTGGTCTCTTCCAACTCTATGATTCTATGATTCTATGATTCCTCTGCCAGACACAGGCAGATCAGCCGCAGCTGTGCTGCTTAGCTGAGTTTGGATACGTATAACTTTACATTGGCTTAATTTACGCTGGCTTGCTTTCCCTTAGTTCCTTGTTCATAGCATTGCTCCCTTAATGTGCTAGTTGGCTTAGTAATGGTAAGAAGTCTGTGTCATCAAGAACTGTGAATGTGAATTAGCCCTGCTAATTAGATCCTTTTCTGCATTTCTTCTTACCTCACTTCTCAGGATCCTAATTCAGCCGGTGTGTGTGAGAGAGTATACATGTATGCCAGGGATGGGGAACACAGGCCTCAGGACCAAATGTGACTATCCAAGGTTCTTAGGACACTCTCCAGGCCACCCCCCTCACTGGTCCTGCTCTGTGCCTGGCTTGAATGAATCCCTGAGTTGCAATAATGTCTCCTGCATAACTAGATGGATGACTTTTGCATGGCTGAAATGTAGCCTGCTGTACTCAACTGATGGTCCACCCATCTTTGTCTCTGGCACCATCAACCCCTGGAATGTGGCCCCTAGGAGGTTCCCTCTGAGGCAATGCAACATTTGAGCTGAAAAGGGTCCCCCACTCCATATCTATCTATATAGATATAGATATAGATATATAGATATAGATATAATATGGGGTAGAACTTCATGTATCTGATGATGTAAACCTAGTTCACTAATGCAAATGGTGTAATATATTTGCTGGCATTTAAGGTGCTACCAGACCCTTTACCGTTTGGGCTGTAATAGTAAGAAGTCTTGTCAACCAGAAATGGATGGGGAAAATTCAGTTGTTTGGCAATGTTTAGACCCATGCAAGACTCTTTCAACTAGATGATTACAGAAGTAGATGTGTACACGGGATCATGTTGGGTTTTGCATTTCACAATTAAATTATCGTGCTGGAGAAGACGGAAAAGTTTAGCAGAGATGAAATAGCATAGAATACAAGAGGCAGGAGAAAATGTTGACTGCATTTTAATTTATTTATTAGCACAGAGAACGTTAGCACTTGCTTTGTAACATGGATTTCCCACCAGCAGCTAAAGAATGGATTTGTTTTAGCAGAAGGAGAATGAAGTTGCTTGAAAACATCTTTTAAATTATAGATGGGTGCAAATGTAGCCTCAAGGAAAGGGATTTTAAAGGGGATCATGGAGCGGGAATAATTTTCAAACATTTAAAAGGCTGCCGTAAATGGTGATAGAGTAATTGCATTCTGTTGCTTTGACAGAGAGGAAACAGAATGCTATCTGCAAGAGCAGTTTGGCAACAGAACAAGTTAGCCAGGGAATGTGTTTTGGAATTTCCTACACATGAAATGTTTTGTACAGAATTCTTGGTAAACATCTGTCGAAGAGCTTTCTTTAGTGAATACTGCTCTTAGAGAAAGAACACTGATCCAACTAATCACACTTAAAATGGTACTTATATGTTATTAATTCTGTCATAATGTGGATGGAGATGCACATTCAAACATGAAACCTATGGAAAGCGGTGCCATTTAGATGGGTGGCTTTCGTTATTTGGTTTGTAGTCCAGAGGACATTTGAATTGGATGCATGTCTTTCAGTTCCTGATCCAGCAAATGATAGACATCCAGATTTCCAAATTGGGATACTAGGGCTACATTATTGGGGCTACATTATTTTATTGTATTCTGTCATGTCTGAAATTTTCTTTATAGCATCTTAGTGGGAAATGCAGAAAATTTGGTTTGCCCTACAGTTATAGCCGCTGTGATATGATAGGAAGTTTATCAAGAGTAGGAAATCACACTAATATCTTAATGCTTTACTTTGGTTATTCAATTTGCAGTCAGCACCCATGTATCAATACTTGGAAAGAAAAATGTTCAAAGAAGCCTATAAGATTGCTTGTTTAGGAGTAACTGACACAGATTGGAAAGAGCTGGCTATGGAGGCTTTAGAAGGACTCGAATTTGAAACTGCTAAAAAGGTAAAGTGTTTCAGCTTCATATCTGAACCTTCTGCAATTTGTATTGGCATACAGTTAGAGTAGACTAATTGTACATACATACCCAACTGTATCACTAGGAACTGTGAGCTGAGTGCTTAAAAAAAATTATTCATGGTGAAAACATGTAATTTGTTCTCTTCTATTTCTGTTCAGAATGCAGAAAATCTAATGGACTAGGGGTTAGCACATACATTTTGCTACTCAGGCTTTTAAATGCATTTAGAATCTATAAATTCCAACTGAATTCCAGTGATAGGGAATGATTTAAATGTAAGTTTAATTAGAACAGCACATTTCACTATGGGTAGAAAAGAAATCACCCATATTTACCCATCCTTGGCTGTGTTGACCACTATGTGGCAGTAAAGATTTATTTTGCTGTAACGTAATAAGCCTGGTTTAAAAAAAAAGTTTCAAATTTCTTTGCCAGTCTTCTTCTCTCCATTGTGAACTGCTTTAGCTTTGAATATGGACATTTATTGTATTTCTCTCTCATTCAGAAAAGCTTTGAACATCTCTTTTTAAATGCCCTCCTCTGTGTGTCTATGGGAGGGGGGGTATACAAACTTCACATGTTCCAGACAGTATGCATTCTCTTAACATCTGGAGCACATGTGTCTTCTCATCCTGACGGTGAGGAGTTGCATGGGCTTGGCCTTGGACATTGTAAACAAACCTAATAAGTGATAACACATTTTCTTTCTCTTCTCCTTCTAATGTAAAGTCCCTTGCCATTAGGACTAGGTAACATTGTGTTTCCTAACATTTGTACTTAACCTGTTTTCAAGTTATTTCTGACGTAGCGTGGGAAATATTTGATCAGCAAGTACAAATATATTCCCCACCTTTGTCTCGCCATGGAATTCAAGGTTGAGTATATGGAGTTTCTAGATGATCTCCCATTCCGGCACTGACCAGATCTACTTCACTTCCAACATGGTTGCTGTAGTGTGTCCCTTCAGACCATGCCCTGGGACCATTATTCATCATTTGTCTTTCTGCTTCAACAACCTTCTATTAAATAAAGGGGATCGTTTTGAAATTAAGACTAGGTATTGCTTAAATACCAAGTTGTTCAAATGTCTGTCCTTCTTTCTTAATTATCATTTTCAAAGAGCTTCGATACGCAGAGTTTAGATACAATTTTCATTAATAGTAGATTTTGTCCCGTAGTGGCTTTGTGCAAAGATGTTTCTGTTCCTAGAGGCGAGGCATCTGCTTTTCACTGATACCACCATCACCTACTGCAACTCTCCTTACCGTATCCTGTACTGTTCCAGAGGATTCCCCTGACCCTCAAGAGCAGCTTTTTCAATGGGGGCTGGGGGCTGTAGTGACAATTGATGAAAAACAAGAGCCTTGCCTTGTGCAAGCAGGAGTGTTTCCTAGAAAGCCACCACTGACTAAAACTCAATATATGCTTCTTATTTCTTAAAGCATTTTTATCCTATTACTTGGTCAAAGAAAGGGTATTAGATCTAGTAGTTTAAAGGGAGGTTGTTTTTACCATCTTGAAGATGTTAAGTAACCTGTCCACTAAGTATTAGAACAGATTAGCACGAAGAAAAGCAACTTCCAGAATACATAAAAAGAGAGACATTCTTGTGTAAGCACAATATATTTGTTTTAGATTAAATATCTCTATAAATGAGGAGCTATCACTGCATTTATTTGAGCAGATTATAGAAATGTAAATAGCTGTGACTTATTTAGTATGTTGAGATTATATTCTTAAATGTCACAGATTATATTATTAAATGCTACAGGATTTGAGATTTTTTTTATTATTGAACTTTTCTCCTCTTAATTTATATGCTATATCATATCAGTGCACAAGGCAGCCCATACAGATTAAAGATAATGAAGATGAAAGATAACAACTGAAATACATTTTTCTTAAAAACATTTTTAAAGGGAGCCCCATGCAGCATGCTTAACCCTGGTCAAACCTCATTATTGTAATGGCATGGCTGACAGTGGCTAAATTCCAGTTTCTTAGGAAGGGATGCAGGAGGTGTCTCAGATTAGCTGACAAAGGAACCTCCTAGCCATAGCTACTACATTTCCCCCTGTACTGTGTTTGGATGCAGGTGCTTGCACAAATTGCACACCTGGTTTAGCAGTGCCACCAGTGTTCCACGAATCATAAGTAGAACATATCCCCAGGAGCATCCATATTACAAGCATTAACATCATCTTGTCTGCATTCAACATCTCTTGTTGAGCCTCATCCGTTTGACTGTGGGCACTGATCTAAGTTGAAGATAGCTACTCCTAGATGTTTATTAGTGAAATGCAGGGCATGCATGTTCTAAAGCATCAGGTGGTGTCCTCCATTAGCTTCTTATGAGTGTTAAACAACATAGGAGACAGTACTAACCTCTGTAGAACTTTGTGTCTAAGCTGTTAAACAGGCTTCCCCTACAATTATTCTCTGTGGCTCCATTCACTCAGGAAGAACTTGCCATAATATTAAATAAAGTGATACTATCATTATTAATTACAGTGGTACTTCGGGTTACATACGCTTCAGGTTACAGACTCCGCTAACCCAGAAATAGTGCTTCAGGTTAAGAACTTTGCTTCAGGATAAGAACAGAAATCGTGCTCCAGCGGCGCCGCAGCAGCAGGAGGCTCCATTAGCTAAAGTGGTGCTTCAGGTTAAGAACAGTTTCAGGTTAAGAATGGACCTCCGGAACGAATTAAGTACTTAACCCAAGGTACCACTGTATTCCAGAAGCAGATTCTCCACCAGAATTACAAAAAACTGACTTTGTCCTAATTCTCTATTTGAAATCAGATTGAAATAGGTCAAGGAATGATATATCATTTATAATGCCCAGAGTCGCTTTAATACTACATCCATAGACACCTTTCCAAGAAAGGAAAGGCTAGAAGTTAGTCTAAAGTTAGCTGGATCACCCAGATTTCCCTTTGGCTAGCAAGGCTGGTAGCATAGGTTTAGACTGCACCTTCTGGTTAAGGCAGGAGCAAACCCTTTAGAAGTAGGCTACTCCCATGATTCTCTAGTTTGCTTCTTGCCTTTGTCAAAGATCTGTTTTGGAGCTCTTAGCACACCATTTTGTCTCTGCAATCCTGAATAGGTTTTTTTGACAGCAGACTTGGCCACCTCATTGCTCACCTCTAGCACTGATCCCACTGATCCCAATACTTTAACCTTGGGGGAACCTGCTTCTTACGTCTCTCCATTGTGAGAGCTGCCCATCCCACATCCTCTGCTTCCTGTTCTTTAACCAGTTACTGACCCATAAGACTTCTCATAATGGCTAAGTTCATTCAAGAATCCTTGGTGAGGGACATTGTCAAAAGCTTGCTTGTTTTAAAGTGTGTGTGTGTGTGTTCATAAAGTTTGTACATCACTTGATTGTAAAAACCCCCTCAAAGAATTTTGCAATATCTCACCTTTATGGTGTAAAAGCACCATTCATGGCTTCTTACAATATTTAGAAATTACAGCTTTTTTAAGACAGTAATATAAGATAAGTAACCAAAGGGCAGCAGTTCAAACCTGAACATGGAAGCAGCTACATACAATAAAAGCTTGCTGAAATTTATCTTCAGCTGGAGAGAAACAGCAAGGGAAGATGCCAGTCGATTAACACTTCAGTGGCAAGTGTTAATTGGGCTAAGGATCGTGGCCTTGTACCTTGATCCCTAAACTTTAGCTGTGAGCTAAAGGATCAGTGAACGGGAACTGCCTGTGTTGTTAGGATTCCCAGCAATGTATTAATTTATTCATTTTTGCCTCCCCACCCCCGGTTCCATAGCAGTGGCTGGATAGGTGCTTGGCTCTCTGCCCTCCTGCAACAAAAACTGGAAGGAAAACTCTGACGATGTGTTTATTCTTGGGCTCCACTGAGTTGTGGTCAGTACACACAAGAAATTCCCATTGATTTCAGTGGTACTTGCTTCCAGTTAATGCACTTGGGATCAAGAGTTAGACCAATTATCTTTCCATGACTGTGCCCATACTTAATTAGTGCTTTCAAGAGATCCTACAATAGTTCCGTCTTTTGAATACAAAGTATATTAGTGGTCTGACCTGTTGTAAAGTATGACCTGTTGTTTTCCAGTTTCTGGCCAATGCAGTCTTAGTATTGCTGTACATTCATATTTTTTTTAATGATACCTGCTTATTATAGATTGGTTATAATTTATCCTCAGTGATAATGACTAAGGCAGTTCCATCTTCTTTTTGCTGCCAGATTTGTGTGTTGTTTTGTCCCAAGAGTACATGACACATGGGGTCCCATATTAATAAAGGCTATACACTGCACAAATACATTTCCCCCTTCACTGAATTAATATCGTATCTATACACATGAGGCTAAGTTTATTACAGAGCTGCATTTTTAAAATACGCTTGTCTCAACCTGACTCTGTGTAACTCAACACTTTGCACAGCATGCATTATGTTCATATTGGATATTCTGTTTAAATCTCCATATTTAGTTCATGCAGAAAGTATAAATAGTAATCTAATTCACTGCCACTTGTGGTACACAGTAATCAATTTTTGTCTAGTATGCATAGTAAGTAACCATAACTAAGTATATGTGGAATATATTATACCCGTTGACTGTTTGCCTACACAATATTAGGACATTGCTGATGCATTTTTGTTTCTTTGTTTCAATAGGCATTTACCAGAGTACGAGACCTTCAGTATCTAGAACTGATAAGCAGCATTGAGGTAAAGGAAAAAATAGGGGGATGCAAAATGTGAATTAAGGAGAAAGCTTACTCGGTGCAGTATCCATATAACAGAATGTTAAATGGACAATGAATCTATTGAGAGTAAAAAAAATGCTGAGTATTTTTGATTTGGAATGATGATTGATATGTATTGACTTTGATCCACTCTTATGACAGAAACTTAATGAAAAAATGGGGAATAGCTTGAATATTCAATTATAATGCTTGTAGATTCCTATGGCTTGTTTCAAAGTATTTTATAAATAGGAATTAATTAAGTCTTACATCACCCTCTTGAGATAGGTAATTATTTTTATCTCCATTTTCCAGACCAGGCAACTGGCACAGAGGTACTGTGACTTGCCCAAGGTCACGTGACAAATCAGCGACAGATGGGAGTAAAATTTGGGGCTTGCGACTTTCATGTTGCGCTCTTAACCTGTTCAAATTCCTAGCCCATGACTTGATAGATTTTTTAATTATAGAATAATTACTAAGAAGAATCTAAAGGAAAAGCAAATCTATCACCACTCTGACCTTCCTGTAGGATGTTGTAGTAATGTAAAACATGTGGGTCTACAATGAAAAGTCTAAAGGGAATCCTTCATGTAGATGTTAATTGGGGTTCCTGTCTCTTGTGTAGGGATGCAATCTGCTCTCTGCAGCCACTGGTGGCAAAAATGTCCTTGTTTTATCACGGTGCTTAAAGGAAGTTTACTACTGACATGGATGACATTGGATGCAGGAAGGAATGCCACAGTTATCATTCTTTTTACAAACTATGAAAGAGCAAAAGTATATTTGCGTTACTGAATCAGCCCGCCATCTGTCCTGTTGTTGTACATGATCTCTGGGTTAGTTATGATGCCTGAAAATGAATGGCAAGGGACCTCGAATTGTGCAGACTACACTTTTCGTGTGTAGCAATGGGGATAGCCAAGTCTAGGTTTGAGAATGGCTACCGAAATGTTTGCAACTATTTTAGACCTTTCTTGTGTAAATGTCCCCAGTTAGTGTGTTAGGCTTATTTTGAAGCTAGGTCAGAGCAGTATATGCCCAGCAGTATGTTAACTTGCTTGTGGCAGATCCAATGAAAAGAGAGATAGCAGGATCCCAGGGTCACATATAGTTCTTTAAAGAATTCCCACTCGGTTGCAGTTTTATGCAGTAAAGGTACATTTTATTAATCATTTCACATGGGAAGAGCCCTGCTGGCTCCTTCAGACCAAAGCTCCTTCCAGCCAAGCATCCTATTTCCCAGGCAATTCCAGGAAGCTCACAAGCTGGGCATCAACTCTCCAGCAACTGGTTTTCAAAGGTCTGCTGCCTCTTACTTGGACAGTCCACTTAATTAGCATGGATAATAGCCACTGATGGATTTATCTTCCATAAATGTGCCAGGTTCAGACGTTTCATGTCATTTGCAGAGATGCTGCATTATCCTAACCTCCCAAACCAAAATGTTTTTAATACTTCTTGGTACAGCACCTGTAGCGCCCCTTTTTTGTGCTGAATCTAGATGCTTTGGTATATCTAAAGATACTTGATGTTACTGATTCCCAGCACCATTTTAATTTGTTGCTCTGCTGCTGTATGATTCATAAAACAGTGAATCTGCCTCCTCCCATTATATCAAGCTAATTTTGTTTTAGGTGTGGGTTTGTTTTTCCATTTGGAGGCTATGTGCTCCCCCTTTTCAGAGTGTTGTGAAAAAGCTTTGACCATTTCACTTCTCTGCTTTTGATAGCAGAAGCTGAATTGAGCTGGGAGGTTCTGGATGCTGCCAGTATTTGCAAGCCTGCCCCCCAGCTGTCCTCTGATTGGCCCATTCTCACGGGCAAGTCCTGCTAAGCCGTGAAGGCACAGGGGGAGGCTCTGGTGTCCTCCAATGGTGGCGCCACAGTGTGGATGGCCCCAGGAGTGGGCCGCAGCCGCACCGGGCTGCAACCACCACCCCAAGTTCCAGTTGAGCAGCCATTGTCAGTTTCACTTCTCTGCTTTTGATAGAAGAAACTGAATTGATAGAATTCATTTGGGGTGCTGTGAAAGACCCTTCAGGGCAGGAAATTACAACTATATCCAGCCTTCTGCATTGGAGCATATATCTAGCCTTTCTCTCATTAAAGTAAAGGGAGATGTGGAGCAATGGCTTCTCAAATGAGTCTGAATCTGTAGAATTAGTCATTTGTCCCCACCCTTTCTCCTTTGAGATTTGTTTTAGTCCTCTGGCAATGAACTTGCAGATTATTCAAAAGATGAAATGCAGTAGGGGGTATTTGTAGGGTTGGGTGTCAGACAGACCATCAAGATGCATGGGGGGAGGTTCTGTATCCTGTAGGCTAGATCCTCGAGATGCATGAGGGAGCTACATTAAGGAAGGAAAAGCTTGGGAGGCAGGGAGAGAATAGAAGATGCTATTCTGTTGATTCGAAACACCGACAATCAGCAAAAAAGGTGGGCTGTAAGACTTCAGCACTAAATTAATTGGAGAGAGGTAGAAGCAAAAACGGGCTCTCCTGCCTCATGTTAGATACCCCATGAGATCGATGACAGATTAGGCCCTATCTTGTAATTCCCTGTGCTTCAAAATTTAAGTCCACTGTGGCTATATATGCACTGTTGTTTAGCTTAATGCGGGTAGTTTAGAGAGAAGAGCTGTAGCTCAGTGGTAGAGCACCTGCTTCACACACAGAAGGTCTCTGGTACAGTCCTTGGCATTTCCCGGTAGGGCTGGGAATGTCCCTGTCCTGGAACACTGGAAAGCTAGATAGACCAATGGTCTGACTTGTTACAAGGCAGCACCCTACGTTCCTTTGTAATTTGGCATTCTGTATGCATGCTATAACATTAAACCTTCCTTTCATAGATAACATGCCACTAATTAGAGAGAAACATTTGCCAAATCCTGTTTTTCATTATGTTCTTGTCAGATTATTTTTTCTTTTTAATCCAGATGGTATAAGCATAACTTTCAGCAGCCATTTGATAAATTTTAGTACAGCTAGGTTTTATGATCCTGAAGTGGGGCAATTGCATGTGGTTTGGAATTGCTAGGCTAGTCTTTTGCACATTTGAGGAGCAGGGAGCAACAATCATATATAATAAAATAGTATATACTCACATGCAACTTGGTGTGTTTGCATATCTCTTTAGGTGCAGAAGAAGTGGACTGAATTTCATTCTAGACTTGCTTGGTCACTGACTGGAACACTTCTCTGGAGTTTGTTTGCTTTCTCTTTAGGTCGTCCAGTCACAGTAAAAGTACATCATGTTGGGAAACCTGTGAGCAATGTGCTTCTTTGGCATAGAAAGCAGGCAAAACTTTGGCATAGAAAGCAGTGTAGACAGAATGAAGTAATTTTTGTTGTGGGCTGCCCTAGTTTATCCCTGGGAACGAACAACAGGATTGCACACTCTTTCCTTGCTTCTTCCCTCCTTACTTCCCCAGTGCAAACATTTTGGTTTAATTAAACTGCACTTAAATGGTTTGTCCAAACTGAGGAATGCCAGTTTACAGACCAGGATCTTAAACCAACTACAAACATAATGCTAGACCATTCTTTATCGCTCAGTGGACAAGCCTCAGGGAGCCTGTGGTCGGCATGAGCCTTGCTCAATAACCCTTCCTCTCTGCGGCTGAGAGGAGGAATTCTGCTGAGTTTGCTTTCAGTTCCAAAGAACCTTGGCTTATTTTTACATGCAGATGAGGAAACTTGGTTTAAAACAAACAATGCTTAGTTGCTAAGCAAGTCAGCTTCAAACCGTGGATTATGAACCTGTCTTGTTTAATTAACTGCTGATTGTTTTGAACCAGGTTTCCTGGGTTGCACTTAACACTAACCTCAAGCTTCCTTGAGACTGAAAGTAAACTCAGTAGCCATCCTCCTGTTTGTGTGAACACAGCACTGATGCTTTGCTCAGGCTCATCAAGGCTTATCCATGCAACCCTAAACTATGGCTAAGTGTTGCATGTGGTTTAAGATCCTGATTCATATGCTAGCATTAATCCACAGTTCCATGTTTCGGCAAGAATAGTTAATTGCTTAAATGAGTATGTGCATGCCAAGGAAGGGTGGAGGCAAGGGCAGCATGCTCTTTTTTAAAAAAAATAATAATAATTTTTATTCATTTTCCAAACAAGTTTTATACAATCAACAAATTGTTTTACACTCATGCTTCAATTTTTGACTTCCCTCAGTTTCTCTGTCAATCTTTCGAAAAATTTCTATTTATTGACGCATTTCTAAACATGATATTGCCTTTCCCCACTCCTTTTCCTCTTACTCTCTTTTTGCAGTATTTCTTACTATTTCACAGAGTCTCTTCAAAACCAACAAGCGTTGTCTGTACATCACATATATTTTTCAGATATTCTGTAAATTTCCCCAGTCCTCGATAAACTTTTGGTCTTTCTGGTATCGAATCTTCCCAGTCAATTTGTCCAATTCTGCATATTCGGTCAATTTCCTTCTCCATTCTTCCACTGTTGGAATTTCTTCCTGTTTCCATCTTTGGGCCAGAAGTATCCTTGCGGCAGGCAAGGGCAGCATGCTCATTCCTGGCTACTAAACTGTGGTTTAGCAAGCTGGGGATTCAGCATCTGAACTGGGCTACTGACTTTGTAACATTTAAGCATTCAGCAAGTCTGGATGTTACATTGCTTATTTCAAATATCTCCAGGATACATTTAGAATGGAATCAGCCTCAGTGACTTGGTTTAGAGTTCTTGTTGTTGTTTAGTCATTTAGTTGAGTCCGACTCTTCGTGACCCCATGGACCAGAGCACACCAGGCACTCTTGTCTTCCACTGCCTCCCGCAGTTTGGTCAGACTCATGTTTGTGGCTTCGAGAACGCTGTCCAACCATCTCGTCCTCTGTTGTCCCCTTCTCCTTGTGCCCTCAATCTTTCCCAACATCAGGGTCTTTTCCAGGGAGTCTTCTCTTCTCATGAGCCTCAGCTTCACGATCTGTCCTTCCAGTGAGCACTCAGGTTTAGAGTTCTAGCTAATGCCAAACTCTGCAAATGCAGCAAGAGTTCAGAAAACGGCATCCTTACACTAAAAGACTATTTGATACAACCCTTGATGGAGGTTAGCAATGAAATTATGGAGGGGAAGAGGGCACCGGATTCGTGGAAGGAAGCGTTTATCACATTGATACCAAAGTCAGAAACTGAAAAGACACAACTGAAGAACTACCGTCCCATCTCCCTTTTAAATGTGGATTACAAAATATTTGCAGATATTTTGGCAAGTAGATTTAAAAAAAGTTTTAAATGAAGTAATTCATAAGGACCAGGCCGGTTTTCTCCCAGGTAGACATCTGTTTGCTAACACAAGGAACATTATTGATATCTTGGAACTTCTCCAAACCGACATAAATACAAAAGCAGTTTTAATTTTTATAGATGCGGAGAAGGCCTTTGATAATATTTCTTGGAAATTTATGATGGGAAACTTAAAAGAGATGGGAGTGGGACGGGGTTTTGAGAATGGGATTGAGGCGATATATTCAGAACAGAAAGCTAAACTGATAGTTAATAATGTGGTTACAGAAGAGTTCAAAATTGAAAAAGGGACACGACAAGGTTGCCCTATCTCCCTTTGTTATTTATTTCGGTCCTGGAAGTGCTATTGAACATGATTAGAGGGGACCAGTTGGTGGAAGGAATTCAGGTTGGTCAGAAACAATATAAACTAAAAGCTTTTGCAGATGACCTGGTTTTGACCTTGCAGAAGCCAGAGCCTAGTACGAAAAGAGTATTACAATTGATTAATGACTTTGGTCGGGTGGCGGGATTTAAATTAAATAAACAGAAAACCAAGGTTTTGGGAAAAAATTTGACTGAGACAGAGTCAGAACGGTTTCAGAATGAGACGGAACTTAAGGTGGTTAAAAAAGTAAAATACCTAGGGGTAAACATAACAGCAAAAAATCTAAGTCTATTTAAGGATAATTATGAAAAATGTTGGACAGAAATTAAGAGAGACTTAGACAGTTGGTCAAAATTGAAACTTTCTTTGTTAGGCCGAATTGCTGCGATTAAGATGAATGTATTGCCAAGAATGTTGTTTTTATTTCAAACACTTCAGGTTTTGGACAAAATGGAGTGCTTTCAGAAGTGGCAGAGAGACATTTCGAAGTTTGTCTGGCAGGGCAAAAGCCCAGAATTAAGTTTAAGATACTAACTGATGCAAAACAAAGAGGGGCTTTGCCCTGCCGGACTTAAAGTTGTATTACGAAGCCGCAGCGTTCTGCTGGCTAAAAGATTGGCTACTTCTTGAAGACACTGATGTGTTGGATTTGGAAGGGTTTAACAATGTTTTTGGATGGCATGCATATTTATGGTATGACAAAGTTAAAGCAAATAAGGCCTTTAAGAACCATATTGTTAGAAAATCACTGTTTAATGTCTGGACAAAATATAAAGACTTGCTGGAAAATAAAACACCAAGGTGGCTTTCACCTTTGGAAGCTAAGGCCCGAAAAAGACCCAATATGGAGGCCAAATGGCCAAAATATTGGGAAATACTAGGAAAAGATGGAGACAATTGGAAATTGCAGAGTTTGGAGAAAATGAAAGACAAAGTGCGAGATTGGTTACATTATGCTCAGATTAAAGAAGTTTTTAAAAATGATAAGAAACTAGGGTTCCAGGTGGAGAAATCGAAATTAGAAACAGAATTGTTAGAACCAAAGATTAAGATACTTTCAAGGATGTATAACTTGCTGTTGGAATGGAATACACAAGATGAAATGGTTAAATCGGCTATGATAAGGTGGGCACAGGATATTGGGCATAATATTATGTTTGAGGACTGGGAAAGGCTGTGGAGTAATGGATTGAAATTTACTGCATGTAATGCTTTGAAAGAAAATGTAATGAAAATGATTTATAGATGGTATATGACCCCAGTCAAACTCGCAAAAATTTACCACCTGTCTGATAACAAGTGCTGGAAATGTAAAGAGTGTGAAGGAACGTTCTTTCACCTCTGGTGGACCTGCCCTAAAGTGAAGGCGTTCTGGGAAATGATTTATAATGAATTGAAAAAGGTATTTAAATATACTTTCACTAAGAAACCAGAGGCTTTCCTTTTGGGTATTGTCAGCCAAGGGGTGGCAAAGAAGGACCAGACATTTTTATGTATGCAACAACAGCAGCAAGGATACTACTCGCAAAACATTGGAAAACTCAAGATCTACCCACACTGGAAGAATGGCAGATGCAACTGATAGACTATATGCAACTGGCTGAAATGACTGGCAGAATCCGTGACCTGGGAGAAGAGAGAATCGAGGAGGATTGGAAGAAATTTAAGAACTATCTACAAAAACATTGTGATTTGACTGAATGCTGAATAAGATGCTAGACTAAATAACTGAGCACCACTTAACTTAGAAGTTTTTAAGAAAATAAGAAAAACTGTGAAAGTTTAACTCTTTATGAGAACTATAAGATTATGAAATATCGAAGAGATATAAGAATTTAAATAAGATGATAAATTGCTGACAAAATGTTATAATGATGAAGGTGGGAGCGGGAGATGTGAGGAAGTCCAAAGAAAATGTGAAATTATGTTAAGACGAATGTTATATTGTTTATTACATTTATTCCTATTGTAAAATCCAATAAATTGCTTTAAAAAAAAAAAAAAGAAAATGGCATCCTTAATGCCTGCTATCAGTTGGTTCGACCAATCACATTCATGTTTTGTTCCGCCTTTCTTAATAATTTGTTTCTGTTTAAGTGATAGGCACTGAACACTCGACAAGCTACGGCAGTATTCATTGCTAGCAGTTACTGTTTTGATCCATAAAGTACCTAAGTTACTAATCCTGAATGGAATTCCAGTTAAGTGGAACATCGCCTCCCTCTCCTCCCTTCAAATGTCCCCCAATTCTGTTCTGGCATTTCCCCCACCATCCAGGGCATATTGTGAGCCAGGTGGGAAGTGGGGGACACAGGGAAAAGAGGAAGGAGGAGTTCAGTTGTGCAAGCGGAAGGCCTTGCAGGGACGACCCACTGTTTTTCATTATTTATTTATTCACTTTCTTTTTAGCATTCCGGTTAGGATTCTTTGACAGACCAATTCTTAATCTCTATATCCAGTTTTTCTCAAGCGGGGAGGGCTGTATTTCTGTTCCCGCGAATGATCAGCTTGGTATGCCTGGAGATTGATTCTGTTAAGAGGTGACGGGGGTGGGAATGGACAAAGTGACAGCTTTCCAAATTAAATGTTGCTGCTTTGTAGAATACTGAGAAATAGGCCAGAGAGAATGGGGTTTGAAATTGTTTAGTGGGTAATTAAAGTAAAGTGTGGATCCAATGATGTTTGCGGAGGATTAGAGGAGAGGGAAGGGAAGGGAAGAAGAGTAGGGTGGCAAATGCCCCTTTCCAAAGAGGGATATGTACAAGGAACCATATTGAGTGGTATATTTTAGCCTTTGTTCTAAGATACCAAGTTATTAAATTCTTGCATATAGCCAGGCCACCTTTCAGCATAAGTGATGTACGGTAAATGCCAAAAATACTGAGGAATAAAAGGCTTGTAAGCGACACACTGTGCTTCTTAAATAACATAAATATCTTTCAATTCCACTGCCGGTTCTGACAGGATTGAAAGACAAAGTGCTACTTTGAACAGCTAGAGTGGTAAACCTAGGCGGTCTGCCCAATCATTCTTTTTAGATTTTTGAGAATATTTGAGTAATATTATTAAGGCCATTGCTTTTAAAAGTATGTGGTGTTCTTAGAACAGCCACTGATATTGTTTGGATTCTGACAGCACTTGTGTGCAGGCATATGCATGAATGTGAGCGCACACACACACACACACACACGATGTGCACATTTCCACTAATACAACACACATCAGATGGGCAGGGATAATATAATATGATAATGATGATGATGATGATGATAATAATAATAATTAATAATAGCTGGCAACCAATTAAGGTTAGCCCTTCCTGAAGATGTAGATTTATTTCACTGGGAGGGAGACATGTTGGAGAGTTCATTGTAGATGTAGCCATCCCATTGAAGGATATTTTTATTCCATTGTAGTGACTTTGAAAGTTCTTCATTAAAATTTATTCTTAGCTATCTGTCAGAGACAACTTTTTTAAAAGTTACACTCAGTGCCATGTTTCTTAACTAGAAACTATTAAATTTAAAATGCAAAGTACTTAATTAAAAATATAGGCATTTCCATGCTGTTGATCACCATAACAACAAACTGATAGTGCAGATGGTGACCATTAATTTTTAAAATAGAAATAAAAGCTACACCACCACTTTCTGATGTTTACAACCTTGGTTATTAAATCTGCATTATACTATAAAATGTAAGGCTACCAGACACTTGAAATTCCCTTTCATTCTTGCGTCTCTGTATTCGTTTTGTGTGCCTTCCATAACCTTGTCAAAGTTGTAAGAGCTTTGCCAAGAATCACACATGTCAGCAAGTAGAACAAATGTAAATAATACACATTTTTCAAATGTGTTCAGTTTGTATTTCTTTCCTGGCAGGTACTGGAGAAGGAGGAAGGACAGGACTCATGGGGCAGTAAGTGAGCAGGGTAGAAAGGGAGTGGATAGATAAATTTAGTAGAAAGGCTTATGACAATTGTAGGTACAAACTAGGACACTTCAGAAACATCACCTAGGCTCCTAACCAGGGCTTTTTTTCAGCCGGAACTCAGTTCTGGCACCTCTCAGGTAGACGCCATTGCCGTTATAAGAGAGCAAGGGAGGTGTTCATGGTGAGTTCTGGCACCTCTTTTTCTAGAAAAAGAGCACTGCTCTTAACAATTGTTTTCACATATTTTAAAAAGGTAAAACTGAGATTTTTCAATGAATTAAAATGCACAGTCCAAAGACCCTGGCATAACTTGTATTATTTTCAAAGGGGCTTCTGCAGAACAACAGGATCCTAATGTCCCACATGAAATTCAAGCATTTTTATATGTATGTATCTGTCTTCGTAAGGCAGTCGACTGGCAGGATCCTTTTGGACTAATTTGCACTGCAATTTCCACTGCAGACTGAAGAGTCCATTCATGGATCAGTAGGGTCAGCTGCAAATGTCACACCTGTAAACTTCATTGACCAAATGCCCTGTTTCTTAAACTTGCATTTATCCTGCCATGGAAACTGTTTTACATAGCAGTTTTGTATGCCTGTATCATCATCATTTTTATTTATATCCTGCCTTTTCCCCAGATTGAGACTCAAGGCAGCTTACAGATAAAAATACAAAAACACCGATAAAACAGAAGAGGCTAAAAACAATGTCTACTTCATGTAGTTACCATAGTGGCCCACTTAGTATTATGGTTATTTTAGGTCATATTTACAAACGTGTTTGTATCAGAGCTTTGGGCAATCTTGATCAACTTATTGGTTTCTTTGTGTTATCTCTCTCATGCATAAGCCAGTACAGCCCTTGCTTTTTGAGAAGCACCAAGAGGCTTCATTGGTTGTCCTGGGAAAAGATACCCATAATGATGAACTGATCTTAATTCAGAAATGCAAAGATTACAATGTGAACAGTGAAGCTGCTCAGCTTTCTTAACAACTGCAAGTGGATAATTTCTCGTTGACACGCAGGAGGGCAATGAGACGTTTGGTAGATCAGCACCTTTGGCATTGTTCCAGGGACACCTCTTAAGCATGCCAAACTAAGGCGTGATCACTTTCCCACCGTATTTAGTCTTTCATTAAATTACAAGTTATCAATTGGTGCTGGGTAACAGTTTATTAACTCCTTGAGGGTTATCCCAGCGCAGTCTCAGGCATTTATAGCTCAGGGAAACATTTCATCTGATACGACATCTGCTTTTATTTCTTGGTGATCCACTCGCTCTCCGCTGCCTTTGGGAGAATGGGGCTGAGAGTCCTCCTGTAGCCATAATAAAAAGCATAAAAGCAATTTGTATTTTGCTGTACTGATCATTCCAGTACTGATTTGCTCAGTATCTAGCTGCCTTTTGTACTGTGCTCTTTGCCGGTGAGTTCCTCAAGAATTTTTGATCATGGATCATTGTGTTTGATTCTTTGCCTCAATGACTGGCACCATTTCATTTGAGTAAGTTTCAACCCAGTCCTTCATGTGACAGAACTGTTATCTGAAAGAGCTTTAGATGGCTCCAGCCATTTTCTTATAAGCCTTTTTTGTCTGGTTGGTAGACCCTAAACATCACAAATACACTCTTCCATTTCCATCACAAATACACTCTTAATGCTGAAAGTGTTGATATATTGCAATGTATCCATGGAATCCTAACCCTTTTGAAGTGCATTTGCCTTGGACTGTAGATAAGAGCAACATTGCAGTAAGCATTGGTAGGAACAAGGTTTGACATGTGTTGTGTAGGGTTTGTCTACATATCATGCCAATGTAGAATTGATGTCACCTCTCAGATCTTGGTTGTCATTGGGAAACCTGCATGTGCCTACTGCTTGTATGTGATAAATTTATTATCATTCTATCTTGAGGCAAAACACATGGTAGTGCTAAACTGCGGTTCTTTGAACGTGTTTCAAAATGTTTATTCTGAGATGCACAAAAGTTTCCTTTGCAAAAGAGCTGTCATTCGCCTTTTTGTCTTTAGCCTTTCCACCAGTCTGTGTGTGATACTCAAGGTTGGTCATCCGCAGTGTACATCCACTGAAAACTGCCTAAGTAATTTGAGCCCATTGGTTCCAATGGGTCTCCTCCAAGTACGACTTAGTATCCTGGTGGTTCCCTCCCTGTGAGAAGTGAGGTTACAGGGAACCAGGCAGAGGGCCTTCTCGGTAGTGGTGCCCGCTCTGTGGAACGCCCTCCCATCAGATGTCAAGGAAATAAACAACTACATCTGAAGGCAGCCCTGTTTAGGGAAGTTTTTAATGTTTGATGGGCGGGGTACAAATAATTTATTATTATTATTATTATTATTATTATTATTATTCCTGAAATCCACATCTTAGGCAGCTGTTCACCTCATGATATAACCTGTATTAGAAATAATAAGGCATGAGAAATGTGATGAATTTGGGTTTCATTTATTTGGAGACATTTCATTTTCAAGTTATATGAGAACTAAAAGTATTTTTAGAAATGAAATTTGGGGTAAATAGGATTATAATAGTAATATATCATTAAGAACATCTTGGAAATTTCAAGATAGATAAACTGCTTCTTCACCCGGACCATAGTTAAATGACGGTTAGCCCTCTTCCAGGAGGCAGTGATGGGCACCAACTTGAATGGCTTTAAAAGAAGATTAGACCAATTCACAGAAGACAATGCTATAAACAGCTAGTAGCCTCAATGGTTGTGTTTTACTGCTGTGTCATAAACCTTATGCCTTTGAATACCAGTTGCTGGGAATTTCAGGTGGGCTCTTGCGCTCACGTCCCGGTTGCAAGCTTCCCACAGGCTACTGTTGGAACAGGATGCTAGACTATGTGACCATCAGCCTGATCTAACAGGCTCATTTTATGTTCTTCTTAGGTACTGCATTAAGGTGTGAGCCTGCCTTGACTTTTATGTTCAGTTAAATTATATCTTACAATGGGATGTGTTCTGTTTTTTACTGGACTATTGAATGGGCGGGGCAGTAGAGAGACAACATAGAAAGCTTACTAATGGTGCTATTGATGTTAGCAGGGCTAAGTCAGTTTATGCGTCAGTAATCCAGTTTAAAAGCTTTGTGAATCATGGCTTAATATTTTCAGTGGCTCTAGCCAATCTTGTTTCCTGCCTGATTATGTTTGCTAAAACATTTCCTGTCCTTTATTATTATTTCTTTAAGGAGAGGAAGAAGCGTGGAGAGAGCAACAACGACTTGTTTCTAGCCGATGTTTATGCATACCAAGGAAAGTTCCACGAAGCCGCCAAACTGTACAAAAGAAGTGGACATGAAAACCTGGCTCTTGATATGTACACTGACTTGCGCATGTTTGACTATGCAAAGGTACATGGATGTGATTTATGGGGTGTTTATTTAAACTGGCTCTAGCGTCCAAGAATCAAGCAGTTTCCTTTTGGCGTGTGCATTTTCTTTGGTTCTTCTTTTCTGGAAACTCCTGGTAAATATCACTGACCTAAGTAACTAACCTCTCAGGAACTTTCCCACACAGCACACAGTTAAACTATGGAATTCACTCCCACAGGATGTATTGATGACCACCAATTTGGGCAGTTTCAAAAACGGATTAGAGACATTCTTGGAGGATAAAGCTGTCAATGGCTGCTAGCCCTGATGGCTGTGTACTGCCTCCTCCAGTGTTGCAGGCAGTGTCCCTCTGGATACTAGTTGCTGGGAATCTCAAGTGGGGAGAGTGCTATTGAACTCAGGTTCTGCTTCCAGTGTGTGGTGTAGTGGTTAAGAGCGATGGACTCGTAATCTGGTGAACCGGGTTCGCTTCCCTGCTCCTCCACATGCTGCTGCTGGGTGACCTTCGGCCAGTCACACTTCTCTGAAGTCTTTTAGCCTCACTCACCTCACAGAGTGTTTGTTGTGGGGGAGGAAGGGAAAGGAGATTATTAGCAACTTTGAGACTCCTTAGGGTAGTGATAAAGCGGGATATCAAATCCAAACTCTTCTTCCAGGCTTCCCGTAGGCATCTAGTTGGCCCCTGTGAGAACAGGAAGCTGGTCTAGGTGGACCTTTGACCTGATCCAACAGGGTTCTTTGTACAGTCTTAGGAACCTACATGGTGGTATTGTTCTGCATTACTGTGCAAGAATGTGGTTTAAAAACTGGGATTCCCATAATATCTCAGCAAGTTTCACAATACCAGTTAACAGCCTCTGAAATAATCTTTGATTCCTTTGATCCTGTAAATGAACCCTGAAGTTGTTTTTGTATATGTCTGCAAATCAAATTCCCATGTAGAAATAAGTTGTACACAATATGAAGAATGTGACAGTTTTACATGCACTTTCATAAGTTTTATGTTGCAGACTTTTAACGTCTTCTGTGGTATTTTTCTTATCAAAAACCTTGAAAATCAGTACGCTTTATAGTCTCATTAATCACTCGTTACAGACTAGCTCCATCCATTACTGGACATAAGCTTTGCCTTGCCGCACATATTTCTAAATTTCTTTTCTGTAGGGGGGAAAGGTCATCTGAAATGCAGATGGTATTGTCAATGTTTGAGCAACACTGCTTTTCTCTAGCAAGTTAGACTAAAAATTGCAAGGTCTTAATATCAGTTTGTGTTTAAACTCCTCTGAAGCAGAAATCTAATTCATAGAGTAGAAATTTGTCATCATGCTAATATGAATTTTCACAATGCTGAACCAGCTTAGAGTAAAATGAAATTTTTTCTGGGTAGCAGAGCTTCATATAGAGGCTAATGACATATTACACACATTAAGCCCTGAAAGTTGGGCTTTCAGTCTGTTTATTTAATGTTAAAGAAATAGCAGCTCTGAATGAAGAAGCAATAAGGGATTACTTAACTCTTTCCCCATCCTCTCAGTCTCTCCCTCCCTCCAAATCCCTCCTCTTGAAATCTGCTGTTCCTTTTAAAAAAAAATATCACACAGCTGCCAGAGCTTCATTACACATATTTGCATGTAATGAGGTTAACTTCATGGACAAAAGAGCAACTAAACTGAGTCAATTTTATTCAGTGGTTGAACTTTGGTTTGCCAGTACTGCTTTTTAAAAGAGTATGCAGATTCTTATTTTTTGCCTGCTACCCTCAGGCTACTAGACATTTGCAGAGCCTGTCTCTTGAGCCTTGATAGTTTCAAACGTAGTTGGGAGGAGGGATCCTATACTGTGGGGACAGCTCTGGAGATCATGTGCATATGGGACCTTAGATTTCTTATCGGTATACCAAATCACACATTACTGTCAACTCACAAGTAATTTATTGCAGTTCAGGAAACTGAACTTTCTGCTTCTAATTTATTTCAGTGATCTAAGCTACAAAACGCAATTACACAAAACAAACACTGTCTCTCTCATTTCTTGGTTCAGCTTCTTCTCAGTCAAATAAAACAAAACGCTCTTATTTTTAACTGGACCCCACAGAACAGCAGGATGTTCTTAAGCAGAATTGAATTTAATGTTCTGTAAATGCTGTTCTGGGCTCACATTCGCTGCAGTGATGCTATATACCAGTCACACAAATGGCTAATTCAGAGTGGTTACTTCATTCCACTTAGTGTCTGATCTCTGCCGAGTTCTGCTCTACCTTAGAGTCCTGTAGTGTGGTACAATCTAGCAACTGGATATATTCCCTTGCATTACATTAAAACCAGTCTGCTGCAGGGATGTGCCAGGATGACTTACGACACTATTTCACCCAACACGATGTGATTCCCTGCAGGCGTGGTTACAGTTGTGTCCCATTCTAAGTATGTGCTTACTCTGCTTCGAGCAACAGGATTTCTGTCACTTTCTGTGGCCTCCTAACTGATCGGTTTCTTTTCTGTGTTTCTCTGTTCCTTCCACCCCCAAATCCAATAGGTTGTAGCCATCCGGTATCAACTGATAGGGTTGTATGCTAGATATGTGTCAGATTCACAGCCCTTCTCATACAGCAAACATTAAACTAGCACAACAGGTACCCAGCCATAGTCACTTTTCCTTTACTGTGCCATAAGTATTTTAGTAATGTCTGGGTTTGTGTCAAATGTGTTACATCTCTCTAAAAACCAGAGGTGCTTTACGGTCTTTGTAATACATGTTTTCAAAACAGTCTAGCAATTTAGGCCTCTTTGGTTGCCATTTTGTAAATGTAGAACCTAGGAGAGAGAGTACAAGCTCATGGTGACTTACAGAATCACAGGCGGTTGCCCCTTCACAGAGATGCCAAAAACTGAATCGGAGGCATGAGGTGTGCAAACCATGTTTCCTGGCTCTTTGATGAGAGACCTTCCTCATCAGAATCCAGCACTCTGTCTCTTGAGCCACTCGTAGGAGAACGCTAGTAAAAAGTAATGTTGCAATTAATGAAGTGTTTGGGTCAACTATCACATTCTAGTCTCACACGTTTGCTAATCCTTTCCTTAAGAGCTGTTGAGTAAGCCAAATTTGCCATTATGGTTTTCGACCAGATTTCATAATTGAATCCATTGGCTTTAGGACCTCTTAAATTGTAAGACTGACCTGTTTAGAGAAAACTGTCACCTGTCTCTTAACTTTATTTACAGACGTTGTTCTTGGCAAGTCATGGAAAGCGGGCAAAATCTGATATTTCATTGGTTTTTCCTCCAGAGAATTTTCTGCAGACATTCTGTTTTCTCTGTGTTCAAACTATGAGAGTTCTTGTGTATTTTGTAATACCAGTCATGCTTAAATCTAATCAGTTGATTTAGTAATTTCTTCTTTTTTTACTCCTCATGTGATGTAAACTGCAATTAAGTTACCAGAGTATATTGAAAAGTGAGTTGGTAGAGAAATGGGTATTTGGAATGGGCAGTTGGCACAGTGAATGCTACAGGAAGCATCATGATTGTCATCTCCTGCACTTTACTCAGGAATTCCTTGGCTCCGGAGATCCCAAAGATACAAAGATGCTAATTACAAAGCAAGCAGACTGGGCCAAGAACATCAATGAACCCAAATCAGCTGTGGAGATGTACATTACTGCTGGCGAGCACATGAAGGCCATAGAAATCAGCGGAGATCAGGGCTGGGTTGATGTGTATGTATAGATTTGTTTTTTTTTCAGAGCTATATGTTGCCATCTTTCAGCAGAAACATTGTCTATTTTTTCCTCGTTGCGCTCTATGGGTTGCACATGTTGAGGGAGGGAAATCCTATATTGGCATAGTGGGAATGGGGTGTGTAACTAGTGAGAGACGTAGAGCGCCCCTGAATTACTTAGGGGCTCAGTTGTGCTAGTTGTTGTACAAATCTGTAACTGAAGATAATTGAAGATTATGGTGCCTGTGTGATTTACATGTTCAGCAACCCTGTTTTCAAAGCATTCATCCATTCGTTTGTACTTTTGTGTATGGCTGCTTTTACACAAAATTGCATTCCAAGTGGCTCTGAGCATATCAAATGAGTAGCAACAGATAAAAGAATTCAAAACCATGGTATGAAAAATTAAAATTACAAGAACAATTATAAGGACATTCTTCAAGGTTATCTATAATTACTCTGATTTGTTGAGTGTTGGTTCCAGAGTCTTAAGAAAACACTGCTGAAGATAAAGCATGCATGAAATATGAATTTCTTAGGATTTTAATAGGATTCCAGAGTCTGCATCAAAGCTGCAGACTGGATTCTCTGTAGCAAGCCTGTGCCATGCACGCTAGAAGTTGCAGTTTTGTAGCTGGAAGCTTTTGCTTACAGTCCAGGAGTCCTTTCTGGTGAACAGGCAGGTTTATAGTTTGGCAAGGAACTTGCTGGACTATACATGTAAACGAAAGTGCTTTGCCGTGATACTTAGAACTCTGTACAACAAATTGCATGCATATGTTTTTAAGAGGTAGCAAGAACTAAGAGTTTTATAGCCACTGATGGGTCTTCTTCTTCTGCATCCAGATTGATTGATATTGCTCGGAAGCTGGATAAAGCTGAGCGCGAGCCTTTGACAAAGTGTGCCTACTATTTCAAAAAGCTATTTAACCATGGCTACGCAGCAGAAACCTATACAAAGATTGGGGACTTGAAGGCCTTGATACAGCTCCATGTGGAAACTCAGCAGTGGGATGAGGTAAGTACAACTCATTTATCCCCTGGGTATCTGCATCCTGGATATATTCTAGGCCTTAAATCTTTTCAATTGCATAAACAAAATTTCTCCTTTTTTAATAACTTAAGTTGCATGCATGCCAATGTTCTATCATGCATTTCAGAGTAACCTTGCTACTTGAGGAGAAATAAACCAATTGCATGAGAAGCCTGTCACCTGAGGAATTCCTCAATTACAGTGAGCTATTTACCTCAGATGCTGATCTGTGACATCTTTGTGCCACATGGGGCTCATTTTGTCACAAGAAAAAGAGGTCAACAGAGGGGAAGAGAGAATGGTTCGTGGGAGATGACATTCAACTTAGCACAGCTTGCTACCCTTTTGCCATCTTTCCCTGTTGTGTGGAACTGCAAAGCCACCCTTAGGATTTTCTGGTATGACTGAACTAATGCAGTTTACCAAAATCTGAATGGATCTATGCAGCCCATTTTTACTCCGGAATCGGCTTCTCTGTTCAGTGGCAGGTAGAGATGATGGAAGTCGTAGCCCAAACTGTCTGGAGGGCACCAGGATGGGGAAGGTTGGATTACAGAATTCATTTTCAATTGTCTGGGGGAAGCATTACTTATTGAAATGGCGTGCTGTTGATAAATTTCTGTCACAAGGCACCAGTTCTTGACTGTAATGCAAACCAGGTCTGAAACCCAAGACCCACATGTGGCAAACTACTTCACTTTGATTTCATTGTTTATTTGCCATCAGGAACAGTTCCTCAGATGTATTTGTGAATTGGAAAATCATTTATGTTCAGCTATGTTTCTCAGCAAGCAGGTTAAGAGTGATTTTTATCCGGTACTTAGGCATTTGCTTTGTGTGAAAAGCACCCTGGATTTAAGGATGAGGTCTATGTTCCTTACGCTCAGTGGCTGGCAGAAAATGATAGATTTGAAGAAGCCCAAAAAGGTAGGACAGAATTGCAAGTACGCCTGTGTGTGTGTTTGACTAAAATGTTGATAGCACTCAACATGCCCTGGGGAAGTTCCCAGGAACAAAAGTTCAAGCACTGTCTCTTTGAAAGTGATGCTAAAATTTGCATTTAAAGTAAAAGAAGACTCTTAAATGGATCTTACTCAATACTTACTTTAGTTGTTGGGTAAGCTTCTTGTTGCCACTAACAGCAGCAACAAATTTAATAAAGTATAAGTTCAGTAAAAAGAGCAGGCAAAAAAGTAGATGCTACATCTAGTGTTTCTACTCACTTTCTGCTCCAACAGTCCTTGATAATAATTTGAGACATATATATTCTGTATTTTTTTTTTTAAAAAAGGCATGTACTGGTATTGGGGGGACGCCAATGTCTAAACCACTGAGCCTAGGACTTGCCGATCAGAAGGTTGGTGGTTTGAATCCCCACGGTGGGGTGAGCGCCCGTTGCTCGGTCCCTGCTCCTGCCAACCTAGCAGTTTGAAAGCACATCAAAGTGCAAGTAGATAAATAGGTACCGCTCCGGCAGGAAGGTAAACAGTGTTCCGTGCGCTGCTCTGGTTCGCCAGAAGCAGCTTAGTCATGTTGGCCACATGACCCAGAAGCTGTATGCCGGCTCCCTCGGCCAATAAAGCGAGATGAACGCCACAACCCCAGAATTGTCTGCAACTGGACCTAATGGTCAGGGGTCCCTTTACCTTTACCTTTAGTGGTATTGGGGAAAGGATTATCCCAGTCTGAATAACTAGAATGGCAGCAGGTCTCAGGAGAGCTAGAAAAGCATTTGGCAGTCTTGCACATTCATACCTAGTCTTTAGGAACAAAAAAAGTAATAATGAGCCTTCATGTCCTTAGCATATCAGTGGAACACATGAGGATTGCTTCTCTAGCCATAGGGTGGTGATGAGTCAGATATGAAAATCTATGAGAATGCAGTTTGTAGAGCAGCAAATTCTGTGTATTACCTTTCATCAGCAGTTCTGTTGTATAAGTTGCACATGGGAACAAGACCATTAACAGAAAACGTAAGAGTGTGAATTAGCCCTCAAAGCTCATTCAAATTTCTGCTTTTGTAAAGCATATATTTACTGAGTAGAATCTGGACCGCGTTTTAATTTCAGCTAGTGACTCTTTATATTTTGAGCTTATTTGCACTTTACATTTTGAACTTGGGTGCAAGGACCCGAGTTTAAATGGCAAATGCATATATGGCTTTGTTGATTTGGAAGTTGATGTGTGTGTTTTAAGTGACAGGGTTTCTCAGCAATGAACAGGAAGCAGCAGTTAGGAAAGGATCAGGACTCTGCTTTCACATATATTGCAGGGAACATTGATCACTTAAATGCACGTGTGCAATTCCTTAGTCATTACTGCTGTTGATGGGGTTTTTTGCCATTTTAACTTGGGTTTGTACTGAACTCAAAAACTAAAGTGTGAATTAAATCTCTTATTTGTAGGCTTTCTTTTGATCAGAATTATTTTGCAGCTATCGAGACACAAATAAATTTGATTGGCCCCTTAGCTAGATAAACACCCAGTTACAGCTTTCCTCACTTTTCAGCCCATTTAGTGCTGCTGCACAATCTCACTGGTTTCAATGGGTCTTTTCAGGAACCATACAAAGGCAACCTTGAAATAAATGGGAGTTGTGCAGCAGCAGTGCTTGGTGGATTGTGCCCACAAAGTACATGAAAGAAGCCCAAGACACCACAAAAGCCACAAAGTACATTTTTGAAGTATCTACTGCTACATTAACTTCCCCACAAGCATGGAGAAGAATACTAGGGTGTAATCCCTTTCATCTGCTCCTTTGTTTAGTTGTGGGCTCTGTTCTTAATTTTAATCAAGTTAATTGGTTTAATCACTTTGTAAAATCTTCTTTATTTTGGCCCCCTTTGCAGCATTCCACAAGGCTGGCAGGCAAACCGAGGCCGTAAAAGTGTTGGAACAATTAACTCGCAACGCTGTGGTAGAAAGCCGATTCAATGATGCAGGATATTATTACTGGATGCTGTCCATGCAGTGTTTAGATATCGCTCAAGGTAAGGAAATACAAGCAAGTTTACATGTAATCTGTTCGTGCCCGAAGGCAGAACATCTCTCAAACTCTGATGGCTTAACTGAAAACTCATTGTGAATTGCGTTGTACAAGACTTTTGAGTTTTGTTATATTGTACATATTATGATCTTATCTTTTCATGTATGGCTGAGAAGAGAAACCTCATTCTTAACTCTAGCTCAAGCTATGTCTTCTAAGGAAACTAGGTAACTTCGTTTCTCAAAACATGGAGGCACACATATCTGCTAGGGGAAGCCCAAGCTCAGTCTGATTGAATGAACAGCATGGGGTTGGTCATGCCCACCTATTCATTTCAAGGTGGGGGGCTTGTCGACAGTCCTGCTCTTCCACAGGCATCTTGCTCTTCTGGTATTCCTCCTTTGGGAACCTTAAAAAATGTTCATTTATTTAAAATGTTTGTCTCCTGCCCTTCTTCTTTTTTTACTGATCCCAGGGTGGGGTTTAGATCATATCACAAACACAGCAAGAGCAGAAAATACAACAGTATGAATATGATTAAAGTTCCTGTTAAAAAAATAAAGCTCCATCAAAATTTCCATAGGTTGATATCATGCAGATGCCTGTGGAAACATAATCATTTGGGGTTGCTTCCAAAAAGAAACTACAGTTGGTGTCAACTGAATCTCCAAGTTGAGAGTATTCCACAAGTCAGGTGCCAACGTCAAAAAGGCCCTGTGCCATGTTACTGCTAAATGTACAATCCCTTGGTATCAGAGCAGCAGGAAGGGCCCCACCTTTAAAGATCTTAACATCTTGACAGGTCGGTGTCAAGAGAGGTGCTGTTGTGGACTTGATTCTTTTCCCCATCCATATGCTTTCCCTTCCAATATCCCAGGCACAAAATATGGGGACAAGTTTTGGGTTGGGGTTTTGGTCTTTATTTAGGAAGGCTCACTGTGGCTGATGACATCTGCCGTACATCATTCCTTAGCATGCTGCTCAATGGGTGGCCAGAAGGCTAAAGTTCAGAGCTACTGATCTTTAAAAGTGAAAGGCCTTTACAGGGTAGAGAAGTTGACATTCATTAGTTCTTCTAGAATGTGATGCTTGTTCTGGCAATAGCATTGGGGAAGCTGAGCCATGGGCCCAGGGCCCTATTGGGCAAGCTCCAAAACTAGGGCTGCTGGAGAGGATTCTCAGTCTAAATGCTCTCGATCAGTTTTACTGGAGAAGAGAGGAGGTTTCAGAAGCCATTTATGAATCTTTACATTTCACTGTTAGCAATCCTTTGCTTAGGGGGATTTAATGTGTAGTCAACTGTGCTGAGGAGCACAGCCTCAACACGCATCTCAAACATGTTTAACTGAGGATGGGTCCCACTGAGTTTCCTGCTGAGTACTGTAGGGATTGCAGCCTTTGCATACAAAGTAGCTTAAACTATTTCTTTAATGCATACAGTGATCTTATAAAGCAGGCAGCTTATTGTTCCCGTTTCACAGAGTGGGGTTTACACCAGGAAAGAGCAATTTGCCCAGGAACATGTCAGTCTGAGAGCTGATTTTGGCTCCATATTCATTATTCCCACTACCATAAGATGCTGTCTGTCCCTAGCTTTGTGTGACCCAAAATTAAGGTGGAGCAGGCATAATAATTTTTTTAACAACACTGTACAAACATTGATATCATTTTGCCAGTACTCTTAAATACTGTTCCCTGAGTAAAGTCGCTGCCCTTCCTGTGCACACTTACATGGAAGTAAGCCCTATGGAACACAATGGGACTGCCGTCCAAGTAAACCTGCACAGCAGTGGCGATAATATTGTGTAAATTATTCCAAAAATGCTTGTTCAGTCTAAGTGTAAACATGGAAAATGTTATTTCCTTTAGTTATAGCTTTGCAGATGGTGTTGCTAGAAATGTGCTCCGCTATTAGCTATGGCCCCCGGCTGTGTTAAAACTATGCATTTGTCTTCTTAATTTTCCTGCTTTTAAAGCCCAAAATGACATATAAAGCTCACCAAACTGCATAAGCTATACTTTGAGGCACACTTGCTCAGTGGTGCTAATCTCTTAGGGGTGTTAATGCAGTAAGCAGGATGGGTCTGTGATCTTTCTTGAGTAAGTCTCTCACTGTAGGCTGGCAACTGATCAGAGGTTTTATATTGATGCTGCCTTTCCCTCCCTCAGACAACGAGCAGCAGAAGACTGAAATGTTACAGAAGTTTCACCACTTCCAGCACTTGGCAGAACTTTATCATGCCTATCACTTCATCCACAAATGCACTGTAAGATTTTCACATGGAGCTTCACAGTTAGTTCACTCTTTGTCCTTTGAAACCATTCAAAAGACTGTTAACTGATGCAATGTGTTTCTTAGGCCTCTTGTGTCTTACCCAGCATATCCTCTCATGGAGAGGCTGGTATAAGATTGTCCCCTGAGTAGCTTATCTTTGTGGCCTCTTTCTTTAAAGTTGAGATTAGATCTAATCTGTTTGGATTCTTCAAGTGTTGTTGCTTTCTGAATAAAGGAAAGCAGTGTGAGGCAAGATAGCAATCAACTAATGCTTAATTCTGTGCATTTCTTTATTAGCTTAACCTTTAATTTTTTATTTTTTATTTTAACATTGCAGGAAGAACCCTTCAATTACTACTTGCCTGAAACACTCTTTAATGTGTCTCGGTTTTTACTTCATAGCCTGACCAAGGAAACACCTTTGGGAATTTCTAAAGTGTATCCTTTAAAAGGCAAAATCCAAATTCAAGAGCTGACAGGCCAAGCAGAAGGCTCATTGGTGTTGTCTGTTACTGGTGTGCTGCAAAAATCTATGTGATCCTTGCTCTCTCAGAGCTACATTACACAGAATGTCAATAGGTTGCTATTCCATCCTCTGTATGAGGTTTGAACCTCCAACCCTCTTTAAACACTTGGAAGCATAAAACACTTCCTGCATAGCTTTGGAAGCAGCTGTGAACCATACAGACATGTTGCTTAGAAAATTAGCCCTTCACTTGGTCAGATGGATCTGACCCAGGGAAGCTTATGCCCCAACAATGTGGTTAGTCTTCACGTTGCCACACGACTCACCATTGTGTTTGCTGCAGCAGACCAGCATGGTTACCTTTCTGGGGTTTGTCACTGTGAAGATTGTAGATACGTTACACTTGCCATAAGGAGTCTCTTGACTGGCCATACAGTTTAGTTCAAGGCATGCAAAGTCCAGGCAAGTATCTGGAATGTAACCGAGCTTTTCCTCCCACCTCTCCATGGATGAATGTGTGGGACAACTTGTTTCCTATCACTTCCTTTGGGAAGGGGCCATGCCTTAGTGACAGAGCATCTCCTTTACATGCAAAAGGCCCCATGTTCAATCCTTGGCATCTCCAGGTAGGTCTAGGAGAGACTCCCATATGAAATCTTGGAGAGAGCCACGACTGACATTGTAGACAGTGCTGAGCTAAATGGATCTGACTGGCTCTTGACAATCCTCCTTTTGGCCTGGCTCCAAATATGAAACTTCCTTCGTTTCTGTCCAGAATTGCTTTTCTGGAAGCTTGGTCAGCTTGAATTCAGGATGGCCTACATCAGGCTTAAGCTGCATGGTGTGTTTTCCCTGGGATTTTTGAGTTTCTAAGATAAACAGGCTTCATTACAATAAGTGGATGGCCAAGGTTTTAGGGTGGCTTAGTTTCTTGAAGGAGGTTCCTCATAACTTGCCCCTTCAGTCTTGCTCTTTTCTGTTCAGTGAAGTCCAGTTAACCCAGCTTAAGTGAAAATATTTGAATTGAGGCCTGTTAATTCCTGTCAAATGCATTTAGTTTATCTAGACAGCAGATTTGGCCCCACTTGCTGTCTAATCACCTTTCAGCTGGAAGGAATCACCCTTGTTTTTTGTAATGGACTTTGATATGAAAAACAGACTGTAGTGATGCTTGTCTCCTGGCTTCCTTTTGCACGCAATAATTTATGTTGCAAGGTGGAGGCATTTTGACCAACAACAAAAAAGGAGGTTTTTTAAGAAAAGCCATCTCTGTCCCTTCTTCTCTGTGCAAACATCACTAATTTCAAAGAAGCACCCTTCATATTGATGGGATTTCTCTTTCAAAACACCATCCCCTTCAGCCATCTAGCAGTTGTTTCACATTTTGTTTATGTAAACATGCTTATGTAAACAGACGTCTCCAGCGGAGGCCTCTTCCAAGCCCTGGCTTTGGTTGTGCTTAAGCACATAGCTTCTCTGATTGAAAGCAATGATGTGGTTTTTTTCCTGCTTGCCATATGTATGTTTTGTTCCTTAATTTGATTACAGCAATACATTATTTGCCCTGGCAAAACAGAGCAAAGCTCTGGGGGCTTATAAATTGGCTCGTCATGCCTATGACAAGTTGCAGGGGCTGCAGATCCCAGCTAGATTTCAGAAATCAATTGAGTTGGGAAGCCTGACAATCCGGTCCAAGCCTTTTCATGACAGTGAAGTAAGTTCCCATTTTGTATTTTCCCCATTTCCCCCCATATTTGACATGACACAAGAGACCACACTGGCACGTGTATATAATCTGAGAGGCGTTGTGAGTAAATGCACTGCTTCTGCAGAAAAAATACGATGTTATATGTCATCCCCTTATTAAAATGAAGATAGGTGCCTTGCATGTTCAAATGTATGTCTTTCAAGAAACTGCCTCACCCACTTAATCCTCACATGCTATCCTGGCTGATACTGTTGCGCTGCTTATTCCCACCACTCTGTGGCATGCTTCCCCTTATTTATTTTATTTACAATATTATTAATAATCTTGCCGGCCCTTCACGATAAGTTCCCTGGGTGGGTAATGATACAGTATGCAAATATAAAAGCAGATAAAAGTGGTTCAAGAATAAAACACCTAAAAGAGCTCCAAATGGGAAGAGAACAGTGTCTATCTAACAGTGCAATCATGTCTAGTCAGAAATAAGTTCATTGAGTTTAGTGGGGCTTACTCCCAGGTTGCAGTCTAAGGGGCTCTGTTTTCATGTATTCCCATAAGCATTTAGTTCCTTTCTTCTCTCTGGGACTGTTCACAGTTGGTCTCTTATGTTTGGGCCTACCCCATTCCTCAGGCTCCCCCCTTTTCCAGCACTTGGGACTCGTTACTCTTTGTAAATCATGTTTTTAAAAGCTTGCCTTCCGCTTTTTAGTCATTGTCTGAGTCTTGCCAATGTTCTATAAAATTCTATCTAAAGGGGCGTGCAAATCAAAATAAATTGTATGGTGCAAATGCTTAACCTTAAATGAACAGGAAAAAATGCACTCCATCTGGCCACCTGAAATAATATAAACACAATAAGGCCCTGGAGATCCATATAGCTGCCTGAAGTAATTGTGCAATTTAAAAGGACATGAAGTGAATGAATCAAAGGTCCCATGTTTCATCAAGACTCTGAGCCAAAAAACCTGTTTCAGTAACCTTTGTTCACATCTTTCTGGCAATGAGTTGTATGTTGCATAGGACTCATCTGACGCTGCAACGTTTGAAAATAGAATATCTAATGACTCAAGCAGTCATACTCTGGTAGAATATTTATGAAAGCTTAAAGGCCCCAATTTCACTATTTTATGTTTGGTTCTGTTCTCCCCCCCCTTTTTTTTTTGGTGTAAAGAAACTTAAGAAAATGAGAATTCTCATGTGGTTCATATAGCCTCATTTTTTGGCTGCCAACATTGACTAGGCAGACTGCTTCAGGGAAGTTCACACACAGTCAGATGTATACAATATTTTACAGCTGAATGTGGCTAGTAGCCATTAATAGATCGATCTGTCTCCTTGTGTTCATGCCGTGGTAGCAAATGTGCTGCCATCCAGATGTTGTTGGACACCAGCTTCAGTCAACCTCAGCCAGCCTGGTCAGTGGTCAGGGATGATGGGTGTTGTAGTCCAGCAACATTTGGAAGGCACCGCTTTGGCTATCCCTAGATTGCTTTCTAAATCCCGACACATTGGGAGGCATTCAGTTCCATTACTCACTGATATTTTGTGGTTTTAAAAAAGGGTGTGTGTGTGTCTGCCTTTTTCTGCTTTTGGAGAGAAGGTGAATAATTTCACTTTACTTAGGTGCTTTATATCAGACATGAGATTTTACACTTTGTTGTAACTCCCTTAGCTGTTTTCCTGCCAAAGGTGTCTCTCAACTATACTGAAATTCAGCTAAGCTTGGCGTGAACAACTTCGGCCCTCTGTATTAAAGATGAACTCTTCTACTTTATTATGTCTTGATTGCTGCTATCTACCAAGGATGGTTCTTAATGGTCTATTCAGAACATCAAACAAGAAACATGATGGCACATGCTTATAGCCTTGTTAGTAGTTGCTGTCTGCTGCGGAAATTTTTCTCCTCTGAAAGTTCACCAGAGTCTGAGCATGTTTTGCAGAATCCATGGGATATATTTTTAATTTAAGATGTCATTTTAGGATTAAGGATATATGTTTCCATTCTGAACCTTTCAATATATGTACTCATTTTGGTTATTTTTAAAAGGTAGCTGGCTCGATGTGAAAATATATACTGTAACTGTAGTGATAACTGGTCAGATTCAGTAGCTGGAATCTAGAATCCTGCAGGTGCATCTAAGTTCTTCCTCACCAGCATCAGGCTTTGGGGATTTTCCCCTCTTCAACCCAGTTCCTTGTTTTCGAGGCTGCATTGGAAGGCCCCCTGATTTTTCTGAAGCAGATCTTTTGAGTGGGCGGGGGCATAAGGAGGTGCTAGGGAAGGGGTTATTAGGAGTTCTCAGACTGGCTCCCCACTGTTCTTACGAATCTGCCCAACATGTTCAGCTGGGCTCTTTTGCTTGCAGTAACCTCTGTGTGCTTCTTTGCAGGAGCTTGTGCCTCTATGTTACAGGTGTTCCACTCACAACCCATTGCTGAACAACCTGGGGAACGTCTGTATTAACTGTAGGCAACCCTTTGTCTTCGCTGCTGCTTCTTATGGTGCGTTGAAATATTACCGCTCTCCTGGATAAAATATGTCTGATATCTGTGGAGTCTAAAATTGTTGTGATTCTGCATTCTTACAGGAGTTTCTGGCAGTGCAGTGCCTGTTTCTACAGTGTATCTGTGTATCTCTCTCTCTCTCTCTCTCTCTCTCTCTGTTCTTCCTCAGGTGGATTTCCAAGTATATGAATCTCATTACTAACAGGTTGTTTGTTTGTGTGTGTTTGTGTGTGTGTGTGACAACAATGTCTATCTCTTGAATGGATACAGCAGGCATTGTGGATTTTCTAAGTTTCGTTTTCACCTCCGTCCTTTTCAGATGTCTTACACTTGGTTGAGTTCTATTTAGAGGAGGGGATCACTGATGAAGAAGCTGTTGCTTTGATAGATCTGGAAGTGCCGAGACTCAACAAAAGAGACAATAAATGGCAAGAGCAGATGAGTGATGGTATCCTTTCACTCTTGAAAACATCACTTCCCTTTTTCACACGTAACACTAAGCCAAACCATGTCTTAGCATAAAAGAGCATAGTGGGCTTCCAGAGAGGAGATTGTGGCCACTTTGGTCTTCCTTGTGTTGATTTAAAGCAGAGTCTGTCGTGCCCAGCGGAAGGATGAGGAATACGTGATACATACTCTATGTTGCTTTATTTACAGTTCAATGCTGGTATATTACAGAAAGACATCTTGCCTCTGCCAGAGCAGAGAAATGCATCCTCTCTCCTCGACAGCTTGGAGAGAATCACACAGTGAAAAACAGGAAACCAGTGTACGTCACATCCAGTCTCCCTTTCCCGTGAGAAACTCCAACAGTACAGACTGTGGAATGTAAACACCTGTCTCGTGACAAGCAGAGCTGCACAGTGAAGGAAAGCAGAAACCAACATCCTCCCCTTTCTGTGAACATCACTGGGCAGCGTGTTTGTACAATATCAGTACAAACCCAACTTCTGCACATAGGTACAGTGTTGATCCCTTGATACAATCTTGGACAATACATCAGCAGGAATTTCATTACCTGGCATATAGGACACCGTTACGAGTCCCTTCTGAATACATTCCCTAGCATGCTGCAACTTTAATTGTAAGTGCTTTGTGCTTTGCTTACAACCTTCAGACTTCAGCAAAGCCAAACATGCTTTGTTGTCCTGGTAAACCTGGATTGGACATTTGACAGGAATTTTCATATCTTTGCACAATTGTACTAACCATTCACAATCCTTAAGTGAATAAGACAGTGCATTCAGTTACAGATAGGTAGCCGTGTTGGTCTGCCATAGTCAAAATAAAAAAAATTCCTTCTAGTAGCACCTTTAAGACCAACTAAGTTAGTTCTTGGTATGAGCTTTCGTGTGCAAGCACACTTCTTCAGATACACTGAAACAGAAGTTGCCAGATCCTTCTATATAGTGAGAAGGTGGGGAGGGGTATTACTCAGAAGGGTGGTGGGAATGGGAGATTGGCAGATAGCTGAGATGAGCCTGCTGACGACTCTTAACGACTGTAATAGGTCTTACAGGAAAAGGCAAGGGGTGAGAAGGTGAGAAATGGCTTAGTCATGTATAATGGGATAAGAATCCAATGTCTTTGTTCAAACCAGGTCTCTCCATGGTTTTAAGTTTGGTAATGAGTTGCAATTCAGCAGCTTCTCTTTCCAGTCTATTTCTGAAATTCCTTTGTAGTAAAACAGCTACTTTGAGATCTTGTATAGAATGTCCTGGGAGATTGAAGTGTTCTCCTACTGGTTTCTCTGTTTTGTGATTCTTGATGTCAGATTTATGTCCATTTATTCTTTGGCGTAAGGTTTGGCCTGTTTGTCCAATATAGAGAGCTGAAGGACACTGTTGGCATTTGATGCCATACACAATGTTAGATGATGAGCAATTGAATAGTCCCGAGATGGTATGTGTGATGTTGTTGGGGCCAGTAATGGTGTTGTCCGGGTGTATGTGGCAGCAAAGTTGGCATCTGGGTTTATTGCAGGCTCTGGTGCCAGTGTCCGTGTTAAGTCTGGTTGTAGTATTATTGTGGGTTAGGAGTTGTTTAAGATTGGGTGGCTGTCTGTAGGCAATGAAAGGTCTTCCTCCCAGAGCTTGAGAAAGAGAACTGTCATTGTCCAGGAGAGGTTGTAGATCTCTGATGATGCGTTGTACTGTTTTAACTTGGCAAGAGTTCCAAAAGGAAAAACAAAACATTTACCACTCTCAACTGGAGCTACTGAAAAAACAGAAAAACAAGAAACTCTCTAACCTTTCCAACCTACAGGCTACTAATCAAAACAAGATCAACAATATTGTCAATCTCTCACAGCAAGCACTCAGCCCAGCCGAGGAATCAGTCCTTTCACGTGGACTGTCATTCTGCCCTGCCAAATCCCCACACATGATTCAGTTCTACGGGGACTTGGAAGCATTTTTCCGCCGTTTACGCCTGAAGGAGTATTTTCAACACACACAACAACAAGACGAATCAGAACAAACAACAACTTCACAACACAACACCTCTCAACCCACTGGAGAACAACAACCACCCTCCCAACAGAACACTGACCACCAACTACCTCCGAAAAGTGTTACACAAAAGGGACTCCACATGGACCCCTCCTGATGGACGCAATACCACACTGGACTTGTACATTGACTGCTTCCGCCACAGAATCCAAACAGATGTGACCAGAAAACACCATTGCTTACAACAAAATCTAAACCATGCTGAAAGGAGAGCCATAGATAATCTCAGAAACAACCCAGACATTATAATTAAAGAAGCAGACAAAGGTGGAGCTGTCGTCATCATGAACAAAACTGACTACATTCAGGAGGCTCACAGACAACTTTCCAATACCGCCTTTTACACAAAATTGGACTCAGACCCCACACAAGAATACAAAAAAGAACTGAACAAGATTGTTAAGGAGCTACCCACACACATCCAAGAACAGATCCTCACCAACACACCAACAGAACCTCGACCAGGAACTTTCTATCTTCTACCTAAAATACACAAACCAGGAAATCCAGGACGCCCCATCATTTCAGGTATTGGCACTATTACAGTGGGTGTCTCCGGTTATATGGACTCTGTTCTGAAACCATATGCCATCAGTGCTCCCAGCTATGTACGTGACACCACAGATTTTCTGAGGAAAATACAATCTTTAAATAATCTTCCCAACAATACTATACTAGCTACTATGGATGTGGAATCTCTGTATACCAACATCCCACACAACGATGGTTTACAAGCTATAAGGAACACCATTTCAGATAAAACCACAGCGGACCTTGCCACCAAACTCTGCCAATTTGTCCTTACCCACAACAACTTCAAATTCGGTGATGACCTGTTCCTTCAGATCAGCGGCACAGCAATGGGCACCCGCATGGCCCCACAGTATGCCAACATCTTCATGGCAGATTTAGAACAACGTTTCCTAAACTCCTACCCACTCAAACCTCTCTTGTACCTGCGATACATTGACGATATTTTTATCATCTGGACACATGGTCAACAGACCCTGGACACCTTTCACCAGAAATTTAATGATTTTCACCCCACAATCAACCTTACAATGAATCAATCTATGCAAGAAATACATTTTTGGACACTACTATAAAAATACAGGATGGGCGCATAGACACCACCTTATACCGTAAACCAACTGACCGACAAACATATCTACATGCCTCTAGCTACCATCCCAAACATACCAAACAGTCCATTGTATATAGCCAGGCACTACGTTACAGCCGCATCTGTTCCAATTCTACAGACAGAGACTCTCACCTAAGAGATCTACAGCAAACCTTTTCAGAACTAAAATACCCAGCAGATGAAGTTAGACAACAGATCAACAGAGCCAGACTTATACCCAGAGAGAACTTGCTGCAAGACAGACCCAAAAAAGAAAATAACAGAACACCTCTAGTCATCACATACAGCTCCCAAGTTAAAACAGTACAACGCATCATCAGAGATCTACAACCTCTCCTGGACAATGACAGTTCTCTTTCTCAAGCTCTGGGAGGAAGACCTTTCATTGCCTACAGACAGCCACCCAATCTTAAACAACTCCTAACCCACAATAATACTACAACCAGACTTAACACGGACACTGGCACCAGAGCCTGCAATAAACCCAGATGCCAACTTTGCTGCCACATACACCCGGACAACACCATTACTGGCCCCAACAACATCACACATACCATCTCGGGACTATTCAATTGCTCATCATCTAACATTGTGTATGGCATCAAATGCCAACAGTGTCCTTCAGCTCTCTATATTGGACAAACAGGCCAAACCTTACGCCAAAGAATAAATGGACATAAATCTGACATCAAGAATCACAAAACAGAGAAACCAGTAGGAGAACACTTCAATCTCCCAGGACATTCTATACAAGATCTCAAAGTAGCTGTTTTACTACAAAGGAATTTCAGAAATAGACTGGAAAGAGAAGCTGCTGAATTGCAACTCATTACCAAACTTAAAACCATGGAGAGACCTGGTTTGAACAAAGACATTGGATTCTTATCCCATTATACATGACTAAGCCATTTCTCACCTTCTCACCCCTTGCCTTTTCCTGTAAGACCTATTACAGTCGTTAAGAGTCGTCAGCAGGCTCATCTCAGCTATCTGCCAATCTCCCATTCCCACCACCCTTCTGAGTAATACCCTCCCCACCTTCTCACTATATAGAAGGATCTGGCAACTTCTGTTTCAGTGTATCTGAAGAAGTGTGCTTGCACACGAAAGCTCATACCAAGAACTAACTTAGTTGGTCTTAAAGGTGCTACTAGAAGGAATTTTTTTTATTTTGACAGTGCATTCAGTTCGGCTTCACAAGTACTTAAGCTAACTGTTGTTTGCTTCTTGCATGACCAATCAAAAAGACCCTGATTGTACATGTAGCAAACTCCAGACGTACTTTTCCTGTCTGTAGTGTCACTTCCAAAACTTGCATCTGCAAATATCTCAAGACCACCAGACTTCTGATTGTTAAATCTCAGTCTGTAATGCATAGTGCCTTTCAAATACCGCGCTATGCGTTTCAGAGCTTTCCAATCCTTGACACTAGGATTGTTGACTTGTCTGCTTAGCAAATTACAGCTAACAGCAATGTCTGGTCTTGAACATCTGGCAATGAAGTTTAGCTTGCCTAGCACACTCCTGTACAGTGTAGTGTCAGAAAATGCTTCTTCAGTGTCATCTACCTGATAACCTGTTGTCATCGGTGTGTCTACAGGGTTAGCATCCATCAGATTTAGTTTGCTTAACACATCAGCAATTTTCCGTGACTGGTGTACTAGAATGTTACCATCTTGATCTCTCTCTATTTCCAGAGATAGGTAGTTGTTTACCTCACCAAGATCTTTCATGTCAAAGTGCTCTTTCAGTTTAGCTAGGGCGCTATTGTACATTGCAACATCTTTCCAAAAGAATAATAAATCATCAACATAAAACAAGCAGTACAGTTTCTTTTGCCCCTCCTCTTTGACAAATACACATGGATCAGCTTTCCCTTGCTGAAAACCTAGAGAAAACAATACTTCAGTGAGTTTTGTGTGCCAACACCGTGCACTTTGTTTGAGACCATAAAGGGATTTCTTCAGAGCACAAACAAATCCCTGTTTTACCTGTACGCCATCAGGTGGAAGCATATAAAGTGATTCATCTAGAGATCCGTACAGAAAAGCTGTATTAATATCATGGTGACTAATGTGCAGATTTTCCTCTGCAGCTAGCTTGAGCATAAGCCTAATGCTTTCATATCTCACTGTGGGTGAATAGGTCTCGTGATAGTCTTCACCTGGTACCTGTGCAAAACCTCTGGCTACCAATCTGGCTTTGTGTCTGACTATCTTGCCATTTTGATCTGTCTTCGCTTTGAAGACCCATTTGCTTCCAAGCAGTTTCATTCCTGGAACTACTGGAACTAGCTCCCATGTTTTGTTCCTTTCTAAGGAATCAAGCTCAGCCTTCATGGCATTTAACCATGGCCCAGCTTCCTTTGAATCCAAACCCTGGATTTCTTGGAAACTTGAAGGTTCAAATACCTTCTTGGAGCTTTTAACAGCTGTTACTGCTATCTTAGCAAACTCATCAGCAAATCTCTTTGGAGGTTTGCCTTTTGTGGCTCTCTGTGACCTACGAATTAGCCTTAAGTCTTCAACACTCTCCTCTTCTTAGGAGAAAAACGACCTATTGTGAACAATGGTTCCTCCAATTCTTGATCAGAGCTTTCAGAGGGTCGCATAGAGGCTTTCGCACTCTCGAAATCCTCTGAATCACCCGATTCAGTTTCAGATTCAGACTCAGAACCTTCATCAGTGGGTGTGGGCTGTTGTGGTTGCTTTTGACTATCCTCAGTCTCATCACCGTCATCAGGATAACATTGGAAAATTCCCACATTCTCCCCCACTTTGCATTGTACTCGACACTTCTCGTGAGCTTAATTGTCTTAGAGTCAGTCATCATTATTCTGTAAGACCCTTTCTGATAACCTAGAAAGATACCATGCAATCCACGCTTGTCTAACTTGGAGTTTTGTGGTGAGCGAACCCACATGTCAGAACCAAAAATCTTCATGTGTTTGATGTATGGCTTCTTGCCAAACATCTTCTCATAGAAGTACAACCAATCGCTGAAGATAACCTGCGATTGTAACTGTAAACAAAACACGAGAGAGATTCACTTAATAACTCTCTGGAAGATTGGCATCATGCAGCAAGGTTTTTAACCCTTGAAGCAATGTCTGATTTGCCCGTTCCGCAAGTCCATTCTGCCATGGCGAGCGAGGACTAGACAAATCGTGTTGAATTCCTTTCTCAGTCAGAAAAGCTTCAAACTGCTGAGAAGTGAATTCCCCGCGATCACTGAAAAGAGTCTTTATCTTCTTACCATGCACATTTTCCAACCAAGCACAGAATTCCTTGAACCTAGGAAAAGCCTCCGATTTCTGCTTGAGATTGTACACAAAAATATATCTAGAAAATGCATCAATGAGAACCATGAAGTATCTATTTCCACCCAAAGAGGGCGCTAGTGGACCAACCAAATCAGCATGAACAACCTGGTATGGTTCTGTAGCTTTCCTACTAGACACCTTACCTTTCGCAGCCATTTTCACCTTGTTTGCTGCGCATGCTTTGCACTTCATGTGGTACTTGCAGGGTTTAATAGTCATACCTTCAACCAAGGCAGGCATTTTAGATACTGCCTCAAAATGCAAATGACCAAATTTTCGATGAAAATCGTGAATACATTCTGCATGCAAACTTTTGTTAGAACCTGCAATGCAACAAGTGTCATCCTGCACCACATCATCATAATACAAAACAAACAAATGATCAACATATTCTGCATGCAATACATAATCATTTTTCTTTGTGATGATGCACTTCTTGTTCTTGAAGGAAACGTCAATGTTCCGCTCATTCAGCTGTCCAACGCTGAGCAGATTATGTTTGGCGTCTGGCACGTAAGCACATTCTGTATCGATAAGTCCAAACTGTGAAGAACAACAGTTCCGTAGCCTTTACTGGGAATAGTGTGGTCATCCGCCTGGTGAATCGCACCTTCCTGCGGTGTAAAAGACACAAACAGTTTCTTATCGTTGCACATGTGGTGGGTGGCCGCTGAATCAACAACGAAGAAAGATCTAGACGTTTTCTGGACCTCTGCAACCTTTGGAGTGAAGCGTGAAACCATAGCCTTGTGCTGCGTTGTCCTAGACACCGGACCTTTGCCTTTGCCTCGGCCTTTTCCGCGCGATGAGCTTTCGCTGCGCTGCTCTGTCTTGGCCCTGGGATGTCTGCATTCCCTCTTCATATGGCCTAGACGTCCACATGAGTAGCATTTCACTGCCTTCAAAGCTTTGGCGCCATCTGGTGGTTCCACTGCACTATGGGATGACGTCTGTGAAGACTCCCCTTGCCCATGCAGCTAGCACCCCGGCGATCTGCTTCATTTAAAATCACGGCAGTAACAAAGTCCACTGTCAGCTGAGCAGTTGGTTGCACAGCAATCTGGGTTGCAACAGACTCCCAACCTGAACCCAAAGATTGTAGTATCATGAAAGAATACACAGCCTCTGGAAAGTTGAGTCCTCTCTGTTGCAGCTCATGTCTCAGATTTTGCATCTGCATCAGATGTAAACGCACATCTCCACCTTCAGCAAGAGCCATATTGTGCAGCTTGTTAAAATAAAACATAGTGGATCCAGCTTCTGTCCTTAAGTGAGCCTCTCTCAGAGCGTCCCAAATTTCTCTGGCTGAGGTCTTATCACGCAATAGACAGAGCTCTTCTGGGGATACTATCAATGTAAGAGTTCCCCTTGCTTTGGAATCCTTAGCTTCCCATGCATCTGTAACTGGAACTGGGGGGGTTCCTGTAATCACCTCAAACAAACCCTCTTTCCGCAGAATTGCCTCTGCATACTGAACCCAGTCGCTGTAATTTTTCTTGTTGAGCTTAGGAATCCCACAAGCATCCTGAAGGGTCATCATGACTCTGTCATTAGCCTTCAGCGTCATATATGCTGTTTTAATTCTTGCTGCGTCACTGCTGCAGCTGCTTTATCCAAAAGCGCACTTAAAAGTTACTTTCGATTTCCCCAGCATAGTGACTTGTGCCTGGGAGCCTTTTGCCTATTCCCGGCAAAACCGGCTTTAAAAGTTCAAAGTCCAGCCATAAAGCCATTAACTTGAAGCTGGCAGGCTGCCCGGAGCAGTAGCACATACCTCATCAATCACTTCTACGCGCAGAGCAGATTCCTTTCCGATCCGTCCCTCTGCATTCCGATCCTTTGCCGGCACTCCGATTCGACCTCTGGGCCCATAACCACGTGTTGATTTAAAGCAGAGTCTGTCGTGCCCAGCGGAAGGATGAGGAATACGTGATACATACTCTATGTTGCTTTATTTACAGTTCAATGCTGGTATATTACAGAAAGACATCTTGCCTCTGCCAGAGCAGAGAAATGCATCCTCTCTCCTCGACAGCTTGGAGAGAATCACACAGTGAAAAACAGGAAACCAGTGTACGTCACATCCAGTCTCCCTTTCCCGTGAGAAACTCCAACAGTACAGACTGTGGAATGTAAACACCTGTCTCGTGACAAGCAGAGCTGCACAGTGAAGGAAAGCAGAAACCAACACCTTGGTCATTTAGCCTTTGTGCTTTGCTGAGCTAAACCATGGTTTGGCTTAGCATGCTTTCTGAACCTCAAGTCATAGACTAACTCTCTTCAGACAAACCACAAGCTATAACCAAGGATTGTCCTTTGGTTTACAGCTTGTGATTTGCGGAGAGAGAGCGAAATGTGAGTCCAAGTTCAGATGACACACTAAGCCAAACCGAAGCTTAGCTCACTGCAGCAGCAAAACAACCAAAGTAGCTTGGAGTCTGTATATTTATTCATTTGTGCTTCACCAGGTTTTGTTTGGAACAACTATATAGTAACACTGTAATTTTTATTTTATTTTATAAAAAAATCCACATGGTTTATTAGGCTTTACACATTACTGTGCTACAATAGAACAGTACAAATCCTTAGTTTCCCTTCCCGCTCCCAGCTTCCTTCCCTCTCCCCAACCTCATGCACTTCTTAAAAAATATATTTTTAGCTACAGTGTTTTCACCTCTGATACTCAGTTGTTTAGCATGCAATGCAGTGTTCAGGTTTACATGCACAGATAAAGGTTAAGATAAATGAGTATCAGTGCTCTGCTGCAGTCCTAGATTAACATCTGTTACATTGGAGAAGTTTCCATCCCTTCGCTGGGCTGAGCTTATCCAGCCCCCACAACGGGGAAAAAACCCCACTGTGCAATTTTAATATATTTTAAATCCTTTTTGTTTGAACAATCACATCAAACTGTTAGGACTTAAAATAATTGTTTCCCTAACAGACTTTAAAGAAACTACTTTTTTATTTTTCAATCTTCCAGCCTCCAGCCAAGGAAGACAAGACCGGGCTTTCTTTGAACTCCACCATTATTGATAGCATTGCCAAAACTTGCCATTTTAACGGGCCATTCGCTTTGGGAGTCTCATTCTACTGGCTGCAGTATAAAGGCATGAAGCCAGAGAGATTGAGATCCATGTTGAGGCAGGATGCTTTGTGCAGCACTATACAGAAGAAAAGTGGGAATGGGAAATAATGAGAATAACACTTTAAATGCATGTTGGGAGAAAGGTTGAGAGTTAGCCTATTAAGCATCCTTGTTCAAAGGACTAACTGTGGAATAACTTGTGTGTGTTTGGTTTCCATAATCTGCTGCTCTCGAACACTGTGAGGCAAGCCTTCTGCATCCTGATCAAGACTTACATGCAGTTTTGATCGCAAGCCAGGGTTTCTATCACAATGTATGAGTTTTTCACCATTGGACATGCGGGGAATAGAAATCTGAACACCACACAGGTGCTCTCCCTTTGCACTCCCTACTTCTGTGCAATTCTTCCCTAACCAATGTTCCTAGATGTGCAGACAATGAGACTTCTTTACAAAGCAGACGAGATCGAAGAGGATGACCCATTTACAGCAAAACTGAGCTTTGAGGTTAGAAAATGTCTTTCCTCCAAATCCTTTCACCTTTGTTTTTTGCTTTGTGCTGCGAAAGAGCACCTAGTATGGATTTCCTACCAGCAAATGTTTTCTTCGTGTCACATCTTCATTCCATCTGTAAATATTTTGTAATTTCCCATAAACCATCTCTACCTTACTCCACCAGATACAGCCTTCCCTTGACTTGTCTGACTGCTTTATTTCTTAATCCCCCAACTGGTGGAGCGTAAGACCCAGCTGAGAATTGCTTATTTGAGTCAAATGGCCCAAATTGCAAGAAGACTCATGAAAATTCATTGAAGGAGCCATCCTGAGCCCCCAAGAAGGGTGGCTGGGAGGCCACTGGATATGGCAATCCTTCCTCTCCATGGTCTCACGGGGAGGTTCACAGCTAGAGGTTTCCCTGGTGGGCTGCTGCCGTAGCTGAGTGAGGTAAGGGCAAAAAGGAAGCACCCCAGAGGCATGCCAGGAGCAGATCAGAGACCCAACACCCACTTACTCTCTGACCATGCACCTGGAATGGGGAGAAAACCTATGTCAGGCCAAGAGTTGGCACAGTTATTTCAGGTTTTATTTTATTTTATTTAAGAGCCCAGCAAAGAAGAAGAAAGTGCACACGTGTGCACAAGCCCAGCAGAACTGAGGAATTGCCCTGAATTGTCCTCCCTCCTACCCAGGAAGCCTCAATAGGATTGCCATGTTCAAGGAGATACATTAATATCCGATATGCCTCTACACATTTCATTCCTGTTTTGTTTTTTTAAAGAACCCCAATCACTTTAGGTTATTGATTTATTTTAGAAATACCTACCCCACTTTTTTTTTTTATTTGGAGAGGTGAACTTCAGTGAAAGGCTATACAGGCAGCTGGACACCCTGCAGGCAAACATTCGTTACTGTTTGCTAGAGAAACGGGCGGCTCACAACATGAAAAAATACATAATTACAGACCTAACAAAAGTAGTCATAAACAATAAATATAATATCAAAGAGTACACAACCAAACTGAACAATTTCCACATAAATCATAATAAGATATAAAAATAAAGATACAAAAATGTTAAATAACTTTGGCAGTAAGAGCTGTTTGACAGTGGAACTGACTCCTTCGGGAGGTTGTGGACTCTCCTGCTTTGGAGGATTTTTAAGCAGAGGTTGAATGGCCATCTGTCATGTATGATCTAGTTGAGATTCCTGCATTGCAGGGGGTTGGACTAGATGACCCTGGGTTCCCTTCCAACTCTACAGTTCTGTAATTCTATGATTCAGTGCTTTCCAGCACTGTGTTGCAAGAGGACATGTGCAAGCACTCCAGAACTAGGAATATTTCCAGGACTAAATACAGAACTGAAAAGAAACTGATAACTCAGTGCAAATGCTGCTTTAATATATGCAGATTATTCCCCCTCCAAAAAAAACCTCATACTTACTCCCTGAAAAAAACAACACCTTGCCTTTCCAGTGATCTACCAAGTTCAAACATGTTTTTCCTTTTCTCAATCACTTGTTTCCTGCAGCAAGGGGGGTCGGAATTTGTCCCTGTGGTTGTGAACCGCGCAGTTCTCGGGTCAATGAGCAGGAGAGACGTGCTGGTTAAACGCTGGCCCAAGCCGTTACAGTGGCAGTACTTCCGATCCCTGCTACCAGATAATCCCATTACCACGTGTCCTTTCTGCTTTCAGGTAAGGGCAATATTTTACGTCAGGAGAGTCTGATAAATGTTCAGTTGTACCACCAAATAAAATAGTACAGGATTATTATTTTTTTAAAAGCCCTCATACACTGCTGCTTAATTGTAAATATACCTGTGGCACTAATTCATTTTAATGCTTAAAAATAAAATAAAAGCCTTAAAATTAACTTTACTACATAAGTGGCAAGGCAAAGCATCACTTTGTGGCTGCTGTAAAGCCTTTGGGAGACCTAAATGAAGCAGCCAAGTTGAACTAAAGTGGATCATAAATTGCACTTCTGTTTGGGGGTTGCCGCCTCTTTTTCTGACTGTATTCAGGGCTCCTCCAGATGACCTGTTTATTGAGCATTTGCCTTGATTTGCTTGCACAAAACTTAAGCACACATTATACAACGTCCACTCTTTATTGTGTGTTCTTTCTGGTTTATCTGCAAATCTGGTTATATGACGATGAGGTTATATGACAATGGATGTTAATTCTGATTTGGGTGCCCAGAAGATACATGTCTAACCAGTCAATCATTTTTGCTAGTTTTCGATGTCAGACTTGTGTCCCTTTATTGTCTTTCATAGAGACTGACATGTCTGCTCAATATAAACATTAGAAGTGCATTGTTGACATATATTATGTGGGAGAATGTGTAGGTGAATGAGTTCCTGGTGATATATAGCTGATGTTACCCGGGTCATAAGAGTGTTGCAGTTTATGTGCATGTTAATACAAATGGAGAAAGCACCAAAAATGCTTTTAGAGCAACCCTGTCCACTCACTTTCTTCCTACACTGTGACTTAAATTGAGTCACACCTGACATCTGCAACCCTCATTTACAGATGTTTCATTCAGAAGATTACGAGCTCCTGGTGCTGCAACATAACTGTTGCCCATATTGTCGGAGGAAGACGGATGAATCCAGCCAGTGAGGGAAACCAGACGCTCATGCATCCTGCTGCTTGGTTTCTGTAAAGTGTTCCTGAGGTCCATTAGGCTTTCTTAACAGCTTGTTTGATGGCAGAGTATAAAAAAGAAAATTATATATGATATTCCTACTTTCCTACTCTTTGTATATGAAACTGGCACATGCCAAGTTTTGTTTTACCCCCCAAGAGAAATGTATACATATATATTTATTTTTAACAAGTGTAACTGCAGAATTTGTATGACTGGTGGGTGATTTGTACATCTACAGAGTAAAACAGAAGAGCGGATCTATGGAGCTATATTTTTTCTATTAAACAGCCCCCCTGCGTAATGCTAGAATGTATTCTTGACATTTTCACAACAGCCTGTCAATTTGTCACTGCTAACCTTTTAGGGTGAGATTCTGCCTGAAGAAAAATATGCTAGTTTTGCACCTGCTAGCACTAGTTCTGGACTGGCTCCTTAGCATTTGGGTTTTATGACAGTTTTCAATAAAATATCTCTTTTTGAAAGAAACCTGTGTCCTTTCTTTTTGTATTTGTTCTCTGTCTCTCTCTGAACTGCTATTATGAAAAATGGGCTTCCACAATTTTGACAAAATAACTGTACTTACACGAAGGACATTTCTTTTTCAAGGTCTTATTTACTGCCAAATGCTTCCTGTTATTTTAGAAAAGAATTATTGTAGTGGGAGTTTCATAGAATTCAAGAGACAAAAGCTCTCATTTATTGAGGTATCAGAATCATTAGGGTCCTTCAGCATGACCCAAAGACCCTGACATTTGCCACATCTGTAGGCACCCTAATTATGAAAACATTTTGCAAGCCACATCTTGAGATGTGGGGCATGAAATAGAAGCCAAAAGGATTTAAGTACTTTGACATCACTTACAGAGCTGAACTTTGGGGTGGGTGTGTGGGTATAATTTGAAGACACTCTAATGTGACATTTGTAAATATGACTCAGATGTAGGAATGAGTTGTGTCCCCAAATAGTTAAGCTGCTCCATTAGCTGAAACGCTGAACTTCAATACACACATTGTCAAAGACACACTGATGGTTATAAAGCAAAGATGGGAAGCCTCTGGTGCTCTAGATGTTGTTGGACTCCAACTTCCATCAGCCTCAGCTAGCATGCTAGGGGATGATGGTCCAGCAGCCAAGGTAACTGTAGCAAGATTGAGTTAAAAAATTTAAGTGTCAATCAGTGATACATATTTTGTAACAGGTGCTGCATATGTAGGCCTCTGGTCCAGCTGTGAGCATCAAGCAGTAGCCAAAGCTGCACCCATGTGGGCTGGTCAGCAAACTGGGAATCGTACTGGTCAACTCTTCAGCAGAGAGGCAACCAGAGACTAGGCCAGAGCTCTTCCAAAAAATGAGGTTTTATTGATGAAGTAAAATAGAAGGCAAATTACTAAAGGTTGTCCAGAAGGGGAAGGGGGAAGATGAGAGTGGTGAAGCAACAAGCCAAAGGCAGGGGAACAGAGATGCTTCAGCATTTGGAAGGAAAGAAGCAGGGAACACTGGAAACGAACGCAAAAAAGAGCATCTGAATGAGACAAACGTAATACTGAGTTCTTGTTCAATTTGATATTTATTAAATTTCTATTCCACCCCCTCATCCCGAAGGAAACTAGGGCAGCAAATATCAAAATGTTAAAACAATATCAAACACATCCTTCCATTAAGATCTGTCAGGAACATGCCAGAGGGAGGCAAGGATCACAGGATGATAGGCAGACCTGGACTGCCAAAGTCAGGAGATCTAAGAGTCAATTGGACTGTGTGCCTGCTGGCAAGACTGCTCTCTTGAAATCTCACACAGTTCAGGGGTCCAAGACCAGCTATAGCCTTTGAAAAATCAGTAAGGCAAGATATTGCAAAGTTTAGACACTGCTGTCATAAATATACCAGCATACATGGAGCCTTGACATGTTTTGGCAGCAGACTTGCCACATAACATCAAAGGTGTCTTTTGGATCTTCATAACTGCTCGGACTGTCAGAAGTTCTGATTATATATAAATATGTCATGCTTAATCTAAAAAGAGATTTCTAAAATCTGTAGTGGTAGCTCATAGATGTTAAAATATTAACTTTGGCACCACTCATTATCATTACTCGTATATGGACCAAATAAGAAATCTAATAAAAGCATCCTTACTCAGTCAATCTGATTTGCTTTATTTCCCCTTTCCCGCTTTGTTGATGTGGGTGGTGCACTTAAAAAAACCAAAAACCTTTTATTGCCTTTCAAACCATATAGCCAAACAAATATCTACTGCTTCCATTACAAAAAGCCCTTAAAAGTGAAAAGTTAAAAGAAAATTAATAGGCCCTCATCTGTCTGGTCTTTGACCGCAAGAAAGATTGATGATTGATTGATTGATTGATTGACTGACTAGGCCCTCATACAGAAGCTACAGTTACTCTGTGTAGTGATAATATTGCAGACATATTGCAATTAGTTAAGGAAAGTTGTAATGAAGTGATAATAAACCATATGCTGTGTAAATAAGCTATTGTGCATTAAAATTTTAGATTCTATTGGTTTTGTTGACAAATTTTATTGTCTTTGACCTCAAAGCATTCCTAAGTTTTTTGAGTCAGTTTCCCTATCAACACAATACTCCATTGTTGTACAGTGGTACCTCAGGTTAAGTACCCAATTCGTTCCGGAGGTCCGTTCTTAACCTGAAACTGTTCTTAACCTGAAGCACCACTTTAGCTAACAGGGCCTCCTGCTGCTGCCGCGCAATTTCTGTTCTCATCCTGAAGCAAAGTTCTTAACCTGAAGCACTATTTCTGGGTTAGCGGAGTCTGTAACCTGAAGCGTATGTAACCTGAAGCGTATATAACCCGAGGTACCACTGTACTTGTTAGATCTCTCCAGTGTTTTGCTATGGATAATTGTTCCACCATTAGCAAATGTCCCACCAAAGCCTTACTCAACCTCTCCATATTCCAGTCTTAAAAGGATTCCTTATGGATGACTGGGGCGGAGTCCTGGCATGATGCAGTTTTGGCAGCGAGCTCTGTCCACCTCAGCAATGGCTTATTGAATCTTAATATAGTCCATTTGTCCATCTGAAAGATAAAACCTTTAATCCCACAATGCCAGATCTATGTAACAGCTAAGTATTAGATATTTGGGTCATGTGCGCATAGCAGATTCCATGCCCTTGGACCAGCTATGTAGCAGAGTGAGCATTCCTGTACTGTACACAGTTTCCCAATTAGACACCCCCTTCCATCAGAGTGGGAAGTCAGGTGTGTAAGCTTCCTGTCCCACACTGATGGTCCTGTGGTCTCTTGCGGAGGACAAGGCATGACCTGATTTATCTTGCATTTTGAGTCTTTCTTGGGATCAGTTGTCTGCTGAAGAAATCAGAGTGCATTTGTTCAAATCATGACATGAAGGTGTTTACTAATAAATTAACTATCTTGTTCCTACTGTTATTACATGCATTTTATTTAAACTTGGGTGGTACTAGAAAGGAACCGGTATAAAATACTATATAGCACCCATGCAAGGGTGCTTCACCCACCGTGCAAGTAGATTGTGCCCTGTTAATTTATGTACAAAGCACTGCTTTATTATTTCAGTGCTGCAACTTTACTGCTGATTTTTATGACTGTTTATTGTTATGATGGTTTAATGCCGATTTTTATTATGTGGTTTTATTGATAGTTCTGCATTTGGGTTTCTACAGTGGCTTTCTATTTTGGATATGGTTGGGAGGCACATTATAAATGATGGATAGCGTGCAAGCATATTTAAATGCAAGGTGCTTCTGTGCCACAAGTGTAGAACAGTTTCATTCCCATTTTCCCTGCCACAGCTCCTACACACAGGAGCTTGAGGAATGTAAGGCAGGGACTGGGAATCTGTAACAAAAGCAATCTGAGCATCTGCATGATTCCAAGGGTTCTTTCAGGGAATCGATTGCATTTAAACCAATTTCGAAGTGGATTCAACTCAGTTGTTTATTGTATAAATAGACTTATTGCTATTGCCTTATGGGCCGTATGAGATTACATTCAGAAGCAGAAAAGTCTTAATAGGCTAGCTACACAGCTGAACTTCAGGTACGATCAGCAAAAGCATGCAGATACGTGTCCCTGGAACTTCCTTCCAAAGGAGACCTGGTTTTCCAGAAACGGTGCATGATGTTTCTACTCTAGCTGAAGTAAAAGGCAGGGAGCAGCCTCTTGAAGCCAAGCAGGTAACTGGTTATTTCCTGTATCCTATTTGACATCTTTGTGTTATATCTAAGCACTCTGTCAAATACACACACACACACACACACACACACACACACAACCTGTTCTTGCAGCAGCTTTGTAACACCATCGCAAGCACTACCTGAGCGTCACCCCAGCAGAGAATTAACAGTTCCAATCTTAGCTTGGATTATTATGATTAATGTTGACCCAAGTCTAAATTGTGCTGACATCAATAACACAGGGCTTACCTGTGTTTTTTTTTTATAAAAGGAACAGTGCTAGCTTAGCTTGGAACAGTCCAGCGAATGTAAGAAGGAGATTTATAGAGAAATACAGAGATCTATACTTGTTGTAGAAGCCAAATACCTACAAAGCTGCCACCATGAATGGAACAGAAGGTGAAAATTTCTATGTCCCCATGTCCAACAAGACCGGCGTTGTTCGGAATCCGTATGAGTATCCTCAGTACTATTTGGCAGAACCGTGGAAGTTCTCTGCGTTGGCTGCCTACATGTTTCTTCTGATTCTTCTGGGATTCCCAATCAACTTTCTGACTCTCTTTGTCACAGTCCAGCACAAGAAACTCAGAACTCCTCTGAACTACATCCTTTTAAATTTGGCCATAGCCAATCTCTTCATGGTCTTAATAGGCTTCACCACTACCATGTACACATCTATGAATGGATATTTCATTTTTGGAACGGTAGGATGCAACATTGAAGGCTTCTTTGCTACAATGGGCGGTAGGTCTGTTTTATGTTTTCCTTCAAGTATCATGCCACTATGAATTCACTGTAGACATAAGTTCCTATTTCAGATCTTATAGAATTGTTTAGGTGGAAGAGACTCCCGGTCATCTAGTCCAACCCCTGCAATGCAGAAATCTCAGCTAGATCATAACATGACTTCATTCTTCAACAGAATTCCAAAAGCTAGTACTATTCAGAGACTCTTGTGTCACCTTCTTGTGTTGCATACCTGAGCTAAGGTAACCGTGCTGGAATAATGTTAATAGAATTGATGGGAAACCAAGCTTTTGATCATGCTGGCAAATGGTTAAAACTAGGTTCAACTTCAAAAGGGCAATGCGATATATGGTTCTGTGCACTATGCCTACTTCTCCTGTTTTATAAAGTTTGCAGTCGTGATTTTTCTCATGGTTTTGGTGGAAGACATTCCGAGAGCCTCCGGAGATGGTAACTTGTAAGATCTCACACCTTAGCTGAAATGGCAGGGCTTTAGCTAAGGCATCTTTTATTCCACGTGTAAATCAGGAACAGAATTAAGTTGTTAACAAAATGTAGACCAAAACCTCTTTCTGTGCTCAAGTCAGTTTCAATCATCATCTCTCGATCATTTTGATTATGTGATGTTATCTTTTATTTTATTTCTACTTGGTTTTCCACTTGACATACAGTCCTTAGGGTAGAGAAGACCTAAATCTGAAATAAAATAAACCAGCGAAAAGCAAACAAACCCGACCAAATTGGCTCAAGTCTCTTTAGGCGGTCTTTATCCATGATCAAGAAGGGCAAAAATCCAAGTTTTATTCCCTTCACTATTCAGTTTCAAAGTGTCTTGCTGTGGGCAAGGTCCACCCAGTGCTGCTTCCCTACAAGCCCATTCATTTCACTGAGGTTTGTAAAGAAGCGAAACTTCAAATATGTGGCTATTCCCAGGTTATTGTTTGGCTACAGGCAGACAGCAGAGAAAATAAACCTTTGATCGAGAATTATGTGACTCGGGCCCTTACCTCTCAAGCGTCCCTCACTGGGAGGCGTATCCTGCATTCAGCCTGCTCTCCAAGGGCTGAGAAATGCCAGGAACAGAACGGTGGGATGCCACAGCATCCTTTAAGAAAGGATCAAAACAAATGTGGAATGGTGCTTAAGGCAGCAGAGCTGTGTTGGTTTTCGTCATGCTGGGGTTTTTTTATGTCGCCTGTGTTTTGATCTGTTTTGTTGGGCTTTCAAACGTTACTACATATAATGATTTGATAACTCCGTTGTGAGTCACCTTGGGCAGCTGTGTTGAAGCATGAGGCATGCTTGTTTTAAATAAAATATATTAGTAAATGAGTGAATAGAACAAACTCAGATTTGCCTACATCCCATACAAAACAAGTGGTGGAAGTCTAATGTAACGAGAGAGGAAAGCAACATCTTCCTCAACACTTTCCTCCCTATATAATCTGAATCCTGGTGCCCCCTTTTCCTCCCCTGGGCTCTGCTGGAAAGTGTACCTGGTTGAGGGAGAAGCACTTGAGGAAAGGAGCTACAGGGATATAAGCTATGAGAGTGAATTATTGAAAAGCAGTATAAAAATGTTAGAAATGAATTGACCAATGGTTGGCATGAAGAGGGTTCAGCTCTCTCATCCTCTGAGCTTAAGTGCATGAATTTGCCACAGTCTTGTGTGAACCTGAAGAATGAGGGAACTAAAGAAGGATCTGATCAGACATGTAGTATGGTGCTGAGTAGACCATAGGACAGGGAGGTGAAACCTGATGCCCTCCAATTGTTTTGCACAACAACTATCATGCCCCGCCTTTGGTCATGCTGACTGGAGCGGATGAGAATTAGAGTCCAATAATATATGAAGAATCACAAGAAAAAGAGGAACCCATTGAGTTGTTTGAAGGGGTGGCTTTTCCATCTCTCCCTCTCCTTCTCATCTTCTTCTTCCTCCTCCTCCCCCCCTTATTGACAGATGCTTCTTTTGTTCTCTTACAGGTGAGATAGCCCTGTGGTCTCTGGTTGTCCTGGCTGTTGAAAGATATGTGGTGGTCTGCAAGCCCATGAGCAATTTCCGCTTTAGTGGGACCCATGCCATCATAGGGGTGAGTTTCACTTGGATCATGGCCTTGGCATGCGCTGGTCCTCCTCTCTTTGGATGGTCAAGGTAGGTATGCATCATATTCCTTGCAGTAATACAGACTGCAGTAAATTTGGGGGGTTTGGATAGGAGAGGGATAATGGGGCCAGAACAACTAGTGAGCATTCCTTAATGATCAGAGGTGAGGGGTGTTATTTGTTGGGGGAAATGACAGATAAATGGCCCACAGTGACTGGAGATACTTCTGGAAGGTGAGAGCCGTTTTGGCAAAGGCATACTTTGCCAAAGTCGAAACCAGCGCTTTAATTGGACCCAGAAACTAATTGGCAGCCAGTGCAGTAGGGACCAGGACCATTGCAGTATGCTCAAACCATCTTCCTCCAGTGAGCAACCTGACCACTGAAATTGGCACCAGTTGAAGTTTATTCATACTGTTAAAGCATTAAATGAATGAATGAATGTTACAATTTAAAGCTATTGGAGTGTTAATATGTTTACCCCAAAACTATGCTCTGTTTATAAACCCAAATATTACAAAATAAAAACCCACTGTGACTGTGCTCTCTTCCTCCAAATGAAACCAAACCTGGGTTGCTGCTATTGCTGGAGCTTCTGAAATCTTGTGGAAGTGGGGCACACACAATAGACTACAATCCCACCCACTAACTCTTTTGCTTTAACTGTAGATATATCCCAGAAGGTATGCAGTGCTCTTGTGGAGTTGATTATTATACACCAAACCCGCAAGTTCACAATGAATCCTTTGTCATCTACATGTTTCTGGTGCACTTTGTCACACCATTGACTATTATATTCTTCTGCTACGGTCGCCTTGTCTGCACTGTTAAACAGGTGAGTGACCCTACAAAAAGATAAAACTCTTCTCCCTTCCCCAGCACAAACCTATCAAGGCTGAAAACATTTCTCCTGACTTCATCAGTCCCAGCCCAGTGTAAGGAGATTCCACAGTGCAGCTACCAGGATAATCCAAGTTTTGACTTTGTACCTTCAGGGTACTTCTGAAACATAACCACAGCAATAATTGTGGAATGTTGCATTTATAGTTTACTTAAGGTAAAGGTAAAGGGACCCCTGACTGTTAGGTCCAGTTGCAGACAACTCTGGGGTTGCGGCGCTCATCTCGCTTTATTGGCCGAGGGGGCCGGCATACAGCTTCTGGGTCATGTGGCCAGCATGGCTAAGCCGCTTCTGGCGAACCAGAGCAGCGCACAGAAACGCCATGTACCTTCCCGCCGGAGCAGTACCCATTTATCTACTTGCACTTTGTGCTTTCGAACTGCTAGGTTGACAGGAGCAGGGACCGAACAACGGGAGCTCACCCTGTCGCAGGGATTCGAACCACCAACCTTCTGATCGGCAAGCCCTAGGCTCTGTTCTCCTTAAATGCTGTAAGCCCTTCTCAATGATGCCCATGCAGCTGGTTACAAAACAGAATATAAATAAATATTTTGGGGGGACGGGGGCGGGAATTCAAACTGCGATTTGCACAAACTATGATACCCCATGCTGTTTTCCACATCCCTGCTGCCTGCTCTTCCCTCCAATGCCAGCCTTAACAATTCAACATATTGTAATAATAGTTTTTGATTGTCACTTGCTTCTGAAAAAGGATTGGGCACCAGCTTCACAACGAAGAGAACCAACTGTTATTCTTTGGGATGTAACAGAGGTTCTGGAGGCCCAGAACCTTTAACTACAGCAACTAAAGAAACCCACCCAGAGCTGTATCATCCCCCACCGCACTGGAATGCTGCTAGTTTCTGTTCCGGTGATTAGCTTCCCATTCCCAAACAGCCCTGTTGCCTAGTCTTGACCACCCTCTGTTGTCATGCTTCTAGGCAGCGGCTCAGCAGCAGGAGTCTGCCACCACCCAGAAAGCTGAGAAAGAAGTCACCCGCATGGTCGTCATCATGGTCATTTCCTTCCTTGTTTGCTGGGTGCCCTACGCCAGTGTTGCTTTCTACATCTTCACTCACCAAGGGTCAGACTTCGGCCCTGTATTTATGACCATCCCGGCCTTCTTTGCCAAGAGCTCTGCTATCTACAACCCGGTGATTTACATCTTAATGAACAGACAGGTAACTTGGCAACGTTGCCCTGGCTTTCCAACAATATAACAATACTTGAAGAGTTTATGGCACTCTCCCTAAGTGCTTAAAGTGCTTCCTTATATACATTAGCTTAATAATTCTTGTGGCAAACCCTGTAAGGTAGGCCATTTTTATTACCCCCCGTATTACAAATGTGAAGTGGAGGGACGCTGAGAGACGGTGGCTTCCCCTAAATGATTGTGTTGCTGAGCTGAGATTTGAACCAGGCTCTTTAGCTCATGTGCTAAATTTATCTTTACTGCATTTTGCTTCTTATTAATGTGCCTGAATATAATGTGTCTTGATGCAGGTGCTGATGGTTAATATGAAAAAAATCCCTAATCATCTGTTTTAAAATAGAACCGTGTGGCAAGGGACTGGAGAGGATGTTCTCACATTATCTCAAGGATGATACTTGCTCTCTGTTGGTTGCCAAAAAGCCTGTCCCCCTTCTCACCCATTTTTTAAAATTAAAACAGCAAGCTCCTAATGACTCTCACCATTTGTGAAGCATTTACGGCAACAGGACTTAAGCCTAAGCATTTCTCAGACTATGAATTATAGTATTATCAATTACTTCCCTGGGAGCTGCGTTGTGCCAGGGAATCAACATATGGGTCCCAGAGGATTTTCACTTGCTTTAAAATACAGTACAGCTTTTACTATGTGACTAGACAGAGAGGGGCAAGACAAAGCAGGTTTTTTTTTTTTTTTTAAATGTAGGATTACAGTGACAGAAGAACAATGGAAGGTACAGTGAATTCAACTTTAGACGATTTGTGTAGCCATTGCCTAAATCAGGATTTCCCAAACTTGGGTCGCTAGCTGTTTTTGGACTACAACTCCCATCATCCCTAGCTAGCAAGACCAGTGGTCAGGGATGATGGGAATTGTAGTCCAAATACAGCTGGAGGTCCAAATTCAGGAAACACTGGTCTGAATGGCCTTTCCTGATGCCCAGATACATCAGTGACTTTTGGGCACAGCTCCACATGCTGATTTTGTTTGTTTGTTTGTTTACAGTTCCGTAACTGTATGATCAGCACCCTCTGTTGTGGAAAGAATCCGTTGGCTGAGGAGGACACGTCTGCAGGCACTAAGACTGAGACTTCCACCGTCTCCACAAGCCAGGTTTCCCCTTCATAGATCTACCAAGGAAACCTTGGGCTTCAGACTGTTTCATTTGCATGACCGCATTCTTTTCACCCCTGCCGTCTCTGTCACTCTCTGCAGCATGCCACCTGCAATTCACCTGGCAGGGCAGAATGGACTCTTCATTTTCTGACAGCTGCTATCAGAGAAATGAGCCTGTATTTGTGGCGCAAATCAACTCAGGCCCAAGGCTGCGATGTCGCATGAGTTCATGGCCCTAATATGCCTGCCTCTAAAACCATATATTCCCTGCAAATTGACTTACCTGCTTGGTGCAGCATTTGCATCTAATTTTCGTCTTCAGTCATATGGCCTGTGTACATAAGGTTGTCTGGGGCCAATTGGCTGTGCTGATGGATGCATTGCCATGGTTAAATTTCCATTTTCCTCCTAGGTTCTTTTCTGAGCTTTGTACAGAATGAACAGCTGAACATTCATGCGTAGCGAAGAGACCTGTTTTGTTTTCATTGTAGCTGTTGTTGCTCATTTCTTATTATGTAGAGAGACTTATCAAAGCTTAATTTATGGAAGCGTAATCAAAGAAAAATGTATAATTTGAAACTCACTTTTGTGAACTGGGAGTGTGGGTAAATAGGAAAACCAGGACATCTCTTTTGTAGCATGAAGTGGGTTGGCCTTTCTTCAGATTGCTTCAACTTTCAATGCAATAAAACTGTGGTATACCACAATGCCAGGGCCCACATACTGTCAGTGCAAATCACAGCAGGCAGGATTTACATTTCACTTCAGGCATGTACTGCATTTGCCTTTGTTTCTTCCTAAAAAATTATAACCAACACTTTCAGAGCCAAGTGGCGTTCCCAGGACAGATGATAGAAAACATAAAAACAATAGCTTGGATCCTAAGAAAAATTAGCAGAAGGAAAGTTTCCTTTCCACTCCGTCCTTGCAGCAGCTCACAAAAAGCTTAGGCACACAGGAAGCTGCTGTATATTGAGTCAGACCATTGGTCCATTTAGCTCAGTATTGTCCACACTGATTGGCAGTGGCTCTCCAGGGTTTCAGACAGGGTTCTCTCCCAGTCCTACCAGGAGATGCTATGGATTGAACTTGGGACCTTCTGCATGTAAAGTAGATGCTCTGGCACTGAACGATGGTCCCTCCCTTTCTGGAGGACCTCATGAATAACATGAGTTGGGCCACAGAGTGAAGCTGGGGGTGGGGTTCAGTTGTGCCTTGAAACTGGATTTTTTAATAATAATAATAATAATAATAATAATTTTTTTATTTATACCCCATGCTTCCCGTTTCAAAAACCGGGCTCAGGGCGGCCAACAACAAATTTAAAACACTTTAAAACACTTAATTATAAAAGCAGCATAAAATACAGTATAAAAACATGAATAACAATAAAAATCAAGAATCAATTAGATAATCCCCAGGGATTTGGGTTCCAAGTTAACTCAACAAGTTCAAGGAAGGAAAATTTTCTATTCCCTTCTCTCGTAACAATTCAGCACTGTGTCCCACATTGTTCAGGAAGCTCTCCTAATCCTCCAGAAAGGCTTCTCAGGGGTCAGAAGTGCCTGTGGGCAAGAGAAGTTGTGAACGGAACCCATGTGGACAGGTTTCACCTCAGGGTGGCTCCTCAGGCCTTCCAAAGTAAAACAGTGGTGTTACAAGCTGTGTAGACAAGCTGTGTAGGGCTGTTTCATGCTGGGTAGAGGCAGAGAATTTCCAGCAGTTGAAACGTTGCAATGTGGGAGTGCCTGACCCAGAGTTCAATGGGGAAGTGGACAGGAGCAACAGAGGAGGAAGACAGAAAATACAATGAAACCAGAACAGTTTGGAGTGTGAGGAGAGAGCAATGAGGGAAGAAGATGGATGACGCAGGGGGAAAAGAGGTAAGCTACAAAGGGGATTTGTGCTGCTCCAGTGAAGACAACAAGGGTGGGGAAAGACGAATAGGAATAGGATGGAATGGTCTGGGGCACATCAATCGCAGTGGCAAGCCAGAAAGAGGGAGAGAGTACAAAAGGCAGAAGGAAGAGGAAATTGTACAAGGGGAGAGAGGGGGTGAAAGATGGGCAGGAGATGAGACTGTTCAAGGGAAAAGAGAGGGGAAAAGAAAGGCAGGATAGAAAACAGCCTATGTAAAACAAAACAAAAATGTGGTATCTTGTGATTAAAGGGAACAGCCAAACACTTCATGCAGGTCCCCACCAGGGGATTGTCTGAAAACAAGAGACCACCTGAGGGGTTCAACGACTTCTGGGATAGGGATGCAGCTGACAAGAGTTTGTGTGCCATGGATGGATATACAGTACATGAATGCTGGAGAAGAATGGGGACAGTGGACAATAAAGGCAAAACAATAGGGTACCAACAGTGAGAGGAAACCTACATTTGATTTAAAATAGCCAGCCAAATCTTTGATTTTGGATAATACTTGAATTTCAGAGTCGCTAAAGAGGACCCAACTCCTTTGCTTTTTGTAATGACTGGGTCCCATTATCTGCTGTTGTGCTTTGTTTTGTTAAGACGCAAGCCACAAGGCCCAGTACAAGCAGGCTGTGTGAGACCACTGGAAGAAATGGTTTAATTTTTGCAGCAGAAGCCTGTATAGGGTGTCCAGTTCTGCATTGCCGGAAAGGAGGATTTGCTTCCCAAAAAAAGAGGACAGCAAAGAATACCAATTTGCACATAATTTGCAAATGGTAATTGTATTTGTAAAGACACTGATTTAGACATAATTTCTATAATCTAACTAGAAATAAAGTGCTTCTCACTGTAATGGGGAAGTCAATTTATGTGCCAGTTCAGCGTGCTAAGTAGGTTCTGCCAACTGTTGAAGGGCAACGTCAAGACTCTTGCTGTCCCATTTTATGATTCTTTATCTAAAGTCAAACTTGGACTGGACAGCCTTTCAAAAAAAGAAGAAGGATATCCTTTTTTTTTTTTTTTTTTTTTTGCAAGTAAATTTTTATTCAGAATTTGTATAAATAAAATAAAAAAGAAATAAAAAAAAAAAAAATAAAAATTTTAAAATAAATTATTAATCCTATTTTAATAATATACAAAAAGAAAGAATATGTTAATACAAAAATAATAATATAACCATTAGGCTCTCCTTAGCCTTTGACTTCCCTTCACCCTTTTGGTAAGTATCAAATAAGTCCCGGGTTGCGTAATTAGTTTATTAAAGTTTATAGTTATTAGCTGATAAAGTTTTTCTAATACCGCCAGTTCCTCCTATATATCCGTTCCAATATATTTCCAAAACTTACTCCAATTTTTTGAAATTTCTGGTCGTCTTGGTCTCGTATTCTGCCTGTTAATCTATCTAGCTCGGCATAGTTGATCATTTTGACCTGCCAGTCACTTATGTTAGGAATAGTTTCTATTTTCCAGTTTTGTGCCAGCATAATTCTTGCGGCTGTGGTGGCATAGAGAAATATTTTTTTATCTTCATTAGGGAGTACCGTACCCATTATTCCCAGCAAAAAGGCTTCAGGTCGCGTGGGAACCGTGTCTTTAAAAAGTTTGTTAAGTTCATTATAAATTGCTTCCCAAAAACCTTCACCTTGCTGCATTGCCACCACATATGGTAGAGGTCTCCTCCCCTTCACCACATTTCCAGCATGTCTTATTTTCTGATCTATAGATTTTAGCCAATTTTGCCGGCGTAAGATACCATCTATAGAGCATTTTCCAAACATTTTCTCTCAAACTCGTACAGGCCGTAAATTTAATGTCTCTATTCCACAATTTCAACCACTTTTCAAACTCGATGTTATAACCGAAGTCAATTGCCCATTTAATCATTGCCTCTTTGACTTCCTCGTCTTTTGTATGCCATTCCAGTAATATGTCATATAATTTAGACAATGTTTTGTTTTTGCCTTCTATTATTTCTATATTGAATTTTGATTTCTTGTCCTCAAAGCCCATTTTTCTTTTATCTTGTTTTAACATATCATTCACCTGATGATATTGTAACCAGCCGGTGAATTGATCTTTTATTTCCTCATACGGTTTAAGTTTAAGCCCTTGTTCTGATTTTCTTAGCAAATCTTCGTAGGTGGCTGTCTTCCCTTCCATGTTGGTTTTTTTTATTGTTAAGACCTCTACTGGTGAAATCCACCATGGTGTTTTTCTTTCGAGAAGGTTCTTATTTCCTTAAATAAAGGCCTGTCATCTGACAGCCTTTCAAATAAGAGGCCTGCAGCCTGCCCGTCTAGAAGATAGAAACACATAGTCACCCTAAACGTGTATGAGTGGTTGAGCCTTGGTAATCCTCGCAGAGAGGCCAAATGAACCCAGGTCTACATACATTCATAATTTTATTTGTATTTTTCCCTTCTGCAGTTCAAACCATGCTCGAAGCAGCTTACAACATGAAAAAACACATAACTACAAAATAACAAAAGTAGTCACAAACAATAAATAAAACATTTCATGCACAACCAAACTGAACAATTCCAACACAATATCTATAATAAAGATTAAAAAAACCAAATCTCGACTGCAACAATTCTCTCAAACCCCCAAACAACCCCCCAGCCCAAGACTAGAGAGGTTAAAAGCAACAAAAAAGGCTTTTATGGGTATGTCCGTAGCAAAAGGAAGAACAAAGAAACAGTGGGGTCACTCAGAGGAGAAGATGGTGAAATACAAACAGGGGACACAGAAAGGGCTGAACTCCTCAATGCCTTCTTTGCCTCAGTCTTCTCCGATAAAGAAAACAATGCCCGACCTGAAGAATTTGGAGCAAATGATTCAGCAAAGGAAACACAGCCCAGAATAACTAAGGAGATAGTACAAGAATACTTGGCTAGTTTAGATGTATTCAAGTCTCCAGGGCCAGATGAACTGCATCCAAGAGTATTAAAAGAACTGGCAGATGTGATCTCAGAACCACTGGCAGTCATCTTTGAGAATTCCTGGAGAACAGGCGAAGTCCCGGCAGACTGGAGGAGGGCAAATGTCCCTATTTTCAAAAAGGGGAAAAGAGAGGACCCAAATAATCACCG